TGATTCAGGTACAGTTCCTTGATTCAGGTAGTTCCTTGGTTCAGGGACAGTTCCTTGGTTCAGGTACAGTTCCTTGATTCAGGGACAGTTCCTTGATTCAGGGACAGTTCCTTGGTTCAGGTACAGTTCCTTGATTCAGGTACAGTTCCTTGATTCAGGTACAGTTCCTTGGTTCAGGTACAGTTCCTTGATTCAGGTACAGTTCCTTGGTTCAGGTACAGTTCCTTGATTCAGGTAGAGTTCCTTGGTTCAGGTACAGTTCCTTGATTCAGGTACAGTTCCTTGATTCAGGTACAGTTCCTTGATTCAGGTACAGTTCCTTGTTCAGGTACAGTTCCTTGATTCAGGTACAGTTCCTTGATTCAGGTACAGTTCCTTGATTCAGGTACAGTTCCTTGATTCAGGTACAGTTCCTTGATTCAGGTAGAGTTCCTTGATTCAGGACAGTTCCTTGGTTCAGGTACAGTTCCTTGGTTCAGGTACAGTTCCTTGATTCAGGTACAGTTCCTTGATTCAGGTACAGTTCCTTGATTCAGGTACAGTTCCTTGATTCAGGTACAGTTCCTTGATTCAGGTACAGTTCCTTGATTCAGGTACAGTTCCTTGATTCAGGTACAGTTCCTTGATTCAGGTACAGTTCCTTGATTCAGGTACAGTTCCTTGGTTCAGGTACAGTTCCTTGATTCAGGTACAGTTCCTTGGTTCAGGTACAGTTCCTTGATTCAGGTACAGTTCCTTGATTCAGGTACAGTTCCTTGGTTCAGGGACAGTTCCTTGATTCAGGTACAGTTCCTTGATTCAGGTACAGTTCCTTGATTCAGGTAGAGTTCCTTGATTCAGGTACAGTTCCTTGATTCAGGTACAGTTCCTTGATTCAGGTACAGTTCCTTGGTTCAGGTACAGTTCCTTGGTTCAGGTACAGTTCCTTGATTCAGGTACAGTTCCTTGATTCAGGTACAGTTCCTTGATTCAGGTACAGTTCCTTGATTCAGGTACAGTTCCTTGATTCAGGTACAGTTCCTTGATTCAGGTACAGTTCCTTGATTCAGGTACAGTTCCTTGATTCAGGTACAGTTCCTTGATTCAGGTACAGTTCCTTGGTTCAGGTACAGTTCCTTGGTTCAGGTACAGTTCCTTGGTTCAGGTACAGTTCCTTGATTCAGGTACAGTTCCTTGGTTCAGGTACAGTTCCTTGATTCAGGTACAGTTCCTTGATTCAGGTACAGTTCCTTGATTCAGGTACAGTTCCTTGATTCAGGTACAGTTCCTTGGTTCAGGACAGTTCCTTGATTCAGGTACAGTTCCTTGATTCAGGTACAGTTCCTTGATTCAGGTACAGTTCCTTGATTCAGGTACAGTTCCTTGATTCAGGTACAGTTCCTTGATTCAGTACAGTTCCTTGGTTCAGGTACAGTTCCTTGATTCAGGTACAGTTCCTTGGTTCAGGTACAGTTCCTTGATTCAGGTACAGTTCCTTGATTCAGGTACAGTTCCTTGGTTCAGGTACAGTTCCTTGATTCAGGTACAGTTCCTTGTTCAGGTAGTTCCTTGATTCAGGTAGAGTTCCTTGGTTCAGGTACAGTTCCTTGATTCAGGTACAGTTCCTTGGTTCAGGTACAGTTCCTTGATTCAGGTAGAGTTCCTTGATTCAGGTACAGTTCCTTGATTCAGGTACAGTTCCTTGATTCAGGTACAGTTCCTTGATTCAGGTACAGTTCCTTGATTCAGGTACAGTTCCTTGATTCAGGTACAGTTCCTTGATTCAGGTACAGTTCCTTGATTCAGGTACAGTTCCTTGGTTCAGGTACAGTTCCTTGATTCAGGTACAGTTCCTTGGTTCAGGTACAGTTCCTTGATTCAGGGACAGTTCCTTGATTCAGGTACAGTTCCTTGATTCAGGTACAGTTCCTTGATTCAGGTACAGTTCCTTGATTCAGGTACAGTTCCTTGATTCAGGTACAGTTCCTTGGTTCAGGTACAGTTCCTTGATTCAGGTACAGTTCCTTGATTCAGGTACAGTTCCTTGATTCAGGTACAGTTCCTTGATTCAGGTACAGTTCCTTGGTTCAGGTAGTTCCTTGATTCAGGTACAGTTCCTTGATTCAGGTACAGTTCCTTGGTTCAGGTACAGTTCCTTGATTCAGGTACAGTTCCTTGATTCAGGTACAGTTCCTTGATTCAGGTACAGTTCCTTGATTCAGGTACAGTTCCTTGATTCAGGTAGTTCCTTGATTCAGGTACAGTTCCTTGATTCAGGTACAGTTCCTTGATTCAGGTACAGTTCCTTGATTCAGGTACAGTTCCTTGATTCAGGTACAGTTCCTTGATTCAGGTACAGTTCCTTGATTCAGGTACAGTTCCTTGATTCAGGTACAGTTCCTTGATTCAGGTACAGTTCCTTGATTCAGGTACAGTTCCTTGATTCAGGTACAGTTCCTTGATTCAGGTACAGTTCCTTGGTTCAGGTACAGTTCCTTGGTTCAGGTACAGTTCCTTGGTTCAGGTACAGTTCCTTGATTCAGGTACAGTTCCTTGATTCAGGTACAGTTCCTTGATTCAGGTACAGTTCCTTGATTCAGGTACAGTTCCTTGATTCAGGTACAGTTCCTTGATTCAGGTACAGTTCCTTGGTTCAGGTACAGTTCCTTGGTTCAGGTACAGTTCCTTGGTTCAGGTACAGTTCCTTGGTTCAGGTACAGTTCCTTGATTCAGGTACAGTTCCTTGATTCAGGTACAGTTCCTTGATTCAGGTACAGTTCCTTGATTCAGGTACAGTTCCTTGGTTCAGGTACAGTTCCTTGGTTCAGGTACAGTTCCTTGGTTCAGGTACAGTTCCTTGATTCAGGTACAGTTCCTTGGTTCAGGTACAGTTCCTTGATTCAGGTACAGTTCCTTGATTCAGGTACAGTTCCTTGATTCAGGTACAGTTCCTTGATTCAGGTACAGTTCCTTGATTCAGGTACAGTTCCTTGGTTCAGGTACAGTTCCTTGATTCAGGTACAGTTCCTTGGTTCAGGTACAGTTCCTTGGTTCAGGTACAGTTCCTTGATTCAGGTACAGTTCCTTGATTCAGGTACAGTTCCTTGATTCAGGTACAGTTCCTTGATTCAGGTACAGTTCCTTGGTTCAGGTACAGTTCCTTGATTCAGGTACAGTTCCTTGGTTCAGGTACAGTTCCTTGATTCAGGTACAGTTCCTTGATTCAGGTACAGTTCCTTGATTCAGGTACAGTTCCTTGATTCAGGTACAGTTCCTTGATTCAGGTACAGTTCCTTGGTTCAGGTACAGTTCCTTGATTCAGGTACAGTTCCTTGGTTCAGGTACAGTTCCTTGGTTCAGGTACAGTTCCTTGGTTCAGGTACAGTTCCTTGATTCAGGTACAGTTCCTTGATTCAGGTACAGTTCCTTGATTCAGGTACAGTTCCTTGGTTCAGGTACAGTTCCTTGGTTCAGGTACAGTTCCTTGATTCAGGTACAGTTCCTTGATTCAGGTACAGTTCCTTGATTCAGGTACAGTTCCTTGATTCAGGTACAGTTCCTTGATTCAGGTACAGTTCCTTGATTCAGGTACAGTTCCTTGGTTCAGGTACAGTTCCTTGGTTCAGGTACAGTTCCTTGATTCAGGTACAGTTCCTTGATTCAGGTACAGTTCCTTGGTTCAGGTACAGTTCCTTGATTCAGGTACAGTTCCTTGATTCAGGTACAGTTCCTTGATTCAGGTACAGTTCCTTGATTCAGGTACAGTTCCTTGATTCAGGTACAGTTCCTTGGTTCAGGTACAGTTCCTTGGTTCAGGTACAGTTCCTTGGTTCAGGTACGGATTCAGGTACAGTTCCTTGATTCAGGTTACAGTTCCTTGATTCAGGTACAGTTCCTTGATTCAGGTACAGTTCCTTGGTTCAGGTACAGTTCCTTGGTTCAGGTACAGTTCCTTGGTTCAGGTACAGTTCCTTGATTCAGGTACAGTTCCTTGATTCAGGTACAGTTCCTTGATTCAGGTACAGTTCCTTGATTCAGGTACAGTTCCTTGGTTCAGGTACAGTTCCTTGGTTTCAGGTACAGTTCCTTGGTTCAGGTACAGTTCCTTGGTTCAGGTACAGTTCCTTGATTCAGGTACAGTTCCTTGATTCAGGTACAGTTCCTTGAAATTCAGGTACAGTTCCTTGGTTCAGGTACAGTTCCTTGGTTCAGGTACAGTTCCTTGGTTCAGGTACAGTTCCTTGGTTCAGTACAGTTCCTTGATTCAGGTACAGTTCCTTGATTCAGGTACAGTTCCTTGATTCAGGTTACAGTTCCTTGATTCAGGTACAGTTCCTTGGTTCAGGTACAGTTCCTTGGTTCAGGTACAGTTCCTTTGGTTCAGGTACAGTTCCTTGGTTCAGGTACAGTTCCTTGATTCAGGTACAGTTCCTTGATTCAGGTACAGTTCCTTGATTCAGGTACAGTTTCCTTGATTCAGGTACAGTTCCTTGGTTCAGGTACAGTTCCTTGGATTCAGGTACAGTTCCTTGGTTCAGGTACAGTTCCTTGATTCAGGTACAGTTCCTTGATTCAGGTACAGTTCCTTGATTCAGGTACAGTTCCTTGGTTCAGGTACAGTTCCTTGGTTCAGGTACAGTTCCTTGGTTCAGGTACAGTTCCTTGGTTCAGGTACAGTTCCTTGATTCAGGTACAGTTCCTTGAGTTCAGGTACAGTTCCTTGATTCAGGTACAGTTCCTTGATTCAGGTACAGTTCCTTGGTTCAGGTACAGTTCCTTGGTTCAGGTACAGTTCCTTGATTCAGGTACAGTTCCTTGATTCAGGTACAGTTCCTTGATTCAGGTACAGTTCCTTGATTCAGGTACAGTTTCCTTGGTTCAGGTACAGTTTCCTTGGTTCAGGTACAGTTCCTTGGTTCAGGTACAGTTCCTTGGTTCAGGTACAGTTCCTTGATTCAGGTACAGTTCCTTGATTCAGGTACAGTTCCTTGATTCAGGTACAGTTCCTTGGTTCAGGTACAGTTCCTTGGTTCAGGTACAGTTCCTTGGTTCAGGTACAGTTCCTTGGTTCAGGTACAGTTCCTTGGTTCAGGTACAGTTCCTTGGTTCAGGTACAGTTCCTTGATTCAGGTACAGTTCCTTGATTCAGGTACAGTTCCTTGATTCAGGTACAGTTCCTTGATTCAGGTACAGTTCCTTGATTCAGGTACAGTTCCTTGGTTTCAGGGTACAGTTCCTTGATTCAGGTACAGTTCCTTGGTTCAGGTACAGTTCCTTGATTCAGGTACAGTTCCTTGGTTCAGGTACAGTTCCTTGGTTCAGGTACAGTTCCTTGATTCAGGTACAGTTCCTTGATTTCAGGTACAGTTCCTTGGTTCAGGTACAGTTCCTTGGTTCAGGTACAGTTCCTTGTTCAGGTACAGTTCCTTGATTCAGGTACAGTTCCTTGATTCAGGTACAGTTCTTGTTCGTACTTCCTTGATTCAGGTACAGTTCCTTGATTCAGGTACAGTTCCTTGTTCAGGTACATTCCTTGGTTCAGGTACAGTTCCTTGGTTCAGGTACAGTTCCTTGGTTCAGGTACAGTTCCTTGGTTCAGGTACAGTTCCTTGATTCAGGTACAGTTCCTTGATTCAGGTACAGTTCCTTGATTCAGGTACAGTTCCTTGATTCAGGTACAGTTCCTTGGTTTCAGGTACAGTTCCTTGGTTCAGGTACAGTTCCTTGGTTCAGGTACAGTTCCTTGGTTCAGGTACAGTTCCTTGGTTCAGGTACAGTTCCTTGTTCAGGTACAGTTCCTTGATTCAGGTACAGTTCCTTGATTCAGGTACAGTTCCTGTTCAGTCTTGATTCAGGTACAGTTCCTTGATTCAGGTACAGTTCCTTGATTCAGGTACAGTTCCTTGGATTCAGGTACAGTTCCTTGTTCAGGTACAGTTCCTTGGTTCAGGTACAGTTCTTGGTTCAGGTACAGTTCCTTGATTCAGGTACAGTTCCTTGATTCAGGTACAGTTCCTTGATTCAGGTACAGTTCCTTGATTCAGGTACAGTTCCTTGGTTTCAGGTACAGTTCCTTGGTTCAGGTACAGTTCCTTGGTTCAGGTACAGTTCCTTGTTCAGGTACAGTTCCTTGTTCAGGTACAGTTCCTTGATTCAGGTACAGTTCCTTGATTCAGGTACAGTTCCTTGATTCAGGTACAGTTCCTTGATTCAGGTACAGTTCCTTGGTTCAGGTACAGTTCCTTGGTTCAGGTACAGTTCCTTGGTTCAGGTACAGTTCCTTGGTTCAGGTACAGTTCCTTGATTCAGGTACAGTTCCTTGATTCAGGTACAGTTCCCTGGCTCGCTGTTCTTTGAGTCGACTCAGAAGTCAACCGACGCCCCCCACCCACATGCAACAGGACGAGAACGAGATGGCTGCCAAGAAGTCTCTCTCGGTCTTGATCGAGCTCTATCGCCGGAAAGTGTGGACGGACGCCCGCACCGTCAACGTTATTGCGACGGCATGCTTCCACCCGACCACGCGCATCATGCTGGGCGCACTCAAGTTCTTCCTGGGGGCGGACCGGCAGGGCGAGGGCGACGAGGGGAGCAGCGGAGAGGACGACGAGGAGGACGAGAAGAAGAGCCGGAGTAAGGAGAGCGCCGCTCTCGCACTCGACAGGAAGGCGGTTTACACGGTGAGTGGCCGGTTAGAGACTCAAAGTTGCACGTGGATTGCCTCATCGGTCGAGGGTGAGACGGAGAGCCGCAGCAAGGAGAGCGCTGCTCTGGCGCTTCACAGTCTACATGGTGGGCTGAGTCTATTTTTTTAGGCGCCTAAAAAATAGACTTCTCAAGCAAGGAGAGCGCTGCTCGAGTGATAGATAGGACAGCAGTCTACATGGTGGGTTGAGTTGAGCCCTGAGTTTGCGGCGATGCGCTCGATAGAAGTGGCAAGCTAGTGAGCTCAATAGGAGGGCAGTCTATCTATCCCCTGCCCCTTTCCCCAGCTGACGTGGGTGTTGAAGGGCCTGCAGAAGCAGCAGAGGGGACTACTGAGTGGTCTATCCCTGCCCCTCTGCAAGCACGACCCCCTCCCCCTGCTCCCCCACTTCCCCCCTCCCCTTACCCAAGGCGTATCACAAGGGCACGCCTGCCAGCAAGCGCAAGAAGCAGGCGAAGCTGAAGCGCGTGATGAAGGGCATGCGGAAGCAGCAGAGGGCTGTGATGGGGGGAGGAGGGGAGGGTGCCGGGGCCGACGGCGAGGGGAACGCGCACTTTGCTGCGCTGCACCTCCTGCACGACCCGCAGGTGAGTTTTGAGTCGACTCAAAATACACGTGCTGCACGACCCACAGGTTGGTGTCAGGTGCACCATGGAACATCGCAAAACACACGTGCTGCACCTTCTGCATGACCTGCAGGTTGGTTGTCTGATGCGCGTTTGAAAGATTCTGATTAATATGCTTTGAACCAGGCAGCGCAAGGGGAACCATGCGTGAGGAGTCTATTTTTGAGGCGCCTCTAAAATAGACTCCAGCCAGCACAAGGGGAACGCTCACTTTGCTACACTGTCATACACCTCACGTGCCACCACCCCCCGTGCCACTACCCCCCATGCCACTACCCCCCGTGCCACTCCCCCCCGTGCAACTCCCCCCCCGTGCCACTCCCCCCCGTGCCACTCCCCCCCGTGCAACTCCCCCCCCGTGCCACTCCCCCCCGTGCCACTCCCCCCCAGTGCCATGCCACTACCCCCGTGCCACTACCCTGCTGGCAGGGCTTTGCTGTGAAGCTGTTAAGCCGCATGTCCAAGTGCAACGAGAAGCTCTTGTTTCCCAGCTCAACCCCCCCCCCCTTTTGCTCCTTGCGCTCTTCCCCATCCCTTGCGCTCCCCCGCGTCCTGCGCGCCCTGATACCATGCAGGGTTTTGCAGAGAAGCTGTTCAGCCGCGTGTCCAAGTGCAACGAGAAGTTCGAGGTGCGTGAGAGGGGGGAGGGGAGGGGGGGCCCGGGGCGGAGAGGGGGGGGGAGGGGGAGGGTCGGTCGAGCTAAGTGAAGGGAAGAAATGGGGAGGTGAGTTAAGAGGAGGAAAACGAGGAGGGTGCGTTCTGGGGACTGTCTTTCGTTCCCATGTCTTTCTTCTTGCCTCCTGGCTGCAGGGGAAACTGCTGGAGTCGAACTTGGTGTCGCGTGTAATAGTCACACACAGACATGCACAGACCTTCTCAACTTCCGCCCCTTCCTTCCTCCCCCTTTCGTCCTCTACCCCTTGTTCCCCCTTGCCCTCCTCCCCTCTCCCCCTTGCCCTCCTCCCCTCTCCCCCTTGCCCTCCTCCCCTCTCCCCTTGCCCTCCTCCCCTCTCCCCCTTGCCCTCCTCCCCTCTCCCCCTTGCCCTCCTCCCCTCTCTCTCCCCCTGGCTGCTGGTCAAGCTGCTGATGCTGAACGTGGTGTCGCGGATCACAGCCACGCACCGACTGCTTATCCTCAACTAAGGGGCACACAGGCACGCACAGACCTCTCTCCTGGCTCCCCCTCCCCACCCCTCTGGCCGCCTCCCTTCACCCTGGCTGCAGGTGAAGCTGCTGATGCTGAACGTGGTGTCGCGGATCATAGGCACGCACCGGCTGCTCATCCTCAACTTCTATCCCTTCCTGCAACGCTACCTCATGGTACGCCCCTCACGCTCCTACGTCTGTGATACGTCGGTTGTGCGCCTGTGTCGGCTTTCCTCTCTTTATTCTTTTGAGTCGACTCAAAAGTCATCTCGGTTGTGCGCGTGTTTTCTTTCCTCTCTTTTTTCTTTTGAGTCGACTCAAAGTCATCTTGGTTGTGCGCGTGTTTTCTTTCCTCTCTTTTTTCTACTTTCCAAGAAAGGCGCAGGCGCCCTTGTAACTGCGTTTGCTTCTTGGAACTCTCCATCCGGTCCGTTTGTCCCCTCACCCTCCATCCCATTCCATGATTGCAGCCGCACCAGAGGGACGTCACCCATCTCCTAGCCATTGCCGTGCAAGCGTGCCATGACCTGGTGAGTGTTATATACGCCCTTCCAAGGTTTGTACGTGCATCGAACACCATGAACTTTTGAGTGTTATATACGATTTTCGAGGCGCTTCAAACATCATCTCCTAGCCATCGCGGTGCAAGCTTGCCATGACCTGGTGCGTGCTGTACATGATGGATCTATGAGTGATTTTTGAGTCGACTCAAAAATCACCTACTTATCTTATTATTGTGTGTTTGACGGGCCTATTGAGCTTGTTCACAATTTCTTTGAGGCCTTTGTTCGAGGCCGTTATGCATGCCTAATCATGTTAGGCCCCCTCCTCGCCCCCTCAGGTGCCCCCAGACGCAGTGGAAAGCATGCTGCGGCAGATAGTGAACATGTTTGTGCACGACAGGGCACGGCCGGAGGTGATCGCAGTGGGGCTCAACACAGTGCGCGAGGTGTGCACGCGCATGCCGCTGGTGATGGGGGAGGAGCTGCTGCACGACCTGGCTCTCTATAAGAAGGCCAGAGAAAAGGCTGTGGCTGCTGCGGCTCGATCCATCATCGCCTTGTTCAGAGAGGTAAGGGAGGCGGCTACCACCCGAAAAGGGGAGGTGAGGAGGTGAGGAGACTCCACTGCTTGCACGCGCATGCCGCTGGTGGTGGGAAAGGAGCTGCTGCACGACCTGGGTCTCTACAAGAAGGCCAGGGAGAAGGCAGTGGCCGCTGCTGCCTGGTCTATCATCGCACAAGGGCAGTGGAGGTAAGGGCAGCGGAGGTAAAAGCAGTAGAGGTATGGGCAGTGGAGGTACGGGCAGTGGAGGTACGGGCAGTGGAGGTACGGGCAGTGGAGGTACGGGCAGTGGAGGTACGGGCAGTGGGGCTAAGGGCAGTGGAGGTAAGGTCAGTGGAGGTACGGGCAGTGGAGGCACGGGCAGTTGAGGTACGGGCAGTGGAGGTACGGGCAGTTGAGGTACGGGCAGTGGAGGCACGGGCAGTTGAGGTACGGGCAGTGGAGGTACGGGCAGTGGAGGTACGGGCAGTGGAGGTACGGGCAGTGGAGGTACGGGCAATTCCACCGTCCACCGGTGGACGCTGTCCACCGTCCTCTATCCACCGATGGACGCCGTCCATCGTCCACCATCCACCGGTGGATGCGGTCCGCTGTCCACCGTCCACCGTCCACCGGTGGACGCCATCCAGCTCCCGCCATCCACCGTCCCCTGTCCGCCGGTGGACGCCGTCCACCGTCCACCGTCCGCTGTCCACCGTCCACCGGTGGACGCCGTTCACCGTCCCCCGTCCCCCGTCCACCGGTGGACGCCGTCCACCGTCCACCGTCCACTGTCCACCGTCCACCGGTGGACGCCGTTCACCGTCCGCCGTCCACCGTCCACCGTCCACCATCGACCGGTGGACGCCGTACGCTGTCCACCGTCCACCGTCCCCCCGTCCACAGGTGGACGCCGTCCACCATCCACTGTCAACCGCCCACCGGTGGACGCCGTCTACCGTCCATCGGTGGACGTCGTTCACTGTCCACCATCCACCATCCACCGTCCCCCGGTCCACCGTCCACCGTCCACCGTCCACCGTCCAAGGGTGGACACCGTCCACCGTCCACCGCCCACCGTCCAACGTCCGCTGTCAACGGGTGGACACTGTCCACCGTCCACCCTCCACCGTCCCCCGTCCCCCGTCCACTGGAGGACGCCATCCACCGTCCACCGTCCACCGCCCACCGTCCACTGTCCACTGGTAGACACCGTCCTCCGTCCACCGTCCACCGTCGGTAAGGGCAGTGGAGGTACGGGCAGTGGAGGTACGGGCAGTGGAGGTACGGGCAGTGGAGGTACGGGCAGTTGAGGTACGGGCAGTGGAGGCACGGGCAGTTGAGGTACGGGCAGTGGAGGTACGGGCAGTTGAGGTACGGGCAGTGGAGGTACGGGCAGTGGAGGTACGGGCAGTGGAGGTACGGGCAGTGGAGGTACGGGCAGTTGAGGTACGGGCAGTGGAGGTACGGGCAGTTGAGGTACGGGCAGTGGAGGTACGGGCAGTTGAGGTACGGGCAGTGGAGGTACGGGCAGTGGAGGTACGGGCAGTGGAGGTACGGGCAGTGGAGGTACGGGCAGTTGAGGTACGGGCAGTGGAGGTACGGGCTACGTGACCGCAAACGCGTTTAGCGTTTTAAACGCATCGTTTAAACGCTAGCGTTTAAACGCTAAACGCTGCTGCTTGAGTTTCTAAACGCTAAGGTAAACGCACTCTCGGGCAGCCAGAAAAAAATTTCCGGGCAGGGTAAAAAAACCTGGGATAGGTAGGGGGAGGCAAGGGGATTATGGTTGACAACAATTTTCCTCCAAATTATATCACATAAAAAAAAATTGGCATGTCAAATCCACATGTCAACGACAACCACATGTACTACCTACTACCACCCTCTAATCAACAGCACCCTCCGTCTTCCTTCCTCCACCCTCCTACCCAAAAGCCCCCCATGCTTCTTAACCGCCGCCGCCACTCCCTCATCTCCTCCTACTCCTCCTCCTCCTCCTCCCCATACTCGTCCTCGAGCACGGGCTCATCTCCATACTCATCCTCCTCTAACTGCCCCTCCTCATCGACGTTGTATCCTTTTGGAATGGGAGCATCCGGGATGTTCCCCGCAAGAACCGCCCTAGTCTCCTCGCTGGTTTTGTGCCAGTTGCGCACAACGTTCCAGTTGTGCGCAACAAACACCAAGTCCCGGCACTTCTCGGGCCCGAGACGGTTGCGGCGTGCAGTGTGCACCGATTCCCACACTGCCCACCCGCGCTCGCAGCTGGATGCAGACACCGGCTGCGTGAGCACACGACACGCGAGCTCTGCCAGCTCGGGGTGGTTGGTCCCGTGCCAGGTCCACCAGTCCTCCATACTTAGACTCCCCTCCTTCACTTTCTGCCGCTGCATTATTGCGTCGGGTTTGCCGAAGGAACCCCTCAGCTTCAGGAATGCAGTCACTCCCTCCTGCAGTACCACTACCGCACTCTTCTCCTTTGCCTCCTTACGATCGATGGTGATGGTGCTGCTGTATCGGCCAATGAACTCCTTAAACAGGTCGGTGCACTCCTTGTCGGGGCCAAAGATCTTAGCAACCTGGTTGGCCGGGTTGAGGATCCGGCCAACAGCATGCAGTGGGCAAGCCATGCTGACGTCCCACCGATGCTGGATGATCTCCCCAATCCCCTCCTTATCCTCCGGCGTCAGCTGCAAGTCTTCCTTCTTCAACAGATCAGTCACGTCCACAGTGAGTTTGAGCATGAGCTCATAAATCTGCCCCATCATCCCCTTGGCCGAGGAGTCAGTCGACCGCATCACAAGGTAAGGCAGTTTCAACAGCTTGACAAAGAACTCAGCTGCTGCCCACCAAGCCTGGTTAAGCACAATGCTCTGGATGGAATCGGCCGCTGCCTTCTGCTTCCCTACGGCCCACGCCTTCCACGTTTCGCCTGCCACCAACACAGTCAGCTTCCCGTGGAGGTCTACAAGCCTCGACACTGCAATGTACTGGGTTCCGAACCGGGTGCCCGCTGGCTTCAACAGCTGCAGCACCTTGCCCCTCAGCTCCCCTGGCTCGCGCAAGAAGTTCCTCGTCCAGTGGTGATTGCGGACGTAATTTATCACCTCGTTCGCACCCTCAACCACCCTCTTCGCCCACGCCTGCTTTCCCACGTCTTCCATGAGCAGGTCTAGGACATGAGTGGCGCACGGCACATGCTCAATGTGCGGCCACTCCTCCCTCAACACCTTGCAGGCCTTGCCGTAGTTACTCCCCCCATCCGTGCATAGCGCCACCACATTCGCAGGCCCAATTTTCTGGATGATAGGGCGGAGGATGCCGGCAATGTACCCGCCTGTCTTCGTCTCCATGCGGCAGTCAATGCAGTCGGCAAACATGGCGCCGAAGTCATTGACTAACATGACGTTCGCTTGCGGCCTCCCGCACCGGTCTGTCATCATGTCTGAAGCCACGGTGACGCCATGCCTCTCCCAATTCTGTTTGAGTGCATCAAGGGCGAGATCGATGCGGGTGCGACACTCCTTCAACCCCGCTCCTCCAATGTACGTGCGTTTGGGCGGCACGTACGTTGTTCCCGCACGAGCGACCGCATGCACGGCATCGACGAAGAGTGGGTGGTCGGCATGACGTTCTGGGATGCGGAGGGCTGCAAACATGAGGCACAATGCCGCATCCGCCTCACGCTTAGCACATGCCGCGCCGTTGCTGAAATACGTAGTTATCTTGCCCCGCTTTCCCCCTCCCCCCACGGCCTCCACCGCATCCGCGACCTCCTTACGCTTCTGGGCCTTGACAGACGCCTTCCCTTCGTATAGTGCCTGCATTGCCTCCCTCACCTCCTTTGGCGCCGAGGGACATTCCTTGACCTCCCGCCGCCCCTGTCGTTCCCACTCCGCGAAATGCATAGCGCACCGGTTGGGAATGCCTACAAAAGACAGCCCGCAATAACGACATTCCACCCTAGCTGTGGCGACCCCGGCCTCCTTAACTCTAACTTTGTAATGCTTGTAAACATCATGATTAGACTCTGCCTCGTAAATATTTGACGCTGCAGACGCTGTAGGATTAGCGTCTGCAGCACCATTAGGGGGGGTCGACATGGGCGTGGGCCCTTAACTTAGCGCGAAATTAGGTGGCAAGGGTGAGTGGGCGTGGGAGATGAGAGAATGACGACTAAATCTGATCTACGGCTATGTCGCGCGGAACTCTAGGGTTCCCGTTTCTCATGGGGAAGAGATTGTGATGGAAGAAGGGGAGAAAGTGGTTAGGTTGGAGTGGCCGTAGATGAACAGGGTGCTGTGCGGTTGAGCGGGGCAAAAGAATTGGATGCGTTTTTTGGTCGCTAGGTTGGGATTTGCGACTTGGCGAATGTCTAGTTGAATTCGCCAGGTCGCAATGTCGCGAAAAAAAATTGGTCGATTTTTTCGTCGGGCTGCCCCTAAAATTTTACCCGAGCGTTTAGCGTTTTACCACGCGTTTAGCGTTTAGCGTTTAAACGCAGCGTTTAAACGCTAAACGCTGCCCCGCCAGAGCGTTTGCGGTCACGTAGGGTACGGGCAGTTGAGGTACGGGCAGTTGAGGTACGGGCAGTGGAGGTACGGGCAGTGGAGGTACGGGAAGTTGCCAGTGTATCCTGGGCGTTGCCCTTCCCCTGGTTCTGTGCTCAACCCCCCAACTCCTCCCCCCTCTCCCATGCAGGTGAGTCCAGCGCTGCTGCAGCGGAGAGACAGGGGAAAGCCCGGGCCCGCAGGGAGAGTTGTTTGTGTGTCCTGCGCTTCGTCTGTCTCGTGTGCCGTGCACCTCCGCCCTGTGCTCACCTCCCAACACCTCCCCTCTCCATGCAGGTGAATCCAGCGCTGCTGCAGCGGAGAGACAGGGGCAGGCCCGGGGCGGCAGGGGAGGCGGTGCAGCCAATGGCGTTTGGCCAAATGGCAGTGTCTGACCATGTGCCTGGCATTGAGCTGCTTGGGATTCCCGAGGAGGAAGGGGATGGGGAGGAGGGGAGTGAGGAGGGGAGTGAGGGGGAGGAGAGTGAGGTGGAAGGGGAGGAGAGTGGTGAGGAGGTGATGGAGGGAGATGGGGAGGAAGAAGTGGAGGAGGAAGGGGAGAGTGATGAGGAGGGGAGCTCTGGGAGTGAGGAGGTAATGAGTGAAGGTGAGGAGAGCGAGGAGGAGAGTGGGGGTGAGGAAGAGGAGGAGGAGGAAGGGGAGGAGGAGGAGGAGGGTAGAGAAGGGAAGGTTAGTGGGGAGAGGATGGGGGAAGGGAGTGTGAAAGTAGAGGGGGCGAGTCTAAGGCAGTTGAAACGAATGGCAGCAGGAGGGGGGGGAACGGCAGGGGAAGGGAAGAGCGGAGAGGAGGGGGGGACGGCAGGGGAGGAGGGGGGAAAGGCAGAGGAGGAAGATGGGTTTTTATCAACGGAGGATTTCAGGAAGATCAGGAGGATGCAGGCTAAGAGAGCAGCGGAGGCGACTCTGAGGCGCAAGGGGATGAAAAAGGCTGCCAATGCGCTCGCACACTCGCACACACACACGAACTCCCACTCGCTCAGTGAACGGAGGGTGGATCCTTCTGACCTGGAGGTGAGTCATGCTGGCGTGGAGTGCAGGATTCAAGCAATGGTTGTGTCGCCGCGATTGTGTGTACAACGCTTTTTCTGTCTCTCGCGCTCTCTCTTTCTCTCCATCTCCCACCTCAGGTGCACATCAAGGCCCGGAGGGACAAGGAGGAGCGGATGGCAGCAGTGATGGCAGGCCGGGAGGACCGAAGCTTCTTTGCCAAGTCCGCCCTCAAGCAGCAGAAGGTGAATCCTTTCCCAAGCTTTGAGGCGCCTCAAAATCCGCGTGATAGGAGTCTAGTTTTGAGGCGCCTCAAAATCCGCGTGATAGGAGTCTAGTTTTGAGGCGCCTCAAAACTAGACGCCCTCAAGCAGCAGAAGGTGAATCCTTTCTCAAGCCGGGGCAAAAGGGAGATGTGTGTGTGTGGGGGGGGGAGAATGGGAAGCGACACGAGGTATACATTGTCAGGGGGGGAGAGTGAGGCAGAAGTTGCCTTATTGCGAATGTCTAACACGTTATGAATGTCTAACACGTTATGAATGCCTAACACGTTATGAATGCCTAACACGTTATGAATGCCTAACACGTTATGAATGTCTAACAGGTTATGAATGTCTAACACGTTATGAATGTCTAACACGTTATGAATGTCTAACACGTTATGAATGTCTAACACGTTATGAATGTCTAACACGTTATGAATGTCTAACACGTTATGAATGTCTAACACGTTATGAATGTCTAACACGTTATGAATGTCTAACACGTTATGAATGTCTAACACGTTATGAATGCCTAACACGTTATGAATGCCTAACACGTTATGAATGCCTAACACGTTATGAATGTCTAACACGTTATGAATGTCTAACACGTTATGAATGTCCAACATGTTATGAATGTCTAACACGTTATGAATGTCTAACACGTTATGAATATCTAACACGTTATGAATGTCTAACACGTTATGAATATCTAACACGTTATGAATGTCTAACACGTTATGAAACGCATTGCTGGTTGTTCCTATCGCCTGACCCCTCCCCTCCACTCCGGCATCCCCCCCGCTGCGTTATTATTTCCGCTCAGATGGGCGGGTCGTCCAACAGGGACAAGGAGAAGCGGAAGGCAGCACTGCTGGCAGCACAGAGGGCAGCACAGAGGGCAGCACAGAGGGCAGCACAGAGGGCAGCACAGCTACGAGAATGCATCCGAACTCATCCATTCCTGCTTCCCCCCTCTGCATCCCCTCCCCCCCCCCCCCTCCCTTGTTGCTCCCTGCCAGGTGGGCGGGTTGTCCAACAGGGAGAAGGAGAAGCACAAGGCCGCACTGCTGGCAGCACAGCGGGCAGCAAACTGACCCATTCTCTGCACCCCCCCATCTCCGTTGTTCTTCCCCGCCAGGTGGGCGGGTCGTCCAACAGGGAGAAGGAGAAGCGCAAGGCAGCACCGCTGGCAGCACAGCGGGCGAAGCTCAAGAGGCGGACGCAGGGCAAGCGGCGCAAGAATGCGAAGCAGTTTCAGGGGAAGAAGGCGTGGAAGACATAACAAGATTTAGGGGAACAAGACGTGGTACGCAGTATTTGGGCTTGTATCTGGGGCTCATCGTCGAAGGAATGGGAAGCAGGTTTAGGGTAAGAAGGCCTGGGAGACGTGAAATGTGGATTCCACAAGATACTTTGGCCAGAATTCATGTAAATTTATCATCATCATTTGCTCCAAATTGCTGTTTTTTACTCGTATGGCAATCCTTGTTTGTCTGCATGTTGCAAGAAGTGTATATCGGGCTTCATCGCAATGAAAAGGTTGCTGGTAACGACTCATTGACGGCTCAGACAACCCCAAGACTCCTTACCTCATGTCCAACCGAACGATTGCCCGCCATGGCGTCCGTCAGGCGTGTTCTCGCCATTGCGTTGGCCTTCGTGCTCGCGCTCGTCGCGGCGTACACTACTGTCCACAGCGTCGCGCTCCTCGCATCCTCCACACGCCCTCGCGGCTCTCTTTCCCTCTCCTTGGCTGCTCTTTCGCGCTTTAAAGCCAGGGTATCAAGTACCGAGATCGCCGCCACACTCTCACCCATCACCACCACTAGTATCAGTAATGCCGCACGGTTCTCAGGCGTGAATGACGCCGCAATCCCCGCTGTGGTCCCGAGGCCGCTGCAGCTGCAGCCGCCCGCGAATCGCGCTCCTGCTGACGGCGCTCCGCTCGAGCGCGTGTGTGGCTCGCCAGCTGTCGACGGGTACGCGCACGTGGACGCCACGTGCCTCGAGGGCTCGCCGACCAATCGCCTGTGGTGGTCCATGCACCCCCAGGTGAGCCCCCTGGCAGTCAGGCGAATCCTCAGGTCAGCCCCCTCTTTCAGGTGAATCGCCAGGGGATTTCTGAACTCCTGTCAGGCGAATCACCTGAGGGCGTGTGTCTGAAGCACATTACTGCACTGCTCTGTCTGTGTGACTGTTCACGGAGGTGACAATACGTGCCGGGGGGCAGGATCTGGGGGGGGGGGGCTATTTCTGAGGCGCCTCAAAACTCACTGTGGAGTGTGACTGTGTGATTGTACGTGAATGTATGTGAATTTATGTGACTGTGTGACTGTACGTGAATTTATGTGACTGTGACTGTACGTGACTTGATGTGACTGTGTGACTGTACGTGACTATACGTGCAGGGCGGCAAGAGCGGAGAGGGGTTGGAGTGCCACGTGGAGCGGGAGGTGAGCCTGGACGGGCTGGCTGTGCGGTGGGGCATCGGACACAAGACCACCACTCCCGAGCAGTGCTGCCAGGCCTGCAGGTATGCATGTGCCATCTCCCTCACCTTCCCCTACTCATCGCCTCTTCTTTGGCCCTCGTGCATTTTGAGTCGACTCAAAATGCATTTGGCCCTCTTCCCCCCATCCTCCAACAACCCCCTCCATCCGCCCTATGTCAGACTAGTGTCCGCCCTCCCTCCCTTGTGTCCTTTCATTTTCATCCATATTGCCCTAGGGACCATGAACCGGGCCCACACCTAGGGGGCCCCTTCGCCCGTCTCCCCTGCAACGTATGGGTCTTCTGCGCCGCGCCAGCCTGCTTTGAGCCTGACGTGCACACTCACACATACGGGGACTGCTGGCTCAAATTCTCGGAGGCGCCGCAGAGCCCTGAGGTGAACGCGAGGGGGGAGTACCCTCGGGATCTCCGCGCCAGGCATCCTGCAGCGCCCGAGCGGTGCCAGTGGGTGGCGGGGGTGCTGCTGCCGCTCGGGCAGGTGCTGACTAACGGCACTTGGAGCCCGAGATACGAGTGGTGACGGGCAGGGGCCAGGACAACTGGCTTCAACTTATGTCTTCTGAACAGAAGGCGTCTCAAGAGCATGTGCCAGGCAACCAGAGGCACCCGAGAGCCCTGAGGTGAACGCGAGGGGGAGTACTCTCGGGATCTCCGCGCCAGGCATCCAGGGGCGCCCGAGCGGTGCCAGTGGGTGGCCGGGGTGCTGACCAATGGCACTTGGAGCCTGAGATACGAGTGGTAGGGGGCACAAGGCACAGGGCAACAGGCTTCACGTTATTCGGTGCCGGGGTGAAGGGCGTTTGTGTGCGACAAGGAGCCATGCATGGCAGCAGCGATGGCAGGCAGGGAGGACGTACGCCTCTTTGCCGCGTCCGCCCTCAAGCAGCACAAGGTACATGTGTGTGTGAGGTGGGGGCAAAGGGTGGGCCCTCTGTTAGCGTCTGCGCGTGGGAGGGGTGAGGTGGGGGGGGGGGCTGAAACGCGTCCATGTGAGGGTGTGAGGTGATCAAGAGCGTCAGCATTCAGCCAGGGTTGTGAGGAAGTGATCGGGCCAGGGAACTGCCTGCCTGCATTCGTTGCCAAGCACAGCAGTACTCACACCGTTTCACGCACGGCTAATGTCCAAGGTGACTTTTGAGTCGACTTAAAAGTCTGCCTGCATTCTTTGCCAAGCACAGCAGTAATCACACACACCCTAACGCACTGCTAATGCCCGGTTCCCACCTCCTCCACCCGTCTGCTCTCAGGTGGGTGGGTCATTCAACAGGGAGGCGAAGTGCCAGGCACCGCTGCTGGCAGCACCACTGGCAGCACCACTGGCAGCACTAGTGGCAGCACTGCGGGCATGGAAAGCTTGAAGACGTAATGACTTGGTCCAGACGACTTACTTGAAGTATTTGATGTGTATGTACTTGATTACTAGCTCAATCCAATATTCCTAGTGTAAAATCATCGTGTCCAGCCAAAGGTTTGCTGTTTTGGACCCTGGTAGACATCCAGTTTAGTACATTAAGCATGGAGAGGGTACGCTTCAGGTACCTTGTTTTACCTTGTTTGTTTTATTGCTTCACCTTGCTCCCGCTTCTCCGCTCACGTGCAAAAAGCTCAGCAGCTACAGTGCGTGCCAGCCCAGCGCGTTCCACGGCGTCAGTTGCGGTAAGCGCGCTCTCGCAGCTGCCTTGGCGTTGGTCCTTGCGCCCGCCGCGGCATACAGTGACACTGACACGCGCTCCGTCACTCTCCTCGTGCTTACAACGCTACTCTCGCTTTCTCTCCATCGCTTCACTCGCGCTTTAGTAACGCCACGCCACCCTCTCGCGTGATGAGTAGTAGTTCCCTAGCAGCTCCGCGGTGGTTCCGAGGCCATTACAGCCACGTGTGGTTCACTCACCTGCTGACGGCGCTCCGCTCCAGCGCGTGTGTGCGGGTCGCCAGGTGACGATTTTAGGGCTACGATGAAATCAGGGCTACGGTGAAATCAGGGCTACGGTGAAATCAGGGCTACGGTGAAATCAGGGCTACGACGATATCATCTAAGGCCTCCATGCGATGAAATCAAGATCTGAGTCGCGCGGCTATTATCGCGACTAAGATCCAAGTCGCGACGAGTTTTAGTTATGAGATAAGCTACGAAGTCACGGTACTCAGTCCTAGCGCTGCGCTGAGTCGCGACGGGAATAAGCTACGGGGCTAAGATCTGACTTGACTCAATGAGTTATGGCACCCCTTGAGTCACGGTACTCAGTCATAGCGCTGCGCTGCTTTGATCTGAGACGCGACACTACGGTATCAAGCTACGAGGTGTGACTAGCTACGGGACTAAGAAATCAGAACACACAGCTACTTAGTGTAACAACAGTACGAGCCTGCCCAAGTCCAGATGATAAGGACGTCATTCTACCGCGGGGCGACTAGTACACACCTTCCCTCCCTAATGGCTTGCAAGATTTCCCCTCCCAACCATTCCATGCCTTTTCAGCTGCCCGGATCGTGCTTTAGCAGAAGCGAAGCGATTTGCGACTTGCAATTGGAGCTCAACTCCTCGTGTCTTGTCACCCAAATGTTTGCCATGGCTCACCAATGCCGTCCCGCACCTCGCGCAAAGAAACCGGTGTGTTGGGCCCACATACTAGTGCCACGTCAACGACCTCCTAGGAACTTCGTGCCTGCCCTTGTCACAAACTTGCCATTTGTGACACAACAACGCCAGATACGCTTATCAAAACGAAACCAAACAAAAAATAAATAATAACGGAAGAACTTAACCGAGCTACACCGCTGTACACCAACTGAAACTGCTACAGTGCGGCTTGTCAGGTTTCCACCAAGTTCCCAGCATCCGCATTTTGGTTTGAGGCTCAAGTGAGCGTACAAACGGCGGACGGCGCGGCTCTGACATTGCAAGAGCGGGGAATTTTCCCATGGATGATTTCATGCATGACCATACAGCCGACACTGCGGCTTCCATCTTCACCGTTCAAATTTTGCGGCGGCATCTGGACCGTTCATTCAAAAGTTCCAAGTGGGTTCACTTCCACACCACTAGGCCACTCCAACCACTCAAAGTCACTCACCAGAGAACCTCCCCGTCACGCAAATCTCTATATAGCTTCTTCAGTCACTCATTTGTTTATTTTCGCCAGTTTCACTTGAGAATCCGCCATCCGTGCTCCCGTCTAGAACGACTCTCCAACGGCGGCATTCCTGCAACGACTCGCCAGCAACGGCATTCCAACAACTCCAACCGCTACCACCCACCCGCTTCCTCCTCCTCGCACCACTCATTCCTCCTCCTCGAGCAGTCAGTTCTCACAAGGGACCCTCCCCCAGGTGACAGATGTACAGGTATGCTAGGTAACTGCCCGGGTAAGTTACAGCTGGTAAGGTATGGTAAGTCCCTTCGTTGAGACACTGCTGCTCCCACCACACTTGCTCCGCCTCCGCGACTCGGCTCCACGGTAAGTTTGACTGCCATTCCTTCCGCTTTTTTTCTCTTCGTGAGACTCACGCCGTGTTGTTGCCTCCTGCAGGTTGACGCCGGCCTGAAGATATTACGGCTGAAGTCGCTGAAGACGTTTCGAGGCATGATCATGGCGCCGCGAAGCTCCCCACTCCTTCGGCGTTGCGGCCCATGGTGAGTCTGAGTTCCTTTCATTCGCTTCTTTCTTTTAAAGAGCCTTATGCCGTGTTGTTGCCTCCTGCAGGTCGACGCCGCTGATCTTCTACTTGCTCGTCGCAAGACGGCGCTCATCTTCCACGCACTGAAGACGGCGTCGCCAAGCTCCTCGCTACACGGCATCCCGAGGCGTCGCGTGATCGGCTTCGCGATGCTTCGCATCGTCCTGGCTCCACGCCTCTACGGCGTCCCGAGGCTCCACACCTCTTCGGCGTCCCGAGGCTCCACGCCTCTACGGCGTCCCGAGGCTCCACGCCTCTACGGCGTCCCGAGGCTCCACGCCTCTACGGCGTCCCGAGGCTCCACGCCTCTTCGGCGACCCGAGGCTGGCTATACGGCGTCGCGAGACCGGCGTCGCGAAACCGGCGTCACGAGATTGGCGTCCTGAGGTGTACCTAAATCCTTCCGCCTTCTGCTACTTCGTTCTCGTTGCAGCTGCAGCGACAAGAATGGCGGCCTGGGAGGAGGGACGAGCGGGATGGGGGCAGGGGGGGATGGAGCGGAACGGTAGCCCCCGCCTGACCCTCCATCCCCCCTTCCCGCTCTTACCTCCTCTCGGGTTCTTGACAACACCTTCAATCGACGTGAAGATCGAGGCGTTTTAATTTCTTCCTCCTTTTCCAGATTTTTCTTTTTTTCGCAGTAAGAGGAGGCGGAGGAACGGGGGAGTCCCCGTTCAGATTTATCTTCTTTTCTCCTTCCGTCCTCCACCCTCCCCCCCTTTCAGCCACGGCGCAACGAGCCATTTGTAAGTTTCTTCACCTTGTCGTTTTTTTCGGCAGTATTTCTTTGCGTTGTCCGTTATTTCTTTCTTTAACGCGTTTAACGGGTGATTTCCACTGCTTGCTTGTGATGCTGGCGAAGGGTAAGCTGGTTGATGTTTTATTTTATTTTTCCCTCGTTTCTTTATTCTAAACTGACTCCTTTTCGTTTCTTCCTCTTTGGTGCAGTTTAGCCATGGGAGCAAGGACCCGTTTGTAAGTTTTGTCGCCTTTTCCGCACTTTGTTTTTCTTCGAATTTTTTCTCTTTGGTTCTTCCTCAATGGTAGCGGCCACCATAACCAACCCTCCTCCTCCAGTACCTTCCCCCCCTAGGTTCCCGCGAACAACAATTTGGGAAGCACGACGGACGGAGAGCGCGTTCGGAAAGGTTGTAAGTCAATTTCTCCCACATCGATTAGTTTCGTTACCTAGGGCTCGTTACAGTAGGCTCGTTACAGTAGGCGATCGCTCGTTACAGTAGGTGGCTACGAAAGCCTCGTTACAGTAGGTCGTTACTGTAGTATCGTTACAGTAGTCGGCTACGAAAGCCTCGTTACAGTAAGTCGTTACTGTAGCATCGTTACAGTAAGCGGCTGCGAAAGCCTCGCTACGGTAGATCATTGCGATTGCCTCGATCGATCGACTCGCTGGATGGGCCCTCGGCCTCGTCCCCCTTCCCAGAGCAGTTTCACTGGAGGTTGGCTCCGACGATCTTTGAGAGGTGGTTTTCTGCCAGGTGGCAGCACAATTCACTCATCTACCCTTCTTCCCCACAGGTTTCCCGAGCGAATGACCCCCACCTCACCGTGGTGCTCGGGTGAACGCTAGGGGCTTTGCCCCTAGCGGCCAAGAGGGGTCAAAATTTTTAAGTGATAGCGCGACCAGCGCGGTTTAGAACTTAAATATAGAACCAGGACTGCACTTATGTATGCCTTGTACTGTATATAAAACTTATAATAAACTCTGTTTGAGCACTACCGGTTCTGCCCCAACTTGTACACTTGTCTTGTCCCTGGTTTACTGACAAACTCAGCAGAAAGCATGCAAATACCACACACGCAGAAAATTTGCCCGTTAATGTTTTGGGTGCCCAACACAAACAAGGGTGACATAATTTCGACCTTTTTAGCGAGGCGCACCACACTTGATCACAGAATCCATGAATTCACGCGGCTCCTGTATATGCAAGGGATCAAATGGGAGATTCAGTGCGGTTCGAGGTAAATCTAGCGTTTTACAGTAGGATGCAGTACGGCTGGTGTCACAGAATCTGACATATGTCCCTGACGAAATCCACCCAAGCCTCTGAAAACCTCGCTGTAAACTCCATTCCCGCTTCAACGATAAGTACCCTATTTTGATGTTGTAAGAATAAATTTTCTGTACCCCAAACCACCCCAGCTCCGTGGCTCAGGGACTGCCCAGTGCTGTAGTAAGCGATTCGTGCCAGTGTGTCCCCGCACTCAACGCTGTAGATCAGGGAAAGCATAGATCAGGGAAAGCAGAGATCAGGGAAAGCATAGATCAGGGAAAGCATAGATCAGGGAAAGCATAGGTCAGGGAAATTAGCTGAGCTTTATGTGTCCAGAAGGAAAGCAGCGGCTAACGCAGATCCGTACAGACAGATTAGATGCGTGTCAGAAGAAGTTTCCGCCGTGCGTGTGAATTCGCGTTAGAAGGCTGAAGTTCTGATCTACCGTTTAGACACGTGTGAAACAAACTGCAAGTCCCAATCGTTCGTTTAGTCGTGGCAGAAAAATCTGCCACGAGGTATTACTTTATGGATAGTTCTGTGAAGCAGCAGGCTTGAGGTGCCAGATCAGCATTGATCTCGAGTAGGCGACTACTCGTTTTGTAGACTGAACTGAACATCCAGCTTTCGACTTCAGCATTCCCTTATAATCAACTACTCCTTGTGTTTATTCGGCATCCATGGCGGCGTTGCTGCACGCGGTCTGGGCGAGGTATCTGGACTCGCTCAAGCACCGACCTGTCGTCACCAAGGTGCGCATCGGGCTTTCCCGCTTTCCCCACTAGCTCAAGCTTTCCCGCTTCCCCCAATAACTCATGAACGTCGGGCTTTCTCGCGCAAGCATCGGCCCGTTCTCGCGAATTCAATGGCCGCGATCGCCGCTTTCCCCGCTTGCTCCTCCGCTTTGCCGATTCTAGACCGTTGCGGATTCCGCCTCCCCGTCGTTCAGGCACTCACGTCGGCGTCGCTAGCGGCAGCGAGCGACCTGATGGCGCAGCGACTGGCGTCAAGAGGCAAACCGGTGGAGCTCCGGCGGACGATGCTCATGTGGGTGAGTGGGGGACGTTCTGTTTTTGAGGCGCCTCAAAAACGATGCTCATGTGGGTGAGTGGGGGATGTTCCTCGCGGGATGGTGCGTGCAGGAGAGTTGAATCGGGGGAGGGCGAAAGCAAGCATGACGTCATGCTCGTTTGTCTGTGATCTTTGCTTGCTGATGGTCATGTTGAATCTCTCATTTGACCTTTTTCCCCGTCTTCCATTCCGCGACCCTTCCTGATTCATGCTCTATTCATCCACCCCTCAGCTATTCGGGCTGCTGTACATGGATCCGTCAGCGCACATGGTGCACCGCCTGCTCCATGGGCCTCGCTTTTGACCCTTTGATCCCTCATGCATCGCTCGGATTATCAATGAGATCTGTCATCATGCCTCCCTGTCCCTGGCTGCTGTCCCCGTCCCTCAGCTATTCGGGCTGCTGTACATGGGTCCATCAGCGCACATGGTGCACCGCCTGCTTGATGCCATCTTCGCCGCCAAGAGAGACACCAAGACTGCTCTGAAAAAGGCATGGGAACGGCACTTGTTTTTGGCTGAGGAAACGGTGTAGAGGATGAAAAGGGGGGAGAATATAGGGGAGGGGGGTAATGTGCATGCATTTTCTTGGCCATGCAAGTACCTCTGGGGTAGTGTTCTCCTGGAAATCTTCTGGCTCTGTACCTCCGCTGTCCTCTTTCCAGGTGCTGTTGGAGCAGCTGACGTACGGCCCGTGCTGCAATGTGGTGGCCATTCTCTGGATTTCCTATGCGGTGGAGCGACGCTCATGGAAGGCATCCAAGAGAAGGCTCTTTGCAGCGTACCCCGGGATCCAGATCAACGGATGGAAGGTGAAACTACTTCCCAGTCTCCAGTTACCGTATTATTGTGTAATTCTTGGTACTGATTTTACGGGTGGATTCTCTCTTCGCCATGTGTTGGCTACTTGGTTGTTGCCTCAGGTGTGGCCTCTTGTGGCACTGATTAACTACAAGTTCATCCCATTCAACCTCCGAGTGCTCTTCTCCAACGTTGTTGCCATTTTCTGGTGAGTCATGGGGTGCACTTTGCTCCGTCTGGTCGATATAATCTGCATGCTGACTCATTTCTTTGTTGCATCTTATTCCACATTCCAGGTCGACTTTCCTCATTCTAAAAGCACGAGGAATTAAGGACAAGCATAGTCTGGATTAGCTCTTGGATCCTGCATCATTTATGTAAATAGAACATGTACAGCATATGAAAGTTCAATACCTACGTATTGTGAAAGCTTGCTTGTGAAATCTTGGCAAAGTCAGCGTGCTTCATTTCATATGGGTGAGGTCGAATGGCCTCACGTCCCTCTTTTGTAGGCAAAAGAGGGTGAGTAGCGCTTAGACGCTGTCCTTGCTGCGTTGGCCCTCGCTACACTTTCACAATACACATGTTTTATAAAGCGTTACACGCTTTCAAAAAATTACATGAAGTACATACTAAGCTTATTACAACATAAATTGAACCTCTTCAGGTTATGGTTATGGGCATTGGATTCTTGTGAGCAACGGGATTCCCCTTGAGCGGTAAAGCGAAGAGATTCCCTTTGAGGGGCAAGACCCATGCGACAGGATACACGACTGACTGTCGCTGTGAGCCATTTTCGCGCAGCCAAACCAATCAGCCATGTCGGTCGGCCTCTGACGGATTCTCGCCGCTTCCGCGGTGCGTCAGCAGGGGCAAACGAGCAGCGTTCGTCCAATCATACCCGCCAGCGCCTCGTGCTGTGTGAGTCAGCCGGTGGAAGCGATTGTGCCGAGGCAAACAAACAGTGCGCGCTTGCTTCGCATCCCAGGCTGGGAACCTCGCTTCGCTTCGCATTCCCCTCGCCGAGGCTGGGAGGTAGGTGTGGAGAAGGTGGAGTGACGCTGGCAGCAGGGCACGGAAGGAACAAATCGAGTCAGGGCGCGCAAGCGTGGAAAAGCAGAGTCGAGTTGAGAGCAGAGAGCCGAACAGAACGGGTGTCCCTCCCTCCCTCCACAGCAACAACCACCACGGCAATGGCTCCTCGCCTCGCCTCATTTGCTCCTGTTCCGTTTCGCTTCTTCCTGCACACTCGTTCCGTCTGTCCGCAATTCATCCGAAACATACCTACTGTACTGTGCACTTCGTTACTCGTCTCCCCTTTTGCCACCCGCTCGTCCCGCGCTTGACCTAAGCACTCGCGCTCCACGGACTGCGCTTCCGCCAGTTTCACTACTCTCCCTCACCACCGCCATATCCAGACAGCTTTTTTAGAGCTTGTCCAGGCAGCTTTAGCACCTCATTAGCTCCTACACACGGCGACTGAACGCATCCTGAGAATTGATAGGGTTATACGTGAGCTTTGTCCCCCGCGATTGTCGCCGCGATTGTCGCCGCGATTAGCCGCCAGTCTTCCTGACTGACGCCATGAACCGCAGGTCCGTTGCCCTCTCGCCCGCCAAGGAATGGCGCGACCCAATATTCGCCGCGCCGTCACCATCTCGCAAGGACACTGGACCGCTCACCACCCCTCGCCACCGAGAAACGCCGCTCTCCCCATTCCGCTCCCCGCTAATGGGCTCCGCCATCCCCGCAATGCCCGCGGGGTCTCCGCTCGGTTCGCACTCCCGCCGCGCCTTGGCCTCTCCGGTGCGGGACGTGCGCCAGGCGGAGCGCGGGGACCACGGCGGCGGTGGGGGAAACATCAAGCGGCTGGCGCAACTCTGCATTCTCCGCACCGCGCAAGCGCAACTCGACTCCGCAAATCCCCGGCGTCCCCTGTCCTCCGCGCAACCCTCCCCCATATTTTCCGCCGAGTCCCCTGGCTCTCTGCTCTGTCAGGCTGGGAGCGCGCTCTCGTCCTCCGCTCAAGCGCGCGCATCTTCCGAAACGGTTCAGGCGCCGTGCAGCGCGCCGAGCGGGCCCATGTCCGCGCGGGAGGGCGCGGCGGACATGTTCGACCCCTTTCTCCTCCCCGCGCCCGCCTTTCCGCTCCGCGACCAACCCTCCTCCCCTCCGCCCCTTCCGGTGCCACAAACCGCGCAAGTGCCTTCGGCGGAAGACACGGGCGCAAGTTCCGCGGACGGGGAAGACAGGTGTGGACTCGCGGGGCCTCCCCAGCGTGGTGATGCTACGGCAGCCGCCATGGCGGAAACCGCGGAAAAAAATGTGACAATGGCGAGGGATGAAAGGCGTGAGGGATTCTCGGCAGGGCAGGAAGCGAAAGGGGACGAACGGATTCGGATGGGGATCGAGAATGTCGCGCAGACGGGCGCAACGAGGGCGGACTCAACGCGCGCGGGCACTGTGCGCGCGGAGCCCACGCGCGCGGATTGCGAGAATAGGGGGCGCATTGGCAGCAGGGGGAGCGCGGGGGGGAAGAGGGGCGACCACGGATGGAGCGGAGGCAGCAGCCGTGAAGCGCAGAGCGCGTCCGTTCGAAGCACGCTCATGGAGCTGGCGGCCAATAAGAAGCTGCCACATGGCCCGCGCAAGGGCGACCCGATGTACGAGTGCAAGCGCTGCCCCTTAGCCTCCCCCGCCCGCTCCCCGCTGTCCGGTTCCGCCGCCCTGACCCCCGCCCTAACTCCCCCCGTGCACCTCCCCTCCCGCCTGCACATTCCCGCTGCGCTCACTGGCGTGACCCGCGGGGCGAATGTGGGGGTAGGGATGGGGAGAGTGGGACTCATGGCGCCTAGCAGTTGCGGCAGCAGCCCCAGAGGGGAATCTTCCTCCCTGTGGGGTCAGCAGCAGCAGTACCAGCAGCAGCAGCAGCCGTGGCGGCATCAGCAGCAGCAGCCGCAGCAGCAACCCCGCCAGCAGAATCACCCAAAAGAGTCACAATATGAAGAAGAGTTTCATATCTCTGGTGTGAGTCACCTCACCCTGCTGTCAAGCCATGCCAGCTCAGCAGCCACGTGTCCCAGTGGTTCCATCACTCTCCTTCAAGCCCAGCTGGCATCGGCCTCTGCTCGCAGACTCGGTAGGAGAAACAGCGGCAGCACGACTGGTGTAGCTGCTGGCATGGTTAACATGGGTGGAATGGGTGGCACTGGTGGCATTGGTGGAGTGAGTGGCATGGGTGTTCATGTCACATCGAAGGGAGTTAACCGTGCACCGTCTCCAAATCGCTCTGCAAGGCGTGCCATACTCTTTGGAGGTGGAAATTAGGGCAGTTTACCCTAGCACATCACATAGAAACTTCTATTTGTGTATCTGACATCTGACACACGCGAGGTTTAGCCCACTGTTTTTGCTTGCTTTAGAACGTGGTATTCCAAACCTTGTTTTTTTTACTTGTATGTTTACCTTTATGACTTGTATTTTCCCTTTCTATACACTGAAATTGGGTACTGAAATCCATATTTTTTACATCATTGCGACAGTGGTTCAGCGACTGAAATTCCTCGATATAACAAGCTCGTTTCTATTTATTCTGTCGATTTCCAAACTTTTCGTGTTTCTCACGTCGCCCTCGGCAATATCGCTGTCACCCCTCACCCCCCCCCTAGTCCACCATTACCACTTTACTCCCCCTTTGTTCCCGTAATTTCTCGTCGACTGTCCGTCTCTTATTTCTTCCAGCGCATATGACGCTGCTGTGTGTTGCACGCGTCTAGCGACGATGTCAGCAGCTTGCGCTTCCACCCTAAGCCAGTCCGCCAGCAACGCTAGAACCGCTTCCTTGTCTCGCTCGATCCCCGCCGTTGATCGCCCAGCCATGCTCTCCCTCTCGCGCTCCGCTCAGCGTGTTCTGCGCGGAAGCGGAGCCAGCCTCGGCACCGCGCTGCAGTTAACGAGGAGCACAGTACAGCGGCTAGTTCCGACCGCGTCTTACTCGTCCGATCAGTTCGGCGACTTGAGCGGCGACAGGCGCGGACCTTACCGGCGGGGGGATCGTGACGATCAGAGCGGCAATAAGCCGGCAGGGGGACGATCGGAGCCAGAGAACCAGCAGCGATCGTTCCAAAGGTCGCCTTACGACGGGCAAGGGTACCCTCAGTCGAATCAGTACTCGCGATCCGATCAGCACTCGAGTCAGTATAAACCGCCTGGTCCGTATCAGCGACGTGGGGAGCAGCAGCGACAGCCGCAACAGCCGCCGGCGCCGGCGCAGCAGCAGCAGTACCAGCAGCAGCAGGAGGGGGGTGATGAGCTGGAGACGATCGAGTGGCAATCCGAGTTGTCAAATACCGTGCACCTAATCGGTCCGTGAGTCTAATCCGTGGGTGTGTCTTCATGAATCCAGTCTTCTCGATCTGAATGCGCTATGCTCCAGTGCGTTCGATCAGTGCGTTCGGTCAGTGCGTTCGATCAGTGCGTTCAGTCAGTGCGTTCAGTCAGTGCGTTCAGTCAGTGCGTTCAGTCAGTGCGTTCAGTCAATGCGTTCAGTCAATGCGTTCAGTCAGTTCGTTCAGTCAATGCGTTCAGTCAATGCGTTCAGTCAATGCGTTCAGTCAGTTCGTTCAGTCAATGCGTTCAGTCAATGCGTTCAGTCAATGCACCCAACACCAACACCTCATGTACACCTACACCTACACCTACACCTACACCTACACCTACTCCCAACACCTGCACCTACACTTGGCAGCCTCTTAGGCGCCTCAGAAGCGTGTTCCCTGTGTTCCGTGCTCTCATGCATGCCATCCATGATCCGTGCTCTCGTGCATGCCATCCATGATCCGTGCACTCCTTGCAGGCACCATAGCGTTGGACCCGGTGCCGCGGTTCTTGGACAGCGGCAAGTGCGTGACCAACATGCGCCTGGCGGTGGGGTGGAAGAAGGCCAACGGGGAGAAGCGCACCGACTGGTGAGAAAAGCCGGGAAAACCCTCGGAATAAAAGTGATAAAATAACGGAACGAACGGAATAAACCAAAACTGGCTCTCATGAGACTAGAATAGGCTTGAGCATGAACCCGACCCGACCCGACCCGACCCGACTTTGCCCTACCCGATGTCGGGTTCGGGTCGGGTCGGGTCGGGTCAAGTCGGGTCGGAGTTCAGGAAATGTCAACCCGACCCGTGTTTAATAGGTCGGGTTCTACCTAACCCGATTTCGGGTCGGGTCGGGTCGGGTTGGCATAGGGGCAGGGACGGGTAATAAGCCGACCCGACGGGTCGGGTTTTATCGGTCGGGTCGGGTCGGGTCGGGTCGGGTACCCGAAGGTCGGGTCAACCTTCCGCAAATGTCGACCCGACCCGTTGCTCAAGCCTAGACTAGAATGGGTCTTGAGGCATGCCTGCCAACACACCCCATTCCTCACCACTTAGTTCATCTCCGTGTTTTTTTTTTTTTTTTTTCTCCCTCATGGGAATGCAGGTACGCTCTGCAGCTGTGGGACGATCTTGCTATGTGCGCACAGAACGTGAAGAAGGGGGCGCGGGTGTATGTGAGCGGGCGATTGCACATGGAGGAGTACACGGACAGCAGTGGGGCGCCGAGGCTTGAGCCCAAGGTAGGTGCTGCTGGCGCCTGAGAGCAACGAGTGTTTTGGGGTACCACACAGCAAGGCTAGTGATCGGGCTGCGGGTGTATGTAAGCAGGCGATTGCACTTGGAGGGAAGAGCATACGGACAACAGTGGGGCGCCAATGCTGGAACCAAAGGTAGGCGCTATTCGCTCAAAGGTGCGTGTTCTCATTCCTGAGGCGACTCAATGCAAGGAGGCCAGTAGGTGGGCGCGTGCACATGGAGGAATACACGGACAACAATGGGGCCCAGAGGCTGGAATGCAAGGTGCGTGCTGTAAGTGCCTGACAGCGGTTTTTGAGGCGCCTCAAAAATCGTACTGTAACTGTAAGTGCCTGACAGCGGTTTTTGAGGCGCCTCAAAAATCGTACTGTAACTGTAAGTGCCTGACAGCGGTTTTTGAGGCGCCTCAAAAATCGTACTGTAACTGTAAGTGCCTGACAGCGGTTTTTGAGGCGCCTCAAAAATCGTACTGTAACTGTAAGTGCCTGACAGCGGTTTTTGAGGCGCCTCAAAAATCGTACTGTAACTGTAAGTGCCTGAAAGCGGTTTTTGTTGTTGAACTCAGTGTCTGACTTTCCCTCTTGCGTTGTGTCTGGCAGGTGGACGTCAAGCGAATAGCTCTCGTTGCCAGCAACTTCGGCAACAGCGGCAGTGGGAGAAAGAGCAGTCAGGGGGGGTTCGATCAGGGGGTTTACAGTCAGGGTGGTTACAATCAAGGGGGCTACAGCCCCCAGCCCACTGCCTATGCTGAACCGAGCAATAGCAGCACTAGTACTCAGGGGAGATATGACAGCCAAAGTTATGGTAACCAGAGTGGTTACAGCAGTGTGAGCAGCTACAGCGGTCCGGGGGGGAACAGTGCACTGGCAGAAGGGGAGGAGGAGTTAAGTGTCCGGGACCTGCCTCGAGTGCCTCGATTCGACGGCAAGCTCAACAGTGAGCTGGGGATGGGTAGGAGGGGCGAGGGGGATGATGAGTTGGGAGTGTGTAATGAGTCTATTTTTTAGTCGACTAAAAAATGGACTCATTGCATGGGGATGGGTCAGAGGGGCGAGGGGGATGATGAGTTGGGAGTGTGTAATGCGTCTATTTTTTAGTCGACTAAAAAATGGACTCATTGCATGGGGATGGGTCGGAGGGGCGAGGGGGATGATGAGTTGGGAGTGTGTAATGAGTCTAGTTTTTAGTCGACTAAAAAATGGTCTCATTGCATGGGGATGGGTCGGTGGGGCGAGGAGAATGATGAGTTGGGAGTGTGTAATGAGCCTATTTTCTAGTCGACTCAAAAATGGTCTCATTGCACAGGGATGGGTAGGAGGGGCGAGGGGGATGATGAGTTGGGAGTGGAACCGGGATGATGATTTTGAAGTGGGAAGGGAGTGTGATGGGCAATTTGAGCGTTCAGGCTTTAGGGTTTACCCTAAACCCGAAACCCTAAAGCCTAAAGGCAATTTGAGCGTTTTGGAAGGCAGCTGGCAGCTGCCACTTATAATTCTCTCACCTATTCATGTACCTCCTCAGGCAGACCATGTGTTGTAACTTGTAACCGCCTTCGCGTCTTCCTGAAATCTAGTTTTGAGGCGGCTAAAAAATAGATTCTTCATGGTCTATGTGTTGTATCCGCATTCAAGGCTCCTTGAAAATTTCCCAAGGGTTTCTTTTTCTTCTAAGGGTTGGGGTCCGCCTTGACTGGTATTCTGTGCCGTGCGAACGTGCGCCCCTACCCTATTCTGCGCTGTTCTTGTGCCCCGGTGTGAACGTGCTGCTACCCTTCCATATCCTTATCCTTACCCCAAACCCTTTGCCCTCCTTTCCCCATGCGTCCTCCATTGCTCATCCTTCCTTTCTGCCGCATCCCATCCCATACCATCCCATCCCATCCCATCCCATCCTGCCCCCAATGTGTGACAGCGGAACAGGTGCATGCGTTGTGGGACCAATTCAGTTCGAGATGTCTCAAAACTAAACTCTTATGATCCCATCCTATCCGCCCCCATCCTGCCTCCGTCCTGCCCCCATCCCGCCCCCATCCTGCCCCCATCCTGCCCCCGTCCTGCCCCTGTCCTGCCTCCGGTGTGTGGCAGCGGAGCAGGTGCATGCGTTGTGGGACCAGTTCTTCAAAGACCCAGTTCAGTTCTTTGACTACCGAGAATTCAAGGTATGCCTGCCCCTTCCCCTACACCTATCTACTTTTGAGGCGCCTAAAGAACGGACTTCAAGGTAAAGGTATGGGAACGACAGTCGCCTCGTCGTGGGATCTACATCTTGCGAGTCAAGGTTTCAAGGTTCTTCTTTTGAGGCGCCTCAAAAAATCCATGCGTGAGGAGTCTATTTTTTAGGCGCCTAAATAACGGACGTCAAGGTATGACTACATCTTGCGAGTCAAGGTTTCAAGGTTCTTTGACTCGACGGTCGCCTCGTTGTGGAACCGATTCTTCAAAGATCCCATCAGTTCTTTGACTAAGGGGAATTCGGGGTATGCCTGCAGGCTGCCGCTTCCCATACATCCTTCATCTCTGTACAGGGTCGAAACTTTGAGACGACTCGAAGAATGATATTGTTAAGAGATGAAGGATTACGCTTTGTGTCGTCTCAAAGACGACTCTATCGGGCCACAACTTTCATTCTGTACAGGGTCGAGACTTTCATCTTGTTATGGGGCCTTTCATCTTGTTATGGGGCCTTTCATCTTGTTATGGGGCCTTTCATCTTGTTATGGGGCCTTTCATCTTGTTATGGGGCCTTTCATCTTGTTCAAGACTTCGACCACTCCATTCAATCCATCGACGCCCGAGATTTCAAGGCCCGCCTGCCCCCTCCCATACATCCAACTCCAGTTGATTTTACTCGACACAAACCTCGTTGTGAGGCTGTTGTTTCGATTCCGTTGTCATCTATCTTCTGATATCTTGATATCTTTCAGCTCTTCAATCACCGAGACATCACGGCATGCCTGCCTTTATTCCGTACAGACAGGAGTCGAATCGACTCAACAGTCACCTCGTTGTTGAGCCAGGTCTTAGGATGGCAGGTCTCAGGAAGGCAGGTCTCAGGTTAAGTAATTTAGTTGCGAGATGTCTCAAAATTGAACTACTTAACCACGTCTCGGGACGGCAGGTCTCAGGAAGGCAGGTCGCAGGAAGGCAGGTCTCAGGAAGGCAGGTCTCAGGACGGCAGGTCTCAGGAAGGCAGGTCTCAGGAAGGCAGGTCTCAGGAAGGCAGGTCTCAGGACGGCAGGTCTCAGGAAGGCAGGTCTCAGGACGGCAGGTCTCAGGAAGGCAGGTCTCAGGACGGCAGGTCTCAGGAAGGCAGGTCTCAGGAAGGCAGGTCTCAGGAAGGCAGGTCTCAGGAAGGCAGGTCTCAGGATGGCAGGTCTCAGGAGCAACAGGGAAGCTTGTGTGAATGGATGGCCAGGACCCTCCCCCTGGCTGCACACAACCCTGGAGGCTGGAGCACATGACAACTAATCCCCGAGGCTGGAGCACATGACAGCAGCAGGAGTCAGCCTATGCTCTCCCCACCCCTCCCTCTCTCCCTTGGTTTCCTCTTCCCTGCCCATCCCTGGCACCCCTAGCAGCGCCATGGGGTGATCTCTGCTGACGGCCCTTCTTTCAAGAAGTTAGCGACAGGGGAGCCCCGGTGGGTGGATGCCCGAGACCCTCCCCCATGGCCACCCGCGTCCCTGGAGGCTGGAGCATATGACAGCCGAAGGAGTCACCCTATGCCTTCCCCACCCTCCCCTTCCCTCTCATTCCCCCTTGTTGTCAATTCCTCACAGCGCCATTGGGTGAGATCAGCCAAGGCTCCTGATTTCTAAGAAGCTGGCAACAGGGGAGCTGCTGTGCTGGATGGGCGGCCTTGTTCCCCGCGGTTGCGTGCATCCCTTCACCACTATATCCCCCTTTCCCCCCACCATTCCCCACCCCCCCTCTTCCCCCTTCTCCCCACCATCCCCCCCCCCCTCTCCCCCCTCCCCCCCACCCCTTGCCCTTTGTTTTCCTCGCAGCGTCAAGGGGTGATCTTGCCCAAGGCCCCTGATTTCAAAAAGGCAGTGACGGGAGAGCCCCTGTGGGTGGATGCCCGGGACCCCCCCCCCCTCCCTCCCCCGTGGCAGCACGCACCCTTCAGCACTATCAGCGCATAAGGACTCACCCCTTCCTCCCCCCACCCCTCTTCCCTGGCGTTTCCTCCCAGCGTCAAGGGGTGATCTCACCCAAGGCCCCTGACTTCAAGAAGGCAGCGACGGGGGAGCCCCTGTGGGTGGATGCCCGGGACCCCCCCTACTGGTTGCATGCATCCCTGGAGCTCTACGACAGAGAACTCGCAAGCGCCATGGCAGGCTTGCCGGTGGGCGGGGAGGGAGGGGAGGCAGGGGAGGAGGGGGGGGAGCAGTATGGCGGAGGGGCCATGGATGCTCGCGGATTCTGACGAGGACCGCTGGGATGTGTGCCTCAGTGCCCCTGTGGGTGGATGCCCGGGATCCTCCCCACCCCACTGGTTCCATGCATCCCTGGAGCTCTATGACAGAGAATTTGCACGGGCCATGGCAGGCTTGCCCGTGGGCGGGGAGGGAGGGGAGGCAGGGGAGGAGGATATGGGAGGGGAGGAGGGTGGGGAGCAGTATGGTGGAGGGGCCATGGATGCCCGCGGGTTCTGAAGTGAAGCGCTGTGCTGCTGCGGGTGCCCCCATCCCATCCGTGCACTACTATGACGCCGCCATCCCAACATGGAATGCTCGTGGGTGCTGATGGTGAGGATGCAGTGCTACACTGCCATGCCATGGTGTTGCTCACATTTCTGCACAGTTGACTGATGACCATGGGACGTGAGGTGAGGGCCTGGGTTGGGGGGGGGGGCGAGGGGGGGGGGGGGGTCCAGGTGGTGAGGGGGGGGAGTATGTTGGGGGGGCCGGGCCGTGCCGTGGTTCTGGCTTCTGGCTTGTGAGGTGAGTGTGGTTGATTGCTAGGGGCGCTGGGTTGCTGCAGGCGCTGCAACTGTGAGAGACCCGGGTGTTGCACCTGGATGCTGGCTTCTGTAGGGGTATACGAGGGCCTATACAAGGGCCTAGTATATGAGGGCCTCCAATTGTTAAGATAATTTTGTGAGAGGAATCCATCTTCGTAGACACTACAGGCAAGTAAATTGTGGTATGCAGTTGTCGCCTCTGCCGCTGGCTAAAGATCGGATCAATCGGATCGATCGGACAGCACATGCTGAGAGCAATGTAGTACTTGACAAGTACCATTGTCAAGGCCTGCATATTGTGCTGCTCATTTTGAACAAGGGACACATCACGTTAGAATAGCTAAGTAGGGATGATTCTGATCAGCGGCAGCAGGTACATGTAACATGACGCCAATGGCTGCATATTCTGTAGGGTATTTTTGAGAATTCTGTAGGTTGTCGCTCGTTTGAGCAACTGACAGAGCATACTCCTATAGCAGAGTGGGGATGATGCTAAGCAGCGGCAGAATGTACATGACGCCAATGGCGGCGTATTGCGGGCCCGTGTACCAGTAAATATCATATCCCAGCTTCCGAGCGCCGTACCTCTCCCCGTACGCGGCACGAAACACCACCCACACCGCGCCTAGGGCCGCCGCTACTGTGCCGCTTTGGAAGAGCGCGCAGAGGAACATGGACGTGATAAATGCCGGCTGTGATTGTCAAGAGGGCAGGGGGGAGGGGGGGATTGGGGGGGGAGGGAAGAAGGTTGGGAAGGAAAGTGGGGGGGGGAGGTTGGGGAGGTTGGGGAGGAAGGGGGGGGGGGGGGGGGGGGTTGGGGCGGTTGGGGAGGATGGGCTGAGTAGGGCTGCCAATACAGTGCCGGTTCCAAAAGCGCGCAGAGGAACCTGGACGTGATAAACGCTGGCTGTGATTGCAGCGAGAGCAAGGGCGATGCGGGCACACAGTGACGGGAATACGCACAATGGAATGGGGTAGGTCGGAAGGCAAAAATGGCAAAAATGGAGTCAGAGAGAAACGAATGGGTAGGTCGGAAGTGGGTAGGGTGGGATACAGCCGCGAGCAGGAATGAGGGAGAGGGCGGGGAAGGGGGGAGCGGGAGAAGGGCAAGGGGGGAGGGGGGGTGTGGGGGAAGGGAGGGGAGGGAGGGAAGGGAGGAGGAGTGGGGAGGGAGGGAAGGGAGGAGGAGGGGGGAGAGGAGGGGGGAGGGGCGGGGAAAGCGAGGAAGCTCGTGGGAGAGGGTTTGTTGCGGGGCGGTGGTACACATGTGTGTAATGAGTCGACTCAAAAATCTACTCATTACACACGTTGTGGGGCGGTGGTAGTTTTGAGGCGCGGGGGGACACACGAACTGCTACTTTTGAGGCGCGTCAAGAAAAGAAGCGACTCCTTGCGGGGCAGTGCTAGCCCCTTCCATCTACGACTCTTGCGGGGCGGTGGGTGGTAGCACGTACGAACTGCTCGACGAAGTTGGCCTGCACGCGGATCACGCGGTCAAAGTCGGGGTTGCCGGACATGGCGGGCGCAAATATGCGGTGCTTGATGCGCGCCGCACGGATGCCCAGCAGAGTCTGGGGGAGAGGTGGGGGGAAGCGGGCGGGGGGAGGGAAGGGAAGGGGGAGGTGGGGGAAGGAGAAAGGGGGTAGGGGAGAAGGGGGAAAGGGACAATGTGATACTTGATGCGTGCGGAGAGAATGTTCTGCGAGTCAGTCACGCTTGCCCCGCGAAACGGGAAGAGAGGGAGACGGGTGTCGTTTGGTGATCAGTGATCAGTAATCCGAGATCGAAGCGACTCGCTAGTAGACGAACGAGGTATGGCGGTTCTACTCACTCGCATGTACACGACGTGGGCGGCGAACGCGACGAGCGCTGGCAGCTTGAACTGCTCGCGCAGCACGAGCAACGCCGCCGCGTAACCCGCCATGGTGTTTAATTATTCGAGTGTAGCAGGAGTACTAGGACCACACCGCGACCACGATCGGCGCAGGAGACAGAACTTCACCAACCTATTTTCAGCTGTGTAAGAGCAAACAAGCATCGGGGAGGAACTACGGAGGCAAATGGCTATTTTAGGGTTGCTTGTCGGCATAGCTTGGGTGCAAAACGGCTGCTAGGCCAAGGCAGCAAGCAGGCCCAGCATGGCGTGGCACGGCATTTGCCATTCTGGGCAAATGCGCGCGAAAGCAGCAAGAAGGGTGGGAAGGTGCAAGGCGTGACTGTCGGGAAACCGGGGATGCGCAAGTTGAACGAGAAATACGTCAGCAAAACGATATACTGTACAGTTTCAGCAAATTATATTATACAAACTACGCTCTCTTTCGAAAAATGTTCGATTTTTTTTACTGGCCAGTGTTGAAAAATCTGTATCTTGTGTGTTGTTTCTCGTATGACTCGCAAAAGACTACTGGTAGCCTAACGGGTACGACTCTTACGGATTCTTTCTCCCAGCCTAGCCACCACCAGCCTAAACACCACAGAACTGTCGGTTGAAGTTTCAACCACTCTGGTCCAGTCCAGTTCCTTCCTCAGGATGTTCCCAACACCAGTTGGGAAAGATCCCAAGTCATACTTTTACGTTTGCTGTTACTCGTCAGCAACTGGGAACTCTGTGTGGACATTTAGAATTCAATGGTTTCTGAAACACACAAAATGTTTTGTTAGGGTCCTGCTCTGATTGCTTCAGTATGAGCGGATTTTACCGTCTCTAAAACTTAAACATGAAATGACCCGAGAAGGAGTCGGAAAATGGAGACCCGATACCTTCCTTAGAAGCCCGAAAGCATAAACTTAATAACAAATGAAGGTTGGGAAAGTACCCGTGAAACGAGAGTCATCGATCCTCTGTTCCCAACAGAAGTTCCTAACGTCCGTAGGAACTTGCTCTGGCAACCGACTGCTTGTGTTCAGCAAATGTGAAGTGAACAGATCATGAATTAAATCGTACTCTACTGGCTCCTTTCCAGCTGGCATTCGCATGTCCACTGGGCCCTCGATCTTGATACACCTCTTCCTGCTTTGAATGGCGAGTGTTTTTGGAGGCCTACGGATTTCACGAAAATGCAATAGAACTTGTCAACATTCTCTACAGAAGTGGCTCTGTTTAGGAGAACCCACGAAGCAAGACGTGAGAGAATCTGTATTGGATCTTGCTTTGATTGTGAAAAATCAACTATTTACCACTCAAAGGCAACCCATTCGGCCAATATCGTACACACTCAAATTATGTCCGGAACGCTGTTCAGGCGTAATCCCTTTGACTTTTGTGACACTGTTACAGCAGAGCTTTGGCCTGGCTCGCCACCACCCCAACCACCCCTTCCCTGGTGACGCGACTGTGCTACACCGTATATGCCATTAAGCTCTTGACATTTTTGTCAAGATACAAACCTACAGTCAATAATTCGGTAGTATCCAAAACGCTATACTCCGAACGTACGGAGTACAGCTACTGTAGTGCGTACGGTCAACGTCGCAAAATGTCCCGTCCGCCAATGAAATTTTGACGAGGTTCCTTGTGGTTTGAGAGTGGCTGGACGAAAATCGCAGAATATTTTTGCGAAATCCAATTCCGTCATGTATGCCACTCAGCCGCAATAAACTTGGTTCGCAATTCAGATGGCAACCCAATGGCTAATTAAATATTGCCAGTTGGACAATCAGCAAAATGTACGCAGGCACGTGTACTGTGCAAACATTTTCATCCATTCTGTCTTACGATTACGGTCCGATTCTAATCCTCTTGTCAAGCATATTCGAGGCGTTTTCCATTTTTTAAGAACCAATCATGTAAATATTTAGGCTTCCCGAGTGACACGAACAGGTCTGTCCCGAATACGAGAACACGACCCTCTTCCCCTCAATCACCATTAACTGCACATTTCGAAAATAATTTTCTTAAGGGGGGCTTTTCGCTTTCGTAAAAACGTTAGTGGTTGGTTAACGAAACTTCTCAATAAATTCGTCATTTTTTCGTTCAAATTAGCCCTTTTCGTAAGACCACGAAATGGGTTTTCCTTATTATTTAATTTGCGCGTTTTGAGCCTGCGCTGCTTGTGTAAAGGTCGAGTACGAGGTGTTACTTCTTTTGTCTATGTGTTTCTGACCAGACGACAAATTCTCTGAGCGAATCTGATTTCGTCGCAAATGGCGGAACTGCAGCATTCGTGCTGTTGACCCCCCAGCCAAGCATAGCACAGTCGCGTCACCAGGGAAGGGGTGGTTGGGGTGGTGGCGAGCCAGGCCAAAGCTCTGCTGTAACAGTGTCACAAAAGTCAAAGGGATTACGCCTGAACAGCGTTCCGGGTATAATTTGAGTGTGTACGATATTGGCCGCAACCCATTTTTGCGCAACCAGACCAAAGCTGGGGTTTTGCCTGTTTCCAATTGTGTTGTTAGCTACGTTTCACTTCGCAAGGAGGTTGTTGAAAAGGCTTCAGCGTGACATGAGACCCGCGTAGACTCGCCACGGATTATGTGACCCGGACTTGCAATCAAGCCTTAATTACGGTTTATAACCGTTTTTTTTCGATAAGAGTCGCTCTTGCCCGAGGTTTTGACCTTTTGTGTAACTGGAGCACGCCGTGTGGTAGATTCTGGTTCTTCAAACCCCCAAGAGCTGTATGGAGTAGTGCTGCTGGCATGGGCAACCTATCACAATACTGCTCCGCTCCGCAGACCCCGCCACCAATCGCCGTCCGTATTGATTGCCTGTCGAAAGAAATGTTGCCTTTTTGCGGATGTGGAATGGGGCGTCGCGGATTCAATTTTATGTGTTTAGAAATGTGAATCTGAGTGCACGTGGCACCGAAACCCTTCCGTTTTTGTAAGTTCGCCCTTTCATTCTTAAATTTATCGGGCAGATAGCAAAGCAAAAAAAGCGGTGGGGTGGGGAGGTTGGGGGGAGGAGAGAGCCCTGCAAATCGTTTTGCCTGCCCTTTGGTCGATTCGATCCGCCAACCGGCAGCACTCGCAATTGGCTGGTGTTTTGATTTTGCCGTTGATTTTTCCAGGCTTTCACGAAAGTTTCCCCACGGGAATTTGCATTGGTCCCAAGCTCGACGCGGTTTCGGGCTTCGAATTGCGGATTCGTTACCAATTGTCACCTTGTTTCAAATTCGCTCAAACCGTCCCCCCCAAGCACTGATCAACCAGCTGGCGGCCCTGGATGTGGTCCCACCATCGCCAGTAAAATCTGAAATTGGAATTGATTTCGAGTTCCCGTCCTGCTGCACTCGTCCTATGGCAGACGGACACTGAAACTGTGAACTCGACCACATGCATAGCGTTCCCACAAGCCCAGCTTTGCTGTAGGACTGCTAGCCCGAGCTTGACATACACCAGCCAGCACAAGGCCAACCTTGCTTTCTGTACGCATAAAACGCTCCCAGCCAGACGAAGAAAAACGTTCGCGAGCTAACGTTGTCTTCCCCGGCAGGGCTAAATTTCAAGACTCAAGGGATGGTCGGTAACGCTGACGACGTCACTCCGAGTCAGGCAATCCCTCCATTTCTCGTATCTGGCAGCGCCAACACCCTGGCCGCGCAACCAGCAAAAAATTCCGATTCATTAGTAGCAGCCACCAAGTTAGCGTCGTATACTGACGCCCTGTGCGAGGGGGCGTTTTGGGATGATATGCGCGTCTCGAATGAGCTCGGCGGCCATGGCTCGTCGGACGCGGTGGGCGAACTGGAGGACATTATTCTCCGCGCCGCTTCCTCCTCTGCGGTTCCGGAAAATAGCCTAGCGGTCCCGTCATGGTCGCTAGACGCCGTCGTTCCAGGCCCTTCTTTTTCAGCCGTAGTGGGTGACGGATTTTCTCACGCGGCCCAAGCCGCTTCGGCCGCAGGATCCCTGCCGCAAAATGCGCCGCAGAACGCGGCGGCGGCGCCGCAGCAGATTCACCAGGGATGGCCGAATGGCGGCGCATGGACGAGCAGCGCGCGCGAGGATCAGGCAGGAAACGGGTGGGCGGCAGACTTCCAGGATCCCCGGCACCAAAACGCTAACATTATCACCGAGATGGATCATTTTAATGATGACGTCACTGAATCTGGAGCACAGCAATGGCCGGCTGCTGCCGCTTCCGCTCTTTCCAAAGGCATAGCACCCACAGCGCGTTGGGGCGGTGACGTTTCTCGGGGTTTAGAATGGTCAGACGACGCCGCACCTGACGCCGCCGCGGCTAGTAACGCCGCCGTAAACGCCGCCGCTAACACCGCCGCAATCTACGGTGTCAGCCACGGCCGCCTCCCGTCCCTCCTCCGCTCCCTTGCCGCCCACCAGCAGGCCGTTGAGGCCCTCGCGCCGCTCTTAAGCGAACCGCGCGCACTGCTTCCCACAGGGGAGGCGGAAGGGAGCGCAGGGGGAGGCGGCGTGCGCGGATGGCGCAGTTCCGACGGCCCAGCCTTTGCACAGCAGCTTACCTCGAACCTCGCGCCTCCTGGGCCGGATTTTCCTGCGCCCGTGATGGGCGGCGCCTCTGGCGGCGGCACTGGCGGCGGCAATCATGCTGCTCTGCTAAATTACCACAACTCTAGCGACTGGAGGCCCTCCGGGGGCCTCTGCGCCCCGCTCCCCCTTGCGCCAAATCCGACAGTCTTCCATCCTGGGAGAGCAGAGGCTTCTACCGCCGCCGCCGCTGCTGCACCCGCCGCATTTCCCTCCTCCTCCTCCGCCTCCTCCTCTGCGCATCTCGCTGCTACTGTCGCCGCCGAATCTCTCGCGCGGGAGCGGCAGGGGGGCGGGTTAGAGGCAGGCGGCGGAATGCAATCCGAACAGGCGCATAATCCAGGTGCCATCAGCGCGCTCGCGTCTATCCTAGTTGCTGCAGCCGCCGCGGTTAAAGCTGGGCCGCAAGGTGGGGAATGGGGGGGCCCGCAGGCGGGGATGGGTGACGCTGGCAGCGGGGGCATGGCTGGTGGTGTTGGTGCCGTGGGAATGGGTGAAGAGTGGGGCAATGCGGTGAGATGCGATGACGAGGAGGAGGAGGAGGAGGAGGAGGAGGAGGAGGAGGAGCATGGTGATGGGATGCTGGCAAGGCGAAACACCGCCGCCAGTGGCACAGGTGGTCTGGGCGGCCCTGATTGCCGCCCCCTTGCAGCCGCCACCGCCGCGAAACGATTTCGCAGAAGCACCAGCGGCACCAGCGTACCCCAGCCCATGCAGCAGCGATTCCACGAGGACGCTGCTGCAGCTGTTAGTGCAGTCTTGCCTCTTGGAGCTCAGCTCCCGCCGGGCCTACAGCAGCAGCTGCAGCAGCTACGGCAGCAGTACAGCAACCTCAGCGGCAGTGAGCCCCCCTCGACGCATCACCGCCAGAAAGGCGGTTCTGCAGCTGCTGCTGGTGCAGTCTTGCCGCTTGGAGCGGAGCTCCCGCCGGGGCTACAGCAGCAGCTGCAGCGGCAGTACAGCAGCCTCAGCGGCAGCGTGAGCGGCAGCGGCGGCGGAGGCGGTGGTGCGAGCGGCGGGGATGAGCGTACCCGGAATAACTCCGAGCCATTGAAGTCTGCGCCACTGCCCCTGCCACAGCACACGCAACTTGGCTCCGATGTCCCCTCGCCCCTCGCCTCCTCGCCGCCTGCCGCCACTCCCTGTCACCCTCCGCGTCGGTCCTCTGTGGTCCCCAGCGCCTCCCCCCCATCTTGGAGTGCAGGAGCGATGGCAGCCGATCTAGCTGCTGGCCGAGTGATGCAAGAGGTGTGGCTAGTGCAACCCTCCCAAATGACGCAACCCTCCCACCTGCGGCGATCCCCACAGCTTCGAGCAGTGGATGCAGCAGCTGAGGAGGGCAGGAGACGGCAAGGGGAGGCCCGGAAAGGGGAGACCCGGAAACGCTCCCGGGGAGGCGAGAGTGGAGGGAGGGGTGCGGGGAGGAGGCAGCACGGGGCGAATGAAGGGGCGGGTGATGGGGCGCATGAGGAGAGGGCGAGAGAATGGGATGTGGCAGGGACTGGTAACATCGTGGGAGGCCTTGGGGAGGGGGAGACTGCGGATGGAACGGGGTCGCAGGGAAGAGTGTCGGGCGCTTGTCTTGCCGCCAGGGTGAGTTGCCGTTTTCCATCCTGACGCTGCTTGCTGGTTTCTCTGGCCCTGGTTTCTCTGGCCTTATACCCTCTCGGGTTTGGCTCTTAATCCACTTCTCTATCTCCTCTCCCCTCTCCACATCCCCGCCTCCCTTCTCCCCTCTCCCCCCACCCCTCTACTCCCCGTGCAGATGCGCACGCTGCAGCGGCTGGTGCCAGGGAGCAGCCGTGTGGACGCCGTCTCAGTGCTCCCTGCTCTCCCTTATCCCCTCCCCCCTCTCTCCACCCATCATCCCCCCCTTGCAGCGACGGCGGGAGCGCATAGCGAGTCAGATGCGCACGCTGCAGCGGCTGGTGCCAGGGAGCAGTCGGGTGGACACCGTCTCAGTGCTCTCTGATACCATTCGTTTCCTCTGCAGCCTCATGCACCAAATACAGGTATGCCGACCCTTCATACGTGAGGAGTCTATTTTTGAGGCGCCTCAAAAATAGACTCCTCACGCAGCCTCGTGCACCAAATACAGGTACGCTGACCCTTCATATTGAGGAGTCTATTTTTGAGGCGCCTAAAAAATAGATTCCTCATGCAGCCTCATGCACCGAATACAGGTATGCCGACCCTTCATAAGTGAGGAGTCTATTTTTGAGGCGCCTCAAAAATAGACTCCTCATGCAACCTCATGCACCAAATACAGGTATGCTGACCCTTCATAAGTGAGGAGTCTATTTTTGAGGCGCCTCAAAAATAGACTCCTCGCGCAGCCTCATGCACCAAATACAGGTATGCTGCTGACCCTTCATAAGCGAGGAGTCTATTTTTGAGGCGCCTCAAAAATAGACTCCTCGCGCAGCCTCATGCACCAAATACAGGTATGCTGCTGACCCTTCATAAGCTGAGTTCAGAGTCAACTCTAACAGCAATTGAGTGGACACCGTCTCGGTGCGCTCTGCTACCATTCGGTTCCTCAGCAGCCTCATGCACCAAATGCAGCTATGCTGACCGCGCCCCCATCGCACTCACAATCCCAGCCGACACCATCTCAGTGCCGTTCGCTCTACACTCGGCCATTATTCCACTGCTGCAACCCTCAACCCTCTCAAATTGAGCCCTTCTTGCTTTGTACAAGCAGTTGTTGCTTGCTCCTGTAAATTTCCCCTATCACACCCACCACATCCGGTCTCCAGGTGACTTTTGAGTCGACTCAAAAGTCACATCTATCACAACCACCACATCCGGTCTCCGCATGTTTTTTCCTCGTGGCAGTCACTCGGAGCAGAGCCCGAGGGCTATTCCACCACTGAGGCGGCAGAAGCAGCAGCAGCAGAGGTGCTACGGCTGCGTCAGGCGGGCGTGATAGCAAACCCCCCCACGGTGAACCCTAGGGCTTCTCCAGAGGGTGTGGTAGCAGCAGGCGGGGGAGTAGCAAACCCCGGGCCCCCTCAAGGCAGCACACCCACTCCCTCGCACCGAGCCTCCCAGTTGCCCCCACCTATCGCCTCCACATCACCAGCTTTGGAAGGCACAGTGGCTGGTGGTGATGCTGCTGATGCTGCTGCTGGCGGTGCTAATGATTGCGAGGATGGCGGGTCACTGGGACAGTAATTGCACCCACCCACTGCCTCAAGGATATGCTTGGAAGATGTTTGGATCAGATGGTGCTTGTACACAGCGACACTTAGGATTCTCTCATTCTTTTGATGACGCGCGATTGATTCTACATAGCCATGCCCATTGCGTTGCCTTGGCTGTATCTCATAATCACTTTGTGCGTTGTGACCAAGCACCAGTTGTACCTTCCGTAGCTGAACGATTTTATGTTACAGGTGGTGTAGGAGATGCAACAACTGGCAAGTGAATGGTAGATATGGAGCAGGGACAGCCGCCTCAAAGAGTCAAGCGAGCCTTCGGCCCAAGTGTCACGAGTCAACTGTCATGGGAGAAGCCCCGGAGGCATCCGGTTGAGTGGGCGGTGGTGGGGTTGCTGCTCTGCCCTCCCCACCCCCTGCTGCAGCAGACGGCCTACCAGCAGGCATCACGGTCACGCCCCCCCCCCCCCCTCCTCCTCCTCCTCCTCCTCCTCCTCCTCCTCCTGCTGCTACCACTGCTGCCAGCTCCCTCGAAGGATCCTCCTCCAGGGCTCCTTGGAGCTCCTCCATCTGCTCAGCGGGGAAGCGTGCAGATTGTATGCGCGCATGACATCAAGTGCGTGCGAGCACGATGACATGCCCGTCTTACCGCAAAACAGTGGCATGCACGTCTTACCACAAAACAGTGGCATGCACGTCTTACCACAAAACAGTGGCATGCACGTCTTACCACAAAACAGTGGCATGCACGTCTTACCACAAAACAGTGGCATGCACGTCTTACCGCAAAACAGTGGCATGCACGTCTTACCGCAAAACAGTGGCATGCACGCGTGTGGATTTGCATGGTCCACATTCTCCCTCCTCTCCCCATCTCTCCCTCCCCCTCCCCCCTTCCTCTCCCCATCTCCCCCTCCCCCCTCCCCCTTTCTCCCCATCTCCCCCCCCGCCTCCAGCGCCACTACCTGTGAGCGCCCCCCCTTACCCACCCTCCCCTTTTCCCCTTCCCCTCACTCGCCGTGTGCAGAATATGGCGAAATGTGTCCTTCTCCCTTCCACCGCCATCCGCGCCCTCCCCTCCACAGCTGCTTAGGGCGTCGCAATCCGCGGGGCCTTTCTTACTACTGAGTGGACTCAAAAGTCACCTCCACCACCTTCTCCGCCCCCACCCTCCCCCTCTCAAGCTCTACAGCTGCTTAGGGCGTCGCTATCTGCAGGGCCTTTCTTACTGTGCGGTACCCAACCCGCCTTTCACCACCGCACTCCCAGTGCACTACCCAACCCGCCTTTCACCACCCCGCTTACCGTGTGCAGCAGCAGGGCGAACAGCTTCCTTCGCAGCTCCCCCACTCTCCCCGTCCCCACGTTTCCCCCCTCCAGCGCCTCCACCTCCGCCTCCAGCGCCGCTATCCGCGAGTCTCCCCCCCCCTCCCCTTCCCCTTTCCCTCCCATCCCCCCCTCTTTCCCTCCCATCCCCCCCCCATTCTCCCCCTTTCACTCACCGTGTGCAGCAATAAAGCAAATTGCTTCCGCCTGAGATCCACCACTCGCCCCGCGCCCACGTTCTCCCCCTCCAGCGCCTCCACTTCCGCCTCCAGCGCCGCTATGCGCGCCTCTGACACCGCGCGCGCAGGCTGCGCCGCTATCTGCCGCCGCACCAGCTCGCACTCCTCCTCGTGCTGCCGCTGCCGCCGCGCCTCCGCCTCCTCCGCCATCAGCTGCTCTACCCGCGCCACCGCCTGCGCTCCGCGCGGGGGAGGGGGGAGAGGGGGGGGAGGGGGAAGAGTGGGTGTGAGAAGGTGGGAAGGGATTTGGAAGGACACGGGGGGCGGGGGGAGCGGAATGGAGAACATTTAAGGAGCAGTCGATCAGGTACTAAGGGAGAGACGGAACCCTAGAACAATTTGGCTGGATCGGTCTCAAGATCTTCGCACCTCGATAATATCCGCTTCTAGCTGTTTCGTCAGCTCGTTAAAGTGCTCCTGCTCGCGGCGGTTAGCGCTGATCACGGCGCGGGACATGGCGAGTGGTTGCTCGAATCCCGCCATTTCATGCAGCACGGCGCGCGCTAGTCTCTCGCAGTCAGCCATGCTGCTGTCCGGCCGAGCCGCCTCTGATGTGAAAGCGAGGAATTTCTTTAGGAGCTTTTTCATCGGTGGTTCGCCGCGAGTGACGGAGGTGCGCGTGAGCAGCCGCTGACGTATGATGGCGTCATCTTCCTGCGGCCCTACCGCGAAATGCGCTGCCATGGGCGCAACGACGAGGTGGCGGTCGAGTCGATTAAAAATATATACACGATCAGCGACTGCTGGGAAGGTGCTGAAATAAAACGTGCAGTCTCTATGACTCTGAAGCACGATCCACGCTTCTACTATAATGTCGTTCAATTCAACTCCGTGGATCCGTCAGAGCTAATAGCAAGCCAAACAAGATAGACGCGGCTTTTACACGGGAACCCTAATTTGCTCAAAAGCTGTGGGACCTCCTATTCTGAGCTTCGAATTTGTCTAAACCGGAACCCTAATTTGCAGAGCTTCAAAAGGCCAGGCCGAGTTTGAGGAAACGACAAATCTACACCCAAACTGAAACGTACCCGACAGTAATGCACCCGAATATTTCGCGCCAATGAGGCGATATTCTTACGCATGCGCAGTCAACTGTTTCGGACTGAAGTATTGAGTTGTGCATGCGCGACAAAAATTTCCAGCAAAATTTGTTGCGCTGCAATTCCGCAGAAAATGCCAAACTAGACAATAACTTTTGGGCAGCGTTTTGGGCAAATAAATCAAATTCATAGGGGCCCGACATGCCATTCGAGATGGCATCAACCCTGAACTCGCGGCCCTTTTTCGAGTTTAGGGTTGATACCACCCCGAGTCTCATGCTGTGCCCCTATGGCTTTATTGTTTTGTCGGCTGCGCGGGACTACTGTACGTATATATCGCCCAACATGTGGCTGACTGTGTCAGGTTTGGGCGATTCTACCAACAGAATCGCAGATTCGAAGATTCGTTGCATTTCCGTCGGATATGTTTCGATTTGGGTTTATAGATGTCGTTTGCTCGCCGAGTTTCAGTAGAAATGGCTGCTGAATGGTGGATGGAATGTCGCTTGACTGTCACGCGAAATTCCCAAGGTTTGCAGTGAAATTAGCACCTGTTCACACTTGCACCCCCTGAAAGTAGTGTTTGAAGCAGCTTGTATCGAGACACCGAGGTGGCTGATTTGGAAATCTCTGTGAAGGGAGATCCAGCCCACGTCAGCTCTTGACTGGTCAAATCGGCCTGCAAATGGGAGCCACGTCATCCGTTAGCCCCCCCTAGACGAATCGCGACTTGCTGTTCGCGAAACGCGCAAATGTTCACTGAACTGCGCGAATGCTGCATCCGTGCTTGCGATCGCGCCCTCAGGTCTTCTCCTCTTGGGATCTCCACAGTTACACAGATGCCGCTTTTCCGCTGAAGTTTTCAGTTATCTTATCCTGAAGCTTTTCCACTTCTCATTTCCATTCAGTTCCATCCTTGTGGAGGTTCCAATCCCCCTAGCCTCATCAACAAAAGGGGGTTTTCGTTCTAACGGTCCTAGCGTTGTCTGCGTCGCGTGAGTACGATCCGTGACGAATCAAGCCTCGTGAATCTCTAGGGCCGAATCCTGGAGTGTTTCTCTCACATCGTACATCCTATCACGCACCACATCAGGCTCCGCCATGGCTGACGCCAAGCCGCAGACCCTCCGCGCGTGGCTGCACTCCGCCGTCGAGTCGCGCGGCGATGCGACGGCCATCGTCGTGACGCAGGGAGGCCCCACCGTGACGCACGCCGGGCTCGAGGCGGCGGTGGATGCAGTGGCGGCGCAGCTGCGGGCGCTGGGCGTGAAACCCGGCGACCTCGTGTCGCTCGCGTTCCCTAACTCGCTCGAGGTACCACCTCTTGTTCGAATTACTGACGAATTCGTTCAAATCTTTCTTCTTGCTCCTGGTTAGCATCAAAGATTTTCCTGTGTAATGAGTCGATTTGTGAGTCGACTCAAAAATCGACTCATTACACACAGATTTTCCTGGCCTCTTCTTTTGAGGCGCCTCAAAACTAAACTTCTTTTGAGGCGCCGCAAAACTTGCTCCTGGTTAGCATCAAAGGTTAGCCTCAAAATTTGAGGCGCCTCAAAACTATCTTCCTGGCCTCTTCTTGCTCCATCGCCGACCACTCGCGCGCGCGTCTCCTCTCCCCGATTCTGCCTCCTCTCCTCACATTGACGTGACTTCGTACAAGCAGAAAATGGACATTTTCCATCCTATCGACATGTTTTCTCCTGACATCATCATGCTCGCATGTGTTTTGTTTTTGAGAATTCTAAAAACCAAAGCACATCCATGCTTGCAGTCGACTCAAAAGGCTGCTCCCACCTCCTAACACCCCACTCCCGTCTCCTCCTCTCCCCCCCACCCCCCAATCAGTTTGTGGTTCTCTTCCTGGCGGTGACCCGAGTCCGCGCCACAGCCGCCCCACTAAACGCAGCGTACACGGAGGAGGAGTTCAAGTTCTATATGGAGGATGCCCAGGCGCGCCTGCTGCTGCTGCCCGAGGGCGGTACTCCCAAGGCCCAAGCTGCAGCTGCCGCCCTGGGAGTGCCGGTGGCGCATGCTGGGAGCTACGGGGGCGAGGTGAGATAATAAGGAAAAGCACGGAGGGAAGTTGGAAAGGTTTATATGGAGGATGCCCTTTCAAGCCTGCTGCTGCTGCCCGAGGGCGGTACTCCCAAGGCCCAGGCCGCTGCTGCCGCCCTGGGAGTATCGGTGCCGCATGCTGGGATCTACGGGGGCGAGGTGAGGCTGTGTTCTGTGCCACTAAATGCTTTCCTCAACGATCAGGCATATTCGTGATTGGTATTCTCATTTTCTCTCCCTCCCATCCCTTCATCAGGAAAGAGCCCCCCTGGGTTCTGCATCCTCCCCAACCCTCCCTAATCCCGACATTCCCAATGGACCCCTCCTTTTCTCTCCCTCCCTCCACCTCCCTCTCGCTCTCTCCCTTTATCTCAGGAGGGAGTCCCCCTGCGCCCTTCACCCGGCGTCTCCAAGCTCCTAGATGCCGACATTCCCAATGGGGTCCTCCCTTCTTTCTCCCTCAAACCGCCGCCCCCCCGCCCCCCCCCCCCCCCCCCCCCCCCCCCCCTCCCTTCTTTCTCAATCTCCGCCTCTCTCTCCCTTTATCTCAGGCGGGAGTCCCCCTGCGCCCATCACCCAGCGTCTCCAAGCTCCCAGGCGCCGACATTCCCAATGGACCCCTTTTCTCTCTCCTTCCCACAAAACCCCCTTTCTCCTCCCCCCTTTGCTTGTGCCCCAGGCGGGAGTGCCCCTGCGCCCATCACCCGGCGTCTCCAGGCTCCCAGACGTGGACATTCCCAATGGACCCGGCCCCGGGCGCACGCCAGACCCCGCTGACGTGGCACTCTTCCTGCACACGTCAGGCACGACCAGCCGCCCCAAGGGCGTGCCGCTGACACACGCCAACCTGTCAGCATCCATCGGAAACATCATCGCCACGTACGACCTCACCCCTGTGGACCGCTCCTACCTCGTCATGCCACTCTTTCACGTGCATGGACTCATGGCGGCTCTACTCGCCTCTCTCTCCGCTGGAGGCTCCGTCGTTCTCCCCGCCTCTGGGAGGTTTTCTGCGTCGATTTTCTGGGACGAGGTGGTGCAGAGCGGTGCCACGTGGTACACCGCGGTGCCGACCATGCACCAGATCCTTCTCTCCCGCCACCGCTCCCATGGGCCCCCCGCCCCTCCGGATGCCTCCTCTGCCGGCGCCTATCCCCCCCTGCGCTTCATCCGCAGCTGTAGCGCCAGCCTGGCAGCATCGGTCCTCTCAGAAATGGAATCCGTCTTCGGCGCTCCCGTGCTCGAAGCGTACGCTATGACCGAAGCCAGCCACCAAATGACTGCCAACCCGCTCCCTGCCAAGGGCTCCCATAAGGCCGGGTCCGTGGGGCTGCCCACTGGGATTGAGCTGGCGATTTTGGACGAGCAGGGGAGGGAGCTCGGGGCAGGAGAGCGTGGGGAGGTGTGCATCCGGGGGGCGAACGTTACAGCTGGTTACCGCAGTAATCCGGCAGCGAATGAGGCGGCGTTTGCGTTCGGGTGGTTCCACACGGGGGACGAGGGGAAGCGGGACGAGGAGGGGTACTTGTTCCTGACGGGGCGGCTGAAGGAGCTGATCAACCGCGGCGGGGAGAAGATCTCGCCGCTGGAGGTGGATGCTGCCCTGCTGGCCGTCAAGGGGGTGGCGGAGGCCGTTGCTTTCTCTGCGCCTGACGCCCACTATGGGGAAGAGGTGAGTGGGGCAGTGAGGGAGACGTGATGGGGGGAGGTAAGGGAATATATAATTGATTTGGAATGCTGCTCTGCTGGCTGTCAAAAGAGTCACGGAGGCCGTTGCTTTCTCTGCGCCTGATGCCCACTGAGGCTTGGGGAAGAGGTGAGGGAATCCAGCAAGGGGGGGAGGGAGCGAGAGGCAGTGAGAGGACTGGTCAAAAGATGGGGGGGAGACGTGAGGAGTCTATTTTTGAGGCGCCTCAAAACAAAAGTGGGAGAGTAACGAGATGTAATGAATCAAACGGCCACCAACCTCTCATAACAAGGCTCTCACACCCACCCACCTCCCACCCTAACAAACGGCAACCTCTCATAACTGACTCTCACTGGTATCTTCCCTTGTTGCCTCCTCCAGTATCTTATCTACCTTTTCCTACCTAACCCTTCACACCCAACCCCCCCCCCCCCCTTTGCCCTCCTCTACTTGCCCTCCACCCTTCACCCTGTAACCCAACCCACCGCACACTCTCCTGCGCCCCCCCCTTCAGGTGAATGCAGCAGTGGTGTTGGAGCCAGGTGTTTCCCTCACCCAGGAGGAGGTGCAGGGGCACCTGAAGAATCACCTGGCGGCGTTCAAGCTGCCGAAGCGCGTTTTCTTTGTTGACCAGCTCCCCCGCACCGCCACCGGCAAGATCCAGCGCCGCTTCGTGGCGCAGGCCATGCTGGCTGGCGAGGGCACTCCTGCTGCTGCTCCTGCTGCTCCTGCTGCGGCTGCTGCTGCCGGTACTGCCTAGATGTAGCCGGTTGTCAGCAGGGGTAGCTGGTAGGTAGGTTGATCTCCCCCGCACCGCCACTGGCAAGATCCAGCGCCGCTTCGTGGCGGCCTACTGGCTCTTAGCTGGCGCTTAGCAGAGTTCGAGGGTAGAGGGAGGAGGGGGGATGAGGACGAGCTGCGGAAGGCACTTACTGCGGAAGGCACTTACTGCGGAAGGCACTTACTGTGGAAGGAGCGGAGGATGGAAGCTGATGCGTTGAAACACTGAGAACTTGAAAACGTTCTATGAATATTTTTTTTCCTGCTGATGACAAGCACATTTGTTCCCTTTGAAATGGCGCTTTGTTGTGTTGTGTGCGGCTGTGCTGTGTTGACAAGCTCGGCTCTCTTCCATCCCATCCCTTCGTATTGTGTTTGAGTCGACTCAAAATACTTTGAGGAATCTATTTTTGAGGCGCCTCAAAAATAGACTCCATCCCATCCCTTCGTATTGTCAGTCGACTCAAAATACTTCGTGTTGCACTTTGTGGTTGTGTTTCGCTGACAGGCTTGGCTCCCTAAGATCGCGTCTCCATCTCTTCCCTCCTCCCTGATTTCCCTCACGCTCCTGTCTCCCTTCCCTGTCTACTCTTGCCCATTTTCCTCCTGGTGTTCCCTCTCCAACACGTTTCCCATCACTCCTTCCCCCCCGCTACAGCTGCTACAGCCCCCTCCCCAACCCCGTCCGCCTCCTCCACCACCCTAGACTCCCCATCTCTCATCGCCCTCTCCCTCGCTCGCCTGGGCATCACGCACCTGTTCGGCGTCATCGGGATTCCAGTCACCGCCATCGCCACAGCAGCGCAGCAGCAAGGCATCCACTTCCTCTCCTTCCGCAATGAGCAGGCAGCCGGCTATGCCGCTGCCGCCTACGGCTACCTCACAGGAACACCAGGGGTGCTGCTTACTGTGTCTGGCCCCGGGTGCGTGCATGCTCTAGCAGGGGTGAGCCACGCTCAAGTGAACACCTGGCCGCTGCTGTTACTCTCAGGGTCTTGCACCCAGGGGGATATAGGCCAGGGGGATTTTCAGGAGTTGGATCAGGTGGGGGTGGTGAGACCCTTTGTGAAGGAATCTGGGCGGGCGAAGACGATTGGGGAGATCCCAGGGGTGGTGAAACGGGCGGCGGAAGCGACGGTGGCCGGGCGGCCTGGTGCTGCGTATGTGGACCTCCCGGCCGACGTGCTGCACGAGATTATTACCGAGGAAGATGCGAGGAAGCTTCTCGAGGGCGTGAAGCCTCTGGTTCCTCTATGGAGAACCGCTTTGGACCCCTCCGTACCGCTTGCATCAAACCTTGAGTCGAATCTTACAGAGGCGATTGCACTCTTGAGAGGGGCTAAGGCGCCCCTGCTGGTGGTTGGGAAGGGAGCAGCATATGCACATGCAGAGAAAGAGATAGTGGCACTGGTTGAAGCTTCAGGCATCCCTTTCCTCCCCACCCCTATGGGGAAGGGCGTCTTGCCCGACTCGCACCCCCTCTGTGTCTCTGCGGCTCGCTCATTGGCTCTCGCTCAAGCTGACGTGGCACTTGTGGTTGGCGCACGCCTGAACTGGATCCTGCATTTCGGCCAGCCACCTAAGTGGGCGGCAGGAGTGAAGTTTGTCCTGGTGGATGTGGACGAAAGCGAGGTGGTGCTGAGGCGGCCGGTGGTGGGGCTGGTGGGCGACGCCAGGGCGGTGGTTGGGCGGCTTGCTGCGCGGTGGGCGGCAGAAGGAGGGCAGAAGCTTCCGACAGACAATCCCTGGGTGGAAAAGCTAAAGGTACGTTGGAGCTGCGTTGACATTGGGATTGTTTCTATTCAGATTCCGGACAATGGCATTCTGTTCTCACTACTATCCGCATCCTCACCTCACCCTCATCCAATCAATGCTGCTTGCTCAATTCTCTCTTTCGCTCCCCACTGCGCCCCCCCCCCGCCCCGTCAGGCCAATGCTTCAACCAACAGTGTCCGAATGGAGTCCCTCCTCTCGCACGACGCCTCCCCCCTCAACTTCCACTGCTCTCTGCGCGTGCTGCGCGACAAGCTAGCCGCCCTCCCCCCTCCGTCTCGACGATTCTCAGCTCCGAGGGCGCCAACACCATGGACATGGGCAGCACTGTGCTGCCCCGCTTGTACCACCCCTGCCCCTCTACTCACTCACTCCCGCCCCCCTCCCCCGCCCCGCTCCCCCTGTCTTCCCAGGCCAAGGCATCAGTCAACACTGCCAAGATGGAGTCCCTCTTGTCTCAAGACGCCTCCCCCCTCAACTTCCACTGCTCTCTGCGCGTGCTGCGCGACAAGCTAGCTGCCCTGCCCCCCTCTGTCTCGACGATTCTCTGCTCCGAGGGTGCCAACACCATGGACATGGGCCGCACCGTGCTGCCCCAGTCCGCCCCGCGCTCCAGGCTGGACGCAGCCACGTGGGGCACCATGGGCGTGGGGCTGGGGTATGCTGTTGCTGCTGCTGTGGCGCCGTTGTCTGGGAGTGGGGAGAGTGGCAGTGGGGGGAGTGGCGAGCGGCTGGTGGTGGCGCTGGAGGGGGACAGCGCGTTTGGGTTCAGCGGCATGGAGGTGGAGGTGAGTGGCTTGCTATCTTCTGTCCCTCAATCCCCCCCGCGCTCGAGGCTGGATGCTGCTTAGCAGGGGTGAGTTGCTGGTGGTGGCGCTGGAGGGGGACAGCGCGTTTGGATTCAGCGGTATGGAGGTGGAGGTGAGTGGCTTGCTGCCGACTGGGGTATGCTGCTGTTGTTGCTGCAGCACTGCTCAGTGGGGGTGAGCGGCTGGTGGTGGCGCTGGAGGGGGACAGCGCGTTTGGGTTCAGCGGCATGGAGGTGGAGGTGAGTGGCTTGCTATCTTCTGTCCCTCAATCCGCCCCGCGCTCGAGGCTGGATGCTGCTTAGCAGGGGTGAGTTGCTGGTGGTGGCGCTGGAGGGGGACAGCGCGTTTGGGTTCAGCGGCATGGAGGTGGAGGTGAGTGGCTTGCTGCCGACTGGGGTATGCTGCTGTTGTTGCTGCAGCACTGCTCAGTGGGGGTGAGTGGCTGGTGGTGGCGCTGGAAGGGGACAGCGCGTTTGGGTGCAGCGGCATGGAGGTGGAGGCGAGTGGCTTGCTGCCGACTGGGGTATGCTGCTGTTGTTGCTGCAGCACTGCTCAGTGGGGGTGAGCGGCTGGTGGTGGCGCTGGAGGGGGACAGCGCGTTTGGGTTCAGCGGCATGGAGGTGGAGGTGAGTGGCTTGCTATCTTCTGTCCCTCAATCCGCCCCGCGCTCGAGGCTGGATGCTGCTTAGCAGGGGTGAGTTGCTGGTGGTGGCGCTGGAAGGGGACAGCGCGTTTGGGGGCAGCGGCATGGAGGTGGAGGTGAGTGGCTTGCTGCCGACTGGGGTATGCTGCTGTTGTTGCTGCAGCACTGCTCAGTGGGGGTGAGTGGCTGGTGGTGGCGCTGGAAGGGGACAGCGCGTTTGGGTGCAGCGGCATGGAGGTGGAGGCGAGTGGCTTGCTGCCGACTGGGGTATGCTGCTGTTGTTGCTGCAGCACTGCTCAGTGGGGGTGAGTGGCTGGTGGTGGCGCTGGAAGGGGACAGCGCGTTTGGGTGCAGCGGCATGGAGGTGGAGGTGAGTGGCCAGTCATCTCATCACGTGCCCCTCAACCCGCCCTGCGCTCGAGGCTGTATTTTGAGTCGACTCAAAATACACATGGATGTGGACGTGAGGTTTGAGAAATTGTAAGAACCACACGGCTTACTGTCTGTCTGATCGCTGTTGTAGCTGTGTTCCGTTAGTTGCCGACTAGTAACAATGGAGGCGGGTATCCCCCCACCCCTCCCCTCCCCTCTCCCCCTCACTCTTTCCTCTCTCCCCCCACCCCTCCTCCTCACTCTTTCCCCTCTCTTTCTCGTCCTCCATCCCCCCTCAATGGTGCGCTACAGCTTGCCCATAGTCGTAATAGTGATGAACAACGGGGCCATCTACGGCAGCGATTGCAGGGGGCGAGTGGACCTCCCAGAGGGCACCGTGTGCTCTCTCCACAAGCTCTCTCTGGTGCAGGTGAAGGTGGACCGGTGTCCACTTTCGAGGCGCCTCAAAAATAGACTCCTCACGCAGGTGCAGGTGGAACGGTGTCCACTGATCCACCGTGTGCTCCTCCCCACAAGCTCGCTCTCCTTTCCACTTCCCCCTTCTTCCCCCCTTCCTTTCCCTCCGTCCCCTCTCCGTGCTCATATTTCCGCCAGACAATGGTGCGCTACAGCCTGCCCATCGTGGTAATAGTGATGAACAATGGGGGCATCTACGGTGGCAACCGCAGGGGGCCAGTGGACCTCCCAGAGAGCACCCACAGTGACCCACCCCACATCCTTTGTCTTGATCTCCCCTCCCCATGTTCCCGATGCCTGCCAGACAATGGTGCGCTACAACCTGCCCATAGTCGTCATAGTGATGAACAACGGCGGCATCTACGGCGGCGATCGCAGGGGGCCTGTGGAGCTCCCAGAAACAACCCGCAGCGACCCGGTCCCCACGTCCTTTGTGGAGGGGGCTCGGTACGACCGCATGATGGAGGCGTTCGGCGGACAGGGTTACCACGTTACCACCGTGCGCGAGCTGGAAGGGGCGCTTGAGAGGGCGTTTGCGGAGCGGAGGCCTGCGCTGGTGAATGTGGTGATCGACCCCATGGCAGGCGCTGAGAGCGGCCGTCTTACGCACAAGAATTAGCTTTGAGGGTCGAGGTATCATTCGCAGTTACGCAGTTACACAGTTGCACCAGGAGCGCAGCCTGGTCTGTTGTGTGAGCATTGTGGTGCCAGTCTGTACAGCTATATTACTATTGCATTTGTGAACTTGTGAATGTTTTCAGGGCAGCAACAGGTATTGATTCAGTGTGGAGGAAATACACTTCTGATCCTTATGGAAACAAGTGAGCTACAAGCAGTGTAGGAACATGCCCTAAGACGATCAAGAATGCTCTAACCCAGTCTCTAACTGTCTGCCGCCTCAACAGGAAAAAAATGCCTACTATTAAATAATTACTTGGCCTAAAAAAATTGCCACATCAGCCTCTCATCTCCCCCCTCTATAAACGAGACCAGCACTTGAACAGCACTTGATCGACTGGCCAGTGCTGCTGCTGTCTCATCAGGCCCAGGCAAGCGCTATCCTGTCTCCCATCCCATCTGCCTGTCTGTGAGTTTACCACCTTAAAGCGTCATGTTGAAGTGAGCAACTGCCAGTGCAGCCTCTCCTCTTCCCCCTCTATAAACGCCACCAGCACCCGCACGCTCGCCAGCGCTGCTGCCGTCTCCTCCGGCGCATCAAAGGCAAACGCTATCCTGTCTCCTGTCTGCCTGTCCGTGACTGTAAACTGCTGCCCCCCGCGCACCCGGCTCACCTCATACCTCACTTCTCCGTGCACTCTCCCCACCTCCCCCACCTCCCTCTCTTGCCCTGCTCCCTTTCCTCCCTGCCCCGCCCATTGACCTGAACCGCCATCATCACTGCCCTCCACACTCCTCTTCTCCTCCCACTCTATATCATACGCGAAAGGATCCGCCACTGCTTCCGTTCCTCCCCCCCCTCCCATCCCTCCACCCCCCTCTCCTCCCTCCCCATGCCCTGCGCCCCCCCCTTCCCCCCACCTGCTTCCTCTCTTCCCTCCCCTGCCTCTCCCTCTCCCTCTCCCTCTCCCACTACCACCTCTCCCCTTGCCATACCCCTTCTGCTTCAGCCTGTTCGCCTGGTGGTGACTTAGTAACTGCACCGCCCCTGCAAATGCTGCCTGCCTCTCCTCCTCATCCAATCCTTCCCCTAGAATAACTGTTGTTTTGCTAGCAGTAAACACCACGGCTGCTCGCTTTCTCACTTGCCACTGCACCCTGCTTCTCCCCCCCTGCTCCTGCTGCTCCGCTCTAGCCAACCCTCCCCGTATTATCACTCCATCCCCCCGGGATGAAGCAGTAGGGAGGGCAGGGGAAGTACGCAGAGGGGAGTGTAGTGGGGAAGCAGGAGAGGGGGGGTGATGAGGGGGAGAGGGGGAGGGGTGAGCGCGGATGGGGAGAGGAGGGGAGGGGGAGGAGGGTACCCAATGGGAGGAGGAGGAAGGAGGTGGGGGGGGCGCATGTGAGTGGACTCGAGGCAACGGGCAGGAGGGGGAGGGGTGAGTAGGGGCAGGGAGGGAGGGGTGGGAGGGGTGGGAAGGGTGGGAAGAAGTAGGCACTGGTGCTTTGGAAGGCGTGGGAGGCATGGCATGACCAACGGCAGTATCACTCTCGAAGCACGCAGCAGAGTCTCTCTCACCCCCCTGTGCGCTCTTCACTCTGTCACCATCGCTCCCACCGGCGCTGGCAACACTCGAATCCCTCTCTCCTCCCTCCCTTCCATCCGCTCTGTCCGCCCCACTACAGCCCGCTCTTTCCCGTTTCCGCACCGGTGCCCTCCCCACCTGGCGAGGCACATCTGTGCTTCTTTCTCGCCCAGTCGAATCAGTCCCCCCCACCTGCCAGGGCACCTCACACGCTCGTTCGGTCGAGTCAGTTCTCCCCACCGGTGCTCGACCCACCTGCCGAGGGGCCTCTACGCTACGTACGACTCGGTGAGCCGAGTCGATTCGCCCCACCTGCTGGACCTCTGTGCGTCTCCTCTTGGACGCCGGAGGGACACGCTGAAGCCCATGATTGTGCCGCTCACCCGTGCCAGATGTGACAGGAGATGACTTTTGAGTCGACTCGAAAGTCCTCTTGGATGCCGGAGGGATACGGTTCTGGTTGTCAATCTGAAAGTGCCGCTCACTTGCGCTGGAAGTGACAGGAACGGCCGCTGCAGCAGCAACAGCACCAGCAGCACCAGCAGCACCAGCAGCACCAACAGCATCAGCAGAATCAGCAGCATCAGGAGCATCAGGAGTATCAGCAGCACCAGCAGCACCAGCAGCACCAGCGGCGTGGGCAGCAGAAGCTGCCGGCTGAAATGCAGCACTAGTAGCAGGCTGGAAGGGCGAACCACCGCTAGTAGCAGGGCTAGAATGGGATGCGTTGACCGCAGGGCTAGATGTGGGAGCACTGGCAACGGAAAGAGCAGCAGAGGCAGAGGGCGAGGAATTCAACCGGCTCATAGTTGTCCCGCAAATCTCCTGCTTAATCTCCTTCTGCTGAGCCTTCCCCTTCGCTAGAGCAGCTGTGCCCTTCTCCCCGCGCCATCTGCCCTTATACTTCCCCTTCGCACCCCTGCTTTTCTGGGGCACGTCCCTTGCGCCTTTGGCTGGCGGATTGAGGAGCGGTCCCGAACCAGCAGCCACGGATGAGCACGGGGCGGCAGCAGCAGCAGCAGCAGCAGCAGCAGCAGCACTGCCAGCAGCAACAGCAGCAGCAATGGTTGCGCCGGCAGCAGCAGCGGTTGCGGCAGCAGTGGGTTTTTTGCTGGGAGCACGAGTGCGGCCACCCCGTGCAGTGGCTTTCATGAGGTCCGTCACACTGCGGCAGCGCGGCCGCCTCCTGCTGCAGTCAGCACCCACCAACCACTCGTCCTCCCACTCCCACTTCACCTCCTGCTTGCATTGCACTTCCTCCTCCTTACGTTCAGTCTCCTGCTTGCATTGCACCAGCTCTTGCTTACATTGTGTAGCCCCCTTACGCTCCTCCTCCCCCCGTCCCTCCCTTTCTGCTGCCCTCTCGTTCTGCCCCGCAGCCCGACTTTGCGCCCCGCCACTGGCACAACCCGCACCAGCACCATCACCCGCACCATCACCGTCACCACCAGCGCCACCAGCACCACCAGCATCACCAGCACCACCAGCACCACCACCAGCACCACCAGCATCACCAGCACCACCAGCACCACCACCAGCACCACCAGCACCACCAGTACCACCAGCACCACCAGCACCACCAGTACCACCATCACCACCATCACCACCATCACCACCATCACCACCAGTACCACCAGCAATATCACCACCAACAGCCAATATTACAGGAGCTGCTGCCGCTGCTGCTCCTGCCTCTGTACTTGCTGCTGCTCTTTCTGCTCCTGTTTCCGCTGCTGCTTCTGCTGCTGCTTCTTCTGCTGTTTCTATGGCCGGGGCCGCTGCCGTGGGGGCGGGCGTTGACTCCATTCCCGCGTTTCCTGAAACCCCATCTCCTGCCGCTCTTCCTGCTGCCACGGTTTCCATAGCTGCTGTTTCTGCTGCCAGTCTAGCTGCTGCCTCTGTTGCTCGAATTCCCTCGGGCGAACCAGCACCCTTCAACATGTCCCGCCCCTTCTTTTGAGGCGCCTCAAAAATACACTCGGGCGACCCAGCACCCTTCAAGATGACCCGCCCCTTCGCTCTCTTAGCAGTTGGCTCTGCTGCTGCTGCACCCGCCCGTCGCTTCCCACCCCTCCCCCCTGCTCCTTCTGCCCCTTCCTTTGCTTCAGTTCCTACCTCCGCCTTCTCACCACTCGCCTTCACCATCTCAGCTCTCCCGTCTTCGCACTCGCCTTCCCTCCCTTCCGCACTGCCCACGCCCACGCCCTCCCCTCTCCCTTCCTTCTCTCTGCCCTCCTGACTGCATCCTCTCTCTCCTCCCTCTTCTACGGGCAGAACAGGCCCCTCCGTTACCCCCCCAGCAGACCCTACAGCCAGAGGAATGACTGCAGGTGACTTTTGAGCATTCTCAAGAACGACTGCTGCCTCCTCTACTACTAGTATTCCTGGCCCACTAACTGGCTGGCCAGCCTCGGCTTCACGGCCGCCTTGCTCCCTCAATCTAGCTACCACGCCTTCCATGCTCCGTGCTCTGCCTCTCCTCCGACTAGTCATCCCTCTGTTTCCTTCCCCATCTCCCACCCCTGCTGCTTCCCCACCCCCAACTGCCTCCGGTCGCAGTGGGAGTGCCACCGCAGTGCGCCCCATTCCACTGACCCGTGAATCCCTCTGCTGCCCACCCGCCTTAGTACAGCCCACTGCTTCACTACCATTATCATCATATACGGTTGTGAGTTGCTGGCAAACCCTAGTGCAACCTTCACCCCCACCATCACCACTAGCATCACCATCACACACGGCAGTGGGGGGGAGACTCCTTTGCGGAACCCATTTCTGCAATCGCCGCCCATCCGCCACTGCCTGGTGCTCACCAACACTATTTGTAACACGATTGCCGTTAATAGGAGTAACTCTAGCAGAAGGCTGCCGGCGGCCGGGAGAAGCTAGCCGCGCGAGAGGCGGCGTCTGGGCGGCTGCTTCGGCGAGGAGTGACTGCACTCCGCTTGACTGCTGCTCCCTCTCTAATCTCTGAAACAACAGCACCACCTGTTCCTCTGAGGAGCCACCATCACCATGATCATCCAAAGCCCCGGACTCAGGCGTTCGCCACCGCCGCTCATCGCGTGCCTGTGCCCCAGCCCGCCAGCGCCGCTGCTCCTCGAGAATCAGCCCACCAGCGCGCCGCTCCTCCCCTGCGGGGGACTTGTCAATGCCCACTGGCTTCTCTGCGGAAGCTAGTACTATTCCCCTTTCGTGGCGGGAATCGGCGGGCCGCGCCAGATGATGCTGGGGGGCGGCGGAAGGGGGAAGGTAAACGTCTCCTCTGAGCTGCAGGAGATGGCCTGCGGCAAGTGCGGCGGCCCATGGCGCCGCAGACTCTGCAGAACCGGCGGCCGCCAGCCGACCTTGAGTCGCCGACTCCAAAGGCGACACGTTTGAAAGGGACTTGGAGGGGCGTGACGGCGGCCGCGGCAGGTGGCCTGCTGCTCGGTCCATCATTGGGGAGCTCATCATGATATGTATCGGCGACGGCGACTGCTTTCAGTCAGTTGATTAGGATTCAACTTGAAACGTTCTTAGTAAGAGTGGATTGCCGGAAGCTCGGGATTGCCTCAGTGACTGATGAGTGGTTTTGGAGGATACTGGCTTCGGGTATTGCTAGTAATTTCGACTAAACGACCACTGGTTCTCCTAATATTCTGGGTACTCCTGGAGTAGATAATGGCAGAGCACACCACAGCCAGCGGAGTTCCACAGCATGTGCGGCTAGAAACGACCCTCCCTCCCCTCGTACCACCATTCAGATCATGGAGGGAAGGCAAGTCCCCAGGAGGGAGGAAGAGCCGGTGGCTGGGTGGCTGGCTGGCTGGCTGCTGCTCACGCTGCCGCTGACAATAGCACCGAGAGTGGTGGAGAAAGGGGGAGGGGAGGGGTGCACCTGATTGATCGATCAACGCGGTACTGTACAGTAGCTTCGCGCGGGAGACCCCGTTCTGGAGTTCAAATCAACACCCGATTTTCCGGTCCGGGCAGCTGGGGTTGTGTTCGGGAAAACCGAGGTAGAGCCTTGGGAGTTCCGCGAGGACAAGTGAGTGGCAGTGTACTTTGGAAGGGTATATGAGTACAGTAAGACGCTTTTACAGACGTTTTGAAACCAAACCGAACCATGTCCTAGTTCATTCAATCCTGGTACACCTGACGTCCAGTGAATCGTTTATTCACTACATGTCACGCGGTTATTTACAAGCTTATTGGTTTGAAATAACGGGAAACGACCTAACCAAAACAAGCCTAGAAATATGCAGCAGTTACCGAATCTGATATGGAGACCTCCAAACGTGCAGACGGGACGTTCTCAAACCTTACACTGTTGCCCGAGGAACGCAAAACAGACAACAGTGGTCATCCGCTCAAGACTGGAAAATGCCAATGAGGTAACCAGACTACCCTATATTGGCCCAATTCGCCCGTGAAAGTTATGTGCTCGACTTTGTAGCACCCGGTATAAAAAACTCTGAGCCTGAAAAGGACTTCATGTGTAAATGATGTTTTTTTTTGTTTTTTGTTGTTTTTTTTTCCCCTCCGAATTAGGATGGGTCTGCCATGAAATTGGTGGGGTGGCACAGCTGGCTCACCTTCCTGTCCTTGTTCCCCCATCCCCTAGCTCCCTACGCTGGCCAATCTGCCGCTTATAAGGCGTACAACTCCGGGATGGAATTCCAAGCAAGCAAGCAAGGAAGCAAGCGGAGGAGTGTTTCCAAGCAAGCAAGCGGAGGAGTGTTTCCATTTCCAAGTTTAGAAATGGTAAACGACGCGCATTTAGTGTCACCAATTTGACCTCCATTTTCCCTTCCGCACGACGACGCATTCTTAGCGTGTCTACCAAATGCGCTGGAATGATTGTCAGCGGCGACGGAGCTGAGATGCGTCCGCAGCAGCAGAAGGAACGCGGCCAGAGCCCGCAGCCGCAGGGGCGTACTACGCCGCTTAGCAGTAATAACCTTTTATCGCCGCCAGTGCAGCGGCTATTATCGTCTCTGCGCGCGTGGCTGGCGGACTGTAGCGTGAAGAGGGCGCCAGGCGGGGCTGAGACGTCAGACTGTATCACAAGGGGAGCGTCGGGGGAAGCGCAGGTTTTAGGCTGTAGCGTGAAGAGGGCGCGTGTGCGCGTGGTGCGGGCGGCGGAGGCTGTAAGCGAGGCGATGCTGGCAGGGAGAGCGCGAGGACGAGGGAAATCTGTCGATGTTAACGAAGCTGTGACAATGGAGGATGTGATGCCTAACGCGATGGAGGGTGTGACTAATGCGGTGGAGAACGATGAGAGTGCTGGTGGACGCAGGGATAGCTTGCCGTGGCAGGTGCTGTGCGAATCTGAAGCGCCTAAGCTGATGGTCCGAGCCGTGGCTTCAAGGTAGTTGGGCGGGTGTATTTTGAGTCGACTCAAAATACAACCGGGTGAGGGCACATTGAAGGAAGGTTTGAAGGCACAGCGGACAGGACTGATCTGATGTCACTTTTTACGTCTCATAGCTCCCACTTTTGCCCATAATGGTGGAGGTTTTTCCAGCTCAGGGAGTAGTTTCGGTTCTAAGCTTCTGCTGTTGCGTTCTCACCTGCGTGCTGCACTGTTTCATCAACAGGTGCGCCTGTCCCTACTGCCACGAAGCAGGAGGAGTCTATTTTTGAGGCGCCTAAAAAATAGACACCTGCGTGCTGCACTGTTCCCTCAACAGGTGCGCCTGTCCCTACTGCCACGAAGCAGTAGCAGCCTCCATGGCATCTCTCGCTTCCCTGCTCTTCCTACTGCGCCCCCAGCAAGCGCTCTCTGCCTTCCTCACCACTCCGCCCACTGCAGGTAAACTTGACGCATCTCATACACTCTTGCCTCTTGCCTCGTAACACATGACAAACCCCCCCCGGGCCCCGCCCTTCCCGTCTAGCTTTCTGCCTTGGGTCCTCGTGCCTTCGCTATGGTATCATAAAAATGTGTCTTCCTCTTGTTGCATGTCGTTTCAGTAGGGGGCAAATCACCAGAAGCGGCAGATGTAGCAGCAGCAGCAACAGCAGCAGCAGCAGCAGCAGCAGCAGCAGGCAGAGGCCCTGCTCTATGCGTTGAGGGGAAGTGCGAGCAGCCGTGTCTGTTGGCATGCCTCTGCTCCCTGCTGCACATACCGCCCTCCTCCTCCTCCCGTGCTGCCCCTACTTCTTCTGCCACCACTTCCGCTGCACGCTGCATTGCGGAAATCGCATCGTCGCCTCTCGGGGCTCGCCTGGCCCTTCAGCACCACGCCCTGCAAGCTCTGCTGCATTCCATGTAACTCTGCCGTTCCCCCCCCCTTCCCCCCCCCCCCGGCCCTCTTCCCCCCTCTTGGGGTCTCCTCCTGCTGCATTATGCTGTGCTTTCTTTGCGTGTCATGCCAAACACTGCAGCCTGGTAGCTATTATCTGCTCTGCTTGATGCCAGTTGGGCTTCCTGGTAGCTTCTCTGGCAGACGTCAGCTGTCCTTTTATATTTCCTTCTCTTCTCTGCATGTGCCGTGTGCCATCGTGTGCTGCCTTCTGCATGTTCTGCTGTATGGTGCCCATGCCCCCCTCCCCTGCTGCATGCCTGCTGTCTTGCCTCTCCTGCATATTACTGGATCGCCAACGCAGAGCAGCATGGGAGTGTGTTGGGGGCGGCAGTGGCAGCAGCAGGGGCACTAGCAGTGGCGGCGGCAGTGGCGGATGCCAGGAGAGTCCTGCGGGAGCAAGAGCGGCAGAGGGGGGGTTTGGGTGCAGGCAGGGCGGGGAAGAGGTGCATAGCAGAGCGGGACAAGGAGATGAGGAGAATGAGGAGGACGAGGAGGAGGAGGAGGAGGAGGAGGAGGAAGAAGAGGAAGAAGAGGAGGAAGAAGAGGAGGAAGAAGAGGAGGAAGAAGAGGAGGGGGAGGAGGACGACGAGGACGAGGAGGACGGAAAAGGGGGAGAGGAAGAGGAGGAGGAGGGGAGAGAGGAGAGGGGTGTGGGACGCGCCAAATACGAGCAGCTAGACGCACTAGTAGATGCCTTGTGGTCGCTCCTGTTTCTGCATCCTTCTCAAACCTTGCACCCTCACGTCCAACCCACTGGTCCACCTCATCCTTCTCTCTCCTCTGCCCTCTCACCTCCGCTCTCCCCCTCACTCTCTCGCCTCCCCCCCCTGCCGTCCTCCCCTCTCCTCGCCTCAGCCCTGGCGCTGCTCCGTCGGGAGTACTCCCTCATTTGCAGAGAGGACAATTCCTGCCACCCGCAGCGATCTCAGCTGGCTGGCAAGCGTTGTCAGGTAGCGGCGGTGATGGCGTGGATGGGGATGGCGCTCGCTGTACGGGCAAGGGGAGAGGAGAACAGGGAGGGAGCAGTGGAACAGGTAGTGGAGGCGAGGGGAGATGGGCGTGGTGAGGCAGGGGAGGGAGAGATATTGGAGGCGAGGGGAGATGTGGCTGAAACGAGTGTGAATGCAGAAGCATGTAAAAGGGAAGCGAGTGTGGGAGCAGACGCAGAAGCGTGCTGCAGAGAAGCAGAGCAGCTGTTGGGCATGGCAGCGGGCTCATGGCCCGCCTTTCTGTCCGGCGTGTGGGAGAAGCGCCCGTTTCTCTTCAGGGCTCGTGGTCGAGGGGAGGGGAAAGAGCAGCAGGCAGAGCAACGGCTTTCCCTCCCAGACTCACGTCCTCGGGGAGACACTCGCCTCGCCCTGACAGATCATGTCGTTGAGGCGCCTCAAAGAGAGCAGCAGGCAGAGCAACGGCCTCTCCCTCTCCTCTCGGACCAACGGCCTGTGGGGGACACTAACCCCCCCCTGACACTCGTTTCTCTGCAGGGCCCTGCCCTTGCATCTCTAGTGCAAGCCATTCCGCACCTTGGAACTGCCGATGGGCTCCTTGATTTCTTTCTGCCCGGGGCAGCGCACTGCCCAGGCATGAGTGCGGGTGAAGCCGACCCGTTCGCCTCTCTGAGGGACATGGCGGTGGCAGGCGAGCTGGGGCGGCCTCTCTTGTCCTCACCTGACGTGTCATTCCTCCGCTCCCAACCCTCTGCCCTGGGAACTGCATCGCATCACCAGCCCTCCCAGCCCTCCCAGGCCTCCCAGGCCTCCCAACGGCTGTCTGCTGCAGGGGCTGCGGCAGGGGGTGAAGCGGCAGCAGGGCGTGCGGAGAGGGGCAGTGGCATCAGCGACAGTGCTTCGAGGGGCAATGGCTTGAGGGGTGAGGAGGAGGGTAACGGGAAGGGCGAGGAAGAGGGGTCAGAGGAGCCAGGGTGCAAGCGCAGGCGTATGCTGTCAGCCCTGCCCTCTTCACCCATACCACCTTCTAACTCCCCGCCATCATCACTCCAGCATACGCCTCCAACCCTCCCATCGGCAAACCCCTTCCGCTCCGCCTTCTCCCAAGGCTACACCGTCGCCCTCCGCAGCATCAACTGCCGCTCCCCTGCTGTAGCGGCTCTCGCCCACACCGTTGCCCGTGCCCTCTGCCTGCCCGCTGTCGGGGTCAACCTGTACCTCACTCCGGGCGGCGGGCGGCAGGGCTTGGCGCGACACTGGGATGACCACTGCGTGCTGGTATGCCAGGTGAGGGGTTGCAAGCAGTGGAGTGCGTTGTTTCGATGTGTTTTTCTGTGCTGTGCTGTGCGGTGCTGTGTGTTAAAAGAACAGTCCCTGTGGGTGTGCTGATGTGTCAGGTGAGCGGGCGCAAGCGGTGGAGAGTGTTCCGCCCCACGCCTGGGAAAGAGCTGCCACGCCTCTTCTCCGTGGCGGGCCTTGAATGTGGTGCAAGCAGTAGGGACGGAACCCATGGGCTGAACGAAGGCAGGCACGGCGACGGCAACAGCGAGGGCGAGGGCGAGGGCGAGGGCGAGGGTGAGGACGACGGCGACGGCAACGGCAACGGCGAGGGCGAGGGCGAGGGCGAGGCGAGGCTGCTCAAGGAAGAGGGAGGGTCGTCTGTAAGGGAGGCTGCCGCAAAAGCTAACCCCCGTTCTTGTGAGCCCAGCCAAAGAGGGGCATGCAGGGGGCGAGGAGGGGTGTGTAGGGAGGAGGAGAGGGAGGAGGAGAGGGAGGAGGAGAGGGAGGAGGAGGGGTGGGTTCCGCTAGGGCAGGAGTTTGAGCTGCGTCCAGGTGACGTGCTTTACATCCCCAGAGGGTTCCCCCATGAGGCATGCACTCCCCATGAGGCATGCACTCCCCATGAGGCATGCACTCCCCATGAGGCATGCACTCCCCATGAGGCATGCACTCCCCATGAGGCATGCACTCCCCATGAGGCATGCACTCCCCATGAGGCTGGTACCCCCGACGAGCCTTGCGCGCCAGCACCTGCGTTTTCACCTGCGCTTTCACCTGCTGCAACACAAGGCAAGGGGTGCACTCGAGCTGGATCACAGCAGCCTCCAGGCGTAGGAGCAGATAGGGAGCATGGTGCTGCAGCAGAGGAGCCATCCTTGCATCTCACCTTTGCTCTTGAAGTGGACGCACCTTACACGTACGTCCCCTTACTCTCTCACCTTTTTTCCTCTCATTGCCTCTCACCTTGGTGGGCTCCTCTCACCTTTGCAAGAAAGGAGAGTGGATGGGTTCCACCCGCAGCAAGCCCAACCACTGACATGCATTCATGCCCCTCGTCCCTGCCACATATGTATCTGCTCCTCTACTCACTTCGCTTCTTATCCAATTTTTCTCTCTCCCTGGCCCACGTCCCTTGGTCAGCTGGGAGGGTTTCTTCCACGCGGGGCTCAGGTGCTGGCTCCACTCCCTCCCTCGCCACCGCAAGCACCACATCCTCAACCCGCCACACCCCGGGGACAGGGGAGATGAGAGTGGAAGTGAAAGGGAGTGCGTGAGTGAGCTCGGGAACGAGTGTGAGGGTGGGAGCGGGAGTGAGAGCGTGGCATGGGACGTGACTTTTGAGTCGACTCAAATGGGTGGGAGGGGGAGTGAGAGCGCGGCATGGGACGTGTGCGAGGCGCTGCTGCACGCGCAGCTCTGTCAAGCAGGGGAGTGCTTTCCCAAGCTACGAGCCTCGTGCACCCCTGCTGTGCTGCACCCCTCATCAACCAACAAGAGTATGCGAGCCGACAGTAGGCTGTCAACCGACAAGTGCTTCTCATATTTACTCCTGCTGCTGAAACAGCCGCAGGTGTTCTCGTGCCCTCTGCTGCCCCTTTCACAGCTTGCTTCCGTCTACCAAGCCTCGGATGACCAGCACCAGCAGCAGGAGCAGCAGCAGCATGTGTCTCACTTCCAGGCATGTGCAGCGTGGCTGGCGCATCCACCTCCCTCGCACGCTCACACCAGTTTCGACGTTCCCAAGCATATCAACGCGCATCACCAGCAGCGGCATCAGCAGCAGCAGCAGCAGCAGCAGGAGGAGGAAAGGCAGCAGCAGGAGCAGCAGCAGCAAAGGCACCATGGCATCGCTGGCTCTGAACGCCTTCTATTGAGTATGCAGATCATCCGGGCCCTTAGCAGTGTGGCGCATGCGTTTCTGAAGGAGCTTGATAGCTGGGGTCCTCTTGCTAGCGAGTATGTTCGATGTAGATACCACTTACAGCAGCGAAACTACGAGGCAATGGAGGCTGCACTAGCTACACTACAGGAATTATAGGAGTAAGCAAGGAACACATTAGAAGCCATTGACCTTAGCAGCATGCACTATTGCCTTGTAATGCAGATGCAAGCCTACTGTACTCATCGAGTATCTTGTCACTGCATTATACCGTAGCCAGCTCAACAGCGGTAATGGTAGAAGTTTATTGAGCATTCTCAAAAACCTACTGCACCATAATAACCAGCTACAATTCGAGGAGACGAATGAATCACCCATCTATGCCTCACATTCTCCGTCCTCTCTATCCTCCCCGTCCTCCCTCTCCTCCCTCCCACTCACCATCTCCACTCCCACCTCTCCCTCACCACCACTCCCCTCCACGCCTCTCCCACTTGCCTTCTCCCACCCCCCCTCACTTGTTCCTCTAGCAGCCTTCCCACTCCCTTCCTCCACTGCTGCTTTGGCTCGCTTTTGAGTCGACTCAAAAGCACTTGCCTTCTCCCACCCCCCCTCACTTGTTCCTCTAGCAACCTTCCCACTCCCTCCCTCCACTGCTGCCTTTGCTCTCCTCTGCCGCTTCCTCCGAGCCGCACGAGACTCCCGAACCACGGGCTGAGGTTCGGACCAAACCTCGGGATGTGCTCCGGCAGCATTACCGACATCACAAACGGATGTCACCGTGTCAGTGGGGATACTAGCCATGTGGGCTGTTGCACCTAAACTGGTGGGTGCTGCTATATCTGCTGCTGCTGCTGCTGTTGCTGGGGCTGCTGCTGCTTCTGCATCTGCTATTGCCACTGTTGCTGTTGTATCGGCACTTGCTGCCACACCAGCAGCACATGCCCCATCAGCAGCACCTGCCCCATCAGCAGCACCTGCCCCATCAGCAGCACCTGCCCCATCAGCAGCACATGCCCCATCAGCAGCACCTGCCACATCAGCAGCACCTGCCACGTGGCGCTCAAAGAGTGCGACAAAGAATCCATCGGTGCCGTCTGTGGCAGGGTCTGTGCGCAACACTTGGTGGCCTGGGAGGTGTGAGGGGAGAGAGGTGGGGAGGTACGAGGGGGGGTATGAGGAGAAGTATGGGGGGAGGTATGAGGGGAGGTATGAGGGGCGGTATGAGGGGCGGTATGAGGGGCGGAATGAGGGGCGGTATGAGGGGCGGTATGAGGGGAGAGAGGTGGGGGAAGAGGAGGGGTTGAGTCAGAGACATCATCTGTTGCAGTCCGTAACAGGTACTGTGCGCCACACTTGGTGGGCTGGGCTGGGAGGTATGAGGGGAGGAAGGGGCAGGGTTGTTGTAGGGTGAGATGAGTCAGGTGCGGCAGGGGCGAGGTGAAAGCCTTTGAAGAGAGCCGCAGGGAGCAAGCAAGGCGTGCAAAAGCGGGCAAGGAACTCACCAAAGGGGTAGGAGGGGAGTCCCCTTGTGCGCCAGGCAGGCAAGGCAGGGGCCAGGCAGGCAAGGCAGGGGCCAGGCAGGCAAGGCAGGGGCCAGGCAGGCAAGGCAGGGGCCAGGCAGGCAAGGCAGGGGCCAGGCAGGCAAGGCAGGGGCCAGGCAGGCAAGGCAGGGGCCAGGCAGGCAAGGCAGGGGCCAGGCAGGCAAGGCAGGGGCCAGGCAGGCAAGGCAGGGGCCAGGCAGGCTAGGCAGGGGCCAGGCAGGCAAGGCAGGGGCCAGGCAGGTAAGGCAGGGGCCAGGCAGGCAAGGCAGGGGCCAGGCGAAAGCCCTTGGAGAGAGCTGCTGGGAGCAAGCATGGTGTGCAAGCATGGTGTGCAAGCATGGTGTGCAAGCATGGTGTGCAAGCATGGTGTGCAAGCATGGTGTGCAAGCATGGTGTGCAAGCATGGTGTGCAAGCATGGTGTGCAAGCATGGTGTGCAAGCATGGTGTGCAAGCATGGTGTGCAAGCATGGTGTGCACGCATGGTGTGCAAGCATGGTGAGCAAGCATGGTGTGCAAGCATGGTGTGCAAGCATGGTGTGCAAGCATGGTGTGCAAGCATGGTGTGCAAGCATGGTGTGCACGCATGGTGTGCAAGCATGGTGTGCAAGCATGGTGTGCAAGCATGGTGTGCACGCATGGTGTGCAAGCATGGTGAGCAAGCATGGTGAGCAAGCATGGTGTGCAAGCATGGTGTGCAAGCATGGTGTGCAAGCATGGTGTGCAAGCATGGTGTGCAAGCATGGTGTGCAAGCATGGTGTGCAAGCATGGTGTGCAAGCATGGTGTGCAAGCATGGTGTGCAAGCATGGTGTGCAAGCATGGTGTGCAAGCATGGTGTGCAAGCATGGTGTGCAAGCATGGTGTGCAAGCATGGTGTGCAAGCATGGTGTGCAAGCATGGTGTGCAAGCATGGTGTGCAAGCATGGTGTGCAAGCATGGTGTGCAAGCATGGTGTGCAAGCATGGTGTGCAAGCATGGTGTGCAAGCATGGTGTGCAAGCATGGTGTGCAAGCATGGTGAGCAAGCATGGTGTGCAAGCATGGTGAGCAAGCATGGTGTGCAAGCATGGTGAGCAAGCATGGTGTGCAAGCATGGTGTGCAAGCATGGTGTGCAAGCATGGTGTGCAAGCATGGTGTGCAAGCATGGTGTGCAAGCATGGTGTGCAAGCATGGTGTGCAAGCATGGTGTGCAAGCATGGTGTGCAAGCATGGTGTGCAAGCATGGTGTGCAAGCATGGTGTGCAAGCATGGTGTGCAAGCATGGTGTGCACGCATGGTGTGCAAGCATGGTGTGCAAGCATGGTGTGCAAGCATGGTGTGCAAGCATGGTGAGCAAGCATGGTGTGCAAGCATGGTGTGCAAGCATGGTGTGCAAGCATGGTGTGCAAGCATGGTGTGCAAGCATGGTGTGCAAGCATGGTGTGCAAGCATGGTGAGCAAGCATGGTGTGCAAGCATGGTGAGCAAGCATGGTGTGCAAGCATGGTGTGCAAGCATGGTGTGCACGCATGGTGTGCAAGCATGGTGAGCAAGCATGGTGTGCAAGCATGGTGTGCAAGCATGGTGTGCAAGCATGGTGTGCAAGCATGGTGTGCAAGCATGGTGTGCAAGCATGGTGTGCAAGCATGGTGTGCAAGCATGGTGTGCAAGCATGGTGAGCAAGCATGGTGTGCAAGCATGGTGAGCAAGCATGGTGTGCAAGCATGGTGTGCAAGCATGGTGTGCAAGCATGGTGTGCACGCATGGTGTGCAAGCATGGTGAGCAAGCATGGTGTGCAAGCATGGTGTGCAAGCATGGTGTGCAAGCATGGTGTGCAAGCATGGTGTGCAAGCATGGTGTGCAAGCATGGTGTGCAAGCATGGTGTGCAAGCATGGTGTGCAAGCATGGTGTGCAAGCATGGTGTGCAAGCATGGTGTGCACGCATGGTGTGCAAGCATGGTGAGCAAGCATGGTGTGCAAGCATGGTGTGCAAGCATGGTGAGCAAGCATGGTGTGCAAGCATGGTGTGCAAGCATGGTGTGCACGCATGGTGTGCAAGCATGGTGTGCAAGCATGGTGTGCAAGCATGGTGTGCACGCATGGTGTGCAAGCATGGTGAGCAAGCATGGTGTGCAAGCATGGTGTGCACGCATGGTGTGCAAGCATGGTGTGCAAGCATGGTGTGCAAGCATGGTGTGCACAAAACGGCAGGGAGCTCACCAAAGGGGTAGGAGGGGAGTCCCCTTCTGTGCCAGGCGGGAAGGGCAGGGGCCAGGCGAAAGCCCTTGGAGTGGGCTGCAGGGAGCACTGCTGCCACAACCGCCTCGTTCTCCCGCTCGTTGATGGAACACGTGCTGTAGGTGACTCGCTCAACAGCTGGGACTGCGTGCAGAAGAGGGAGAGGGGAGGAGGGAGGGGTGCATGGGAGAGGGGAGGGTGCTTGCTACTGAGGGAGTAGACCACCACAAGAAGTGAAAGTAGGGAATCGGGAAAAGAGGGAGAGGGCTCTACTCCCTACTTTCTACCATGCTTGCAAGGTGAAGCCATGTTCCACAATCCCGGGTTTTGGAATCTATTTTTGAGGCGCCTCAAAAATACAATCCCCGGCTACGGAATTAGGGTGCCTTGTTGTGCACAATTCCTCGCGCATACATGACTTGGTAACTTTTGAGTCGACTCAAGAGTCAACTTGGTTTCAGTAGACTCAAAAGTCACCTCGTATTGAATCGACTCAAGAGTCACCTTGGTTTCAGTAGACTCAAAAGTCACCTCGTTTTGAGTCGACTCAACCATTCCTAACGCTTACATGTCAGTCAGTACATGACTTGGTACGTACATGAATTGGTACGTACATGACTTGGTACGTACATGACTCGGTACGTACATGACTCGGTACGTACATGACTTGGTACGTACATGACTTGGTACGTACATGACTCGGTACGTACATGCCTCGGTACGTACATGACTCAGTACGTACATGACTCGGTACGTACATGACTTGGTACGTACATGACTTGGTACGTACATGACTCGGTACGTACATGACTCGGTACGTACATGACTCGGTACGTACATGACTTGGTACGTACATGACTCGGTACGTACATGACTTGGTACGTACATGACTCGGTACGTGCATGACTTGGTACGTACATGACTTGGTACGTACATGACTTGGTACGTACATGACAAGGCATGTCTTAGAGCAGCTTCTTGGAAGCGGGCCAGTTTCTCAACTCGCTCCACCTCCTCCCGCTGCCCCTCGCCGCCTCCTCTCTTCCCATCACCCGCAGAATTCCCCTCCCCTTTGTCACCTCTCCCCCTACCACTCTCGTGGGAAGGAGTGGGTCCTTTAGAGAGGAGGTGGTCCCCCCGGGAGTGCCGTGTGCCTGAGCCAGAGCAGGAGGGATCCAGCAGCACAGCTCGCACCTGCAAGGGAAGGGGGGTGAGGGGGGAACCGGGGGGAGGGGAGGGAGTGGGGTAGTTGGCGGACTTGGGTAGTTGGCAGACTTGGGTAGTTGGCGGACTTGGGTAGTTGGCGGACTTGGGTAGTTGGCGGACTTGGGTAGTTGGCGGACTTAGGTAGTTGGCGGACTTGGGTAGATGGCGGACTTGGGAAGTTGGCGGACTTGGGTAGATGGCGGACTTGGGTAGTTGGCGGACTTGGGTAGTTGGCGGACTTGGGTAGATGGCGGACTTGGGTAGTTGGCGGACTTGGGTGGCGGACTTGGGAAGTTGGCGGACTTGGGTAGTTGGCGGGAGTGGGTAGTTGGCGGACTTGGGTAGTTGGCGGACTTGGGTACTTGGTGGACTTGGGTAGTTGGCGGGCTTGGGTAGATGGCGGGCTTGGGAAGTTGGCGGACTTGGGAAGTTGGCGGACTTGGGTAGCTTAGTTGCTACAAACGCTCTGGCAGACGCGTGTTTAGCGTTCGAACGCTAGCGTTCGAGCGCAAACGCTAAACGGACCCAAAACTAAGGACCGCTTGAGAGGTGAGCGGCAGTCGAGGAGAGCTTACATCAGCGAAATTGGGTGAGGTGGGGTTGATGGCGAGGAAATCACCCTCGTGGACTCGTGCACCTGGAGGGGACAGGGTGGGGAGGGGAGGGAGAGGAGGAGGATGAAGTGAGGGGGTTGGAGGAGGGGTTTGAAGCACGCCAGTTTGGTCGGTGGCAGCATTGATTCCAGTGGGGTCGGTGGCAGAATTGAGTCCCCTGGTTGCCCATCACAACAGCACAGATGCTTTTGCGCATAACCCAGCAAATGCCATGAGCGCTGTCGGGTAAGAGCTCCTCTTGTTGCCCGCCCCTCATCACACACCACCCTTTATCACACACCCGTCACGTATCACACACTCACAGGTAGCCCCTGCTCTCTCCAGGTTCTTCCGCAGTAGCGTTGCTCTCTTCCCGTCCCTCTCACACGCCGTCAGCCGCCCTCGGTTTGCCATCAGCGCCGCCAGGTGGGACGTCTTGTTGCCCGGCGCTGCACATGCGTCCAGCACATGCCACCCAGGCTGAGGGCGTAGGATGAAGGCAGGGAAGCAGCTGGCTCGGCCCTGGTGAAGGGAGTGGGGAGAAGGCACGAGGAATAGGAGAAGAGGGGAGACGTCCTGTTGCCCAGCGCCGCACATACAGGGAAGCAGCTGGCTCGGTCCTGTTGTGACTAGACGAGGAAGGGACAGTGCGGCGCATACATGGAAGCAGCTGGCTCGACACTGGTGAAGGGAGTGGGGAGAAGGCACGAGGTGTTGAAGAAGAGGGGGCACGCCCTGTTGCCCAGCGCGCCACATACAGGGAAGCAGCTGGCTCGGCCCTGCTCAAGGAACGGACTGGAAGGCACGAGGTGTAGGAGAAGAGGGGAGATGTTGTGACTAGAAGAGGGACAGTGCGGCTCAAGGAAGGGACTAGAAGGCACAAGGTGTAGGAGAAGAGGGGAGATGGTGTCTCGTTGTCCAGTGCTGCTCATGCCACGCCACCCAACCTGAGGGTTTAAGACGAAGCCAGGGAAGCAGCTAGCTTGACCTGGTCAGGGAGGGACTAGAAGGCACGAGGTGTAGGAGAAGAGGGAGGTTGTTGTGTTGCTTCCCAGCGCCGCCGTGCATGCGTCCAGGACGTGCCAGCCGGTCTGAGGGTCCAGGATGGAGGCCGGAAAGCAGCTGGTTCGCCTCTGGTGCATGGGAGTGGACAGGAGGAAGGGAAGAGTTATAGGCCGTTGCGGAGGAGAAAGAGAGTGGTGAGAGAGGACGGGGAGAGGAGAGAGAGGGGACGGGTGGAGCACATGAGGCGCGTCAGGGATGAGTCACTGCATGCACTGTATGCACTGTATGCACTGCATGCACTGTATGCACTGTATGCACTGCATGCACTGTATGCACTGTATGCACTGTATGCACTGTATGCACTGTATGCACTGCATGCACTGCATGCACTGGATGCACTGTATGCACTGTATGCACTGTATGCACTGTATGCACTGCATGCACTGGATGCACTGTATGCACTGCATGCACTGTATGCACTGCATGCACTGTATGCACTGTATGCACTGTATGCACTGTATGCACTGAATGCACTGCATGCACTGGATGCACTGTATGCACTGTATGCACTGCATGCACTGCATGCACTGTATGCACTGCATGCACTGTATGCACTGTATGCACTGCATGCACTGTATGCACTGTATGCACTGCATGCACTGCATGCACTGTATGCACTGCATGCACTGTATGCACTGTATGCACTGCATGCACTGTATGCACTGTATGCACTGCATGCACTGTATGCACTGTATGCACTGCATGCACTGTATGCACTGTATGCACTGTATGCACTGTATGCACTGTATGCACTGCATGCACTGCATGCACTGGATGCACTGTATGCACTGTATGCACTGTATGCACTGTATGCACTGCATGCACTGGATGCACTGTATGCACTGCATGCACTGTATGCACTGCATGCACTGTATGCACTGTATGCACTGTATGCACTGTATGCACTGAATGCACTGCATGCACTGGATGCACTGTATGCACTGTATGCACTGCATGCACTGCATGCACTGTATGCACTGCATGCACTGTATGCACTGTATGCACTGCATGCACTGTATGCACTGTATGCACTGCATGCACTGCATGCACTGTATGCACTGCATGCACTGTATGCACTGTATGCACTGCATGCACTGTATGCACTGTATGCACTGCATGCACTGTATGCACTGTATGCACTGTATGCACTGTATGCACTGCATGCACTGTATGCACTGTATGCACTGTATGCACTGTATGCACTGTATGCACTGAATGCACTGCATGCACTGGATGCACTGTATGCACTGTATGCACTGTATGCACTGTATGCACTGTATGCACTGTATGCACTGCATGCACTGGATGCACTGTATGCACTGCATGCACTGTATGCACTGCATGCACTGTATGCACTGGATGCACTGTATGCACTGCATGCACTGTATGCACTGCATGCACTGTATGCACTGTATGCACTGTATGCACTGTATGCACTGTATGCACTGTATGCACTGCATGCACTGGATGCACTGTATGCACTGCATGCACTGTATGCACTGTATGCACTGTATGCACTGCATGCACTGTATGCACTGTATGCACTGCATGCACTGTATGCACTGTATGCACTGCATGCACTGCATGCACTGTATGCACTGCATGCACTGTATGCACTGTATGCACTGCATGCACTGTATGCACTGTATGCACTGCATGCACTGCATGCACTGTATGCACTGCATGCACTGTATGCACTGTATGCACTGCATGCACTGTATGCACTGTATGCACTGCATGCACTGTACGCACTGTATGCACTGCATGCACTGTATGCACTGTATGCACTGTATGCACTGCATGCACTGCATGCACTGTATGCACTGCATGCACTGTATGCACTGCATGCACTGTATGCACTGTATGCACTGTATGCACTGCATGCACTGGATGCACTGTATGCACTGTATGCACTCATGCACTGGGTGCACTGTGTTCACTGCATGCACTGTATGCATTGCACCCACCTGCAGTATCAGCTCGCCCCTCTCGACCAGGGCGTGCCGGTGCAACTCAGTGCCAGGGGGAAAGACCAGCAGATCTGGAATGAGCGCATCTCTCTGGATTGAGAGCCCCCCTGAATCGATGGCAGCACTGCTGCCATCCTCGCTCCCGCTCCCCTTGCCACCCCCCCCAGCACTGTCCCCTTGGACGGTTTCACTCTGAAAGTGGGCGAGCACTGCTTGTGTGGAGGAAAGAAGGGTGTTCACCCTGGCATAGCGAGGATCTGGGGAAGGAAAGAGAGGCAAAGAGGGAGGGAGGGATACAGTGGGGCAGAGAGGAGGGAGGAATGGAGAATAGAGAGGAGAAGGGAGACTGGAAACGAGGAGGAGATAAAGGAGGGCAAAGACCGAAGGAGGAATGGAGAATAGAGAGGAGAAGGGAGACTGAAAGTGGGGAAGGGAGACTTTTAAGTCGACTCAAAAGCCAGCTCGTTGATGAGACAGTGACACCAACAGGTGACTGGAGGAATAGAGAATAGAAAGGAGAATAGAAAGGAGAATAGAAAGGAGAATAGAAAGGAGAATAGAAAGGAGAATGGGGACTGGAACCGAGGAGGGGATGATGATGATGATGATGATGATGATGATGATGATGATGATGATGATGATGATGATGATGATGATGATGATGAGGACGACGACGACGACGACGACGACGACGACGACGACGACGACGACGACGACGACGACGACGACGACGACGACGACGACGACGACGACGACGACGACGACGACGACGACGACGACGACGACGACGACGACGACGACGACGACGACGACGACGACGACGACGACGACGACGACGACGACGATGATGATGATGATGATGTGAGAGCATGCCGGGGGAACAGTTAAACTCACAAGCTGCATGCGCTTTTCCAGAATTCAAAAAAGATCGCCTTGAGTTGTTTTCAAAACTCACCGGGAGCACGAGGACGCAGGGAGTTTTGGAAAATTCTCAAGCGCACACTGCACCTCCAAGAATGTACCAGTGCGACTCACGTGCCACAATTGCAGCCTCAGAATTGGCCGGAGACAGGTGCTCCACAAGGCTTCCCCGGGACACTAGGCTTCCGCGGGACACTACCCTTCCCCGGGACACTAGGCTTCCCTGGGCCACTAGGCTTCCCCGGGACACTAGGCTTCCGCGGGACACTACCCTTCCCCGGGAAACTAGGCTTCCCTGGGCCACTAGGCTTCCCCGGGACACTAGGCTTCTCCGGGGCACCACCCTTCCCCGGGACGTTACCCTTCCCCCCGAGACTACCCTTCCCGGGGATACGCACACTGCTCTCAGCACTGCTCTCTCACGAAGGGGGGATTTGGCTGAGAGGCACTCACATGCCGCAGCGGTGGCCTCGGTGGTGGCCGGAACCAGGTTCTCCACCCGTGCCGCTCGGCGCTTGATCAGCAGCCGCGCAAGAGCGGCCCTCAGAGCAGCCTTGTGCTACATGGGCCCTCGGCACTGCTCTGCTCTCTGCGTTGCTCTCTCAGACACTCACATGCCGCAGCGGTAGCCTCGGTGGTGGCCGGAACCAGGTCCTCCACCCGTGCCGCTCGGTGCTTGATGAGCAGCCGGGCGAGAGCGGCCCTCAGAGCTGCCTTGTGGGACAGCACTGCCTTCTGCACCGCTCCTGATCCCAGGGTGCCCTGAGAGGGAATGGGAGGATAGGCTTGAAGGAGCACAACTGGGAGGGCAGCACGCAGTGCAGCCGTGTGAGAGGCAGAAACAGGAGATCAGCTCCCAATGCTGCCTTGTGCGACAGCACTGCCTTCTGCACCGCTCCTGATCCCAAGGTGCGCTGAGAGTGCGGGGAGAGTGGAATTTGAGAACCAGAAAAAGGAGAGCAGCCCTCAGGGCTGCCTTGTGCGACAGCACTGCCTTCTGCACCGTGCCTGTTCCCAGGGTGCCCTGACGGGGAAGGGGAGGATGGATCGTGAGTGAGGAGCATGCACGGGAGAGAAGAGAAGCGCTCCTGGCCCCAAGCTGCCCCAGGACGTCTCACGGTCTCACCTCGCCTGAGACAGCGAGGTCGTGGACGAGCACTTACACCAGGTGGGGAGTTTCAGGCCAACGAAATGGGCATGAGGGGAGATATCATAGCAGGGCGATATTATAGCAGGGCGATATAATAGCAGGGCGATATAATAGCAGGGCGATATAATAGCAGGGCGATATTATAGCAGAGAGTGGGCGAAGGAGAGGGGAGGAGAGTAGCGGGGAGGGAAGGGTGGCTCACCTTCCCTGACACCACGAGGTCGTAGACCAGCACATACACCAGGTGGGGCTTTGCCTGTTGCACAGAGTGGGCATGGGGGGTGGGGGGGGGGGTTTGGTGGCAGAAGGGCGGATGGGGAACTGGGATGGACGTGTTACAGGCTCCCTCCCACCCCATCTTTACTGGGAGCAGCTGACAGCTTTTAGAGAGAGAGAAAACAAAAAACCGCATTCGGCGATTTGGAGAATGCTCGAATATCGTGTGTGGTGTCATTTTGCAGGAAACGAATTGGCAGAGAAAGTAAGACTAGGAGGCAGGCCGCAGGGCAGCTAATCCACCGCCGGGTGGAAACCCACCCACGGCAAGCGACTCATTCCTCTAACTGCTGCCCCTCTCCCTCTCCCTCTCCCCCACCCCTCCCTCGGTAAACCGATCCCCATCCTCCCCTCCTTCCTGCCCCCCAACTGGCTCCCCTGCTTCCCTACTTGCCTTCATCCTAGAGCTGTTAGCAAGGTTGGTGGCAGCAATGAAGCCTTTGATCACTGGCAGCCTGTTTTGAGACTCTCAAAACAACTCCTCCCCACCCCCCCTCTCCCCCGCCTCCCCACTTGCCTTCATCCAAGCGCTGTTAGCAAGGTTGGTGGCAGCAATGAGGTCTTTGATCACTGGCAGATCTGGTGGGCGGGGCAGACGGGTCGAAAGGAAGGGAGACGGGGGGGAGTGGGTGGGGAACATGGGGCGGCACAGAGAGGCTTTGAGGGAGAGGCGAGGTTAGTGGCAGCCATGAGGTCTTTGATCACTGGCAGGTCTGGTGAGCGGGGCAGATGAGCAGCATATAGAGAGGGGAACAGAGAGAGGGGGACAGAGAGAGGGGGACAGAGAGAGGGGGAGCAGAGAGAGGGGGACAGAGAGAGGGGGACAGAGAGAGGGGGACAGAGAGAGGCGCAGAGACAAAGGCTACGGCACGCAGGCCCTGAACCCTGAACCCGGTTGTTCATTGAGGGTTCATGCCCTCATTAGAAGAACGTGTTCCGTTACAAATCAGCTCACGAGGGTTTCGGGTTTAGGGGTTGAGGCAGTGAGGGTGGTGAGGGCTGTCATCACGTTGGGAGCGGCATGGGGAGAGAAGCGGCTTAGGAGGCCGCTCTGACAAGCGCCAAGCGCTAAAAGCGCAGAATTTTGCGTCACCCAGGTGACTTTTGAGTCGACTCAAAAGTCACCCTCTCACACCCTCTCACACCCTCTCACACCCTCTCACACCCTCTCACATCCCCCTACATATTCTTAACAGCGCCCCTCACATCGCAGCGTTTCGCACACCCTCTCACACCCCCCTGCATCGCCTTAACCGCGCCCCTCACGTCGCAGCGTTTCTCTCACCCTCACACCCTCACACCCTCACACCCTCACACCCTCACACCCTCACACCCTCACACCCTCACACCCTCACACCCTCACACCCTCACACCCTCACACCCTCACACCCTCACACCCTCACACCCTCACACCCTCACACCCTCACACCCTCACACCCTCACACCCCCCTACATCGCCTTAACCGCGCCCCTCACATCGCAGCGTCTCGCACGTGACGGCGTGCGTGGCGCGCTTCGCCACGTTGCCCGCCGCCAGAGTGAGCCCCTTCACCGCGCATCCGCCGCGCCGAGTCTCGCTCGCGCGCACAATGCGCTCCACCGCCGCCGCCGCCTGCGCGTGCACCCTGCCGGAATCCGCGTGCGGGGATCTCCCCCCGCCCGCCTTTTCCTGCCGGCTTCCGGTACTCGCGTTGTTTTCGTGCCGTCTACCCACACTCGTCTTTTCCGGTCGTCTGCCCGCAACTGGCTTTTCTTGCCTCATGCCTGCACTCGTCTTTCCCGCTCGTCTGCCCGCGCCTGGATTCTCGTGGATTTTTGGTCCTGTGCGTGGGCGAGACCCATTGGTACCGCTAGGTTTCGCCATGGATGACTGAACGAGCTGCAGTGCGAAGGAATCATGCGCTGACGGACTCCCCAATCATCCAGCTGTTAGCTTGGCAAACTTAGTACTCGATATGGTAGTAGGCCGTTATACTGTCTCACGAAATTTGGTGGAGAGAGCAACAATCATGGAAAATCCTTTCTGAAACAGCTGTTTCGTGTTTTAAACCTATCAAATGTGGCAATAAGAAATTGGGAAATGCCCTCCTTCAAAGAAAGCAATGAAATAATCTTAGTATGCACATTATGACAGCCAGGGTGTGCGCACTGTTGCTCCACAAGTCATTGCTGTTGCTTTCATGACAAACACCCTGGATGTCACCTGAAGCAAAACTGCACACAGAAATCTGCACTTTTTCTAATTGGTGTCATCCTATCCAGTGTCCCCTTGGTGTTGGCCTGAGTATGGCGTTTGACCCCCTTGCATGGGGACTCCATATTGCTGTTGCTGCTGTTGCTGCTGCTGCTGCTGTTGCATGCCCCCCGCGCCTTCTTGCACAGCTAAAAACACTCAAAACGTAGAAAAACAAATCAAAAAACGGCATATTAGAGGTGACGTACGTAATATTTGGTAACCATAAGTTGGACAATAGTGTACTGGTATATGGGAATATCTCACCTGGGTTTGATTGAGCTGCAGGACCACCTGCGAGCTGCGCGGCACCTCCCATCTGCTGCTCGCCGGTCCCCTGAAAACCTTGGGATTGCCCCCCTTGCATCTGCGGAAATCCATACGGCTGCGCTGCACCCCCAGCAACGCCGCCTTGTTGCGGGGCCGACGGGACCATAGACGGGCCTCCTGGAAACCCCCCTGCTGCCTGCGCCGCTTGCGTCGGTCCAAAGGCTGCAGGGGGATATCCAGGGTACATGCCTCCAGGCGTGGCTGCTCCTACAGGCGGTACGAACATCCCCGGCTGAGCTGGAAACCCTTGCGGACCGTACGGGGGAAACATCCCCTGAATGAAGAGACGGTCAGAGCAACGGAGTTGGTAAAGCGATGAGAAGAGTTGTGAACAGCGGGAGGAACGGGACGAGCAAGAAGAACGGAAAGATTGGGAAGAACGGGGCGAACGGGGAGAGCTGGAAGAACGGGAAGAACGGGGAGAGCGGGAAGAACGGGAAGAACGGAAAGAGCGGGGAGAGCGGGAAGAACGGGAAGAACGGAAAGAGCGAGGAGAACGGGAAGAACGGGGAGAGCGTGGAGAACGGGTCACATCCAGATGATAAATACCTGCGGGAACGCGTAGCCGGCTCCTTCTTGAAACTGCTGAGGGTACCTGAGCATGATGGAATAGGAAAGGAATTATCAATACGGGATCAGCGCAACACGGAAATCGACTGGCTGGATTAAGCGAACTGAGCGGGCTGAGCGGGATGGGCGGGATGAGTGGAAAGAGCGGGATGAGCGGAGCGGGATGAGCGGAAAGAGCGGGATGAGCGGAAAGAGCGGGATGAGCGGAAAGAGCAGAATGAGCGGAAAGAGCAGAATGAGCGGAAAGAGCGGGATAAGCGGGGCGAGCGGGACGGGCGGGATGAGCGGGATGAGCGGGATGAGCGGGATGGGAGGGATGAGCGTTGTGCAACATACCCGAAAGGTGGCATGGGATAGCCTTGTAGCGGATACATGGGGTACGGGTGTTGCGGTGGGAAACCGCCAAACGGCACGCCACCTGCTACCAGATTCAAGGCAATAGAGACGGCAGCATGCTTGAGCATTAAAAGGGCAGCTCGTGTAGAAAAAAATATTACTATCGAGAAAAAACTACTACCGAAAGTCTTATTCGGCGGCGGGGCTCTTACCCTGTTGCCCTCGCGGCTGCTGCGGACGCTGCTTCTGTCCTAAGGAAGCGAGGTTGCAGTTGGCCCTTCTACCGTCTATGACTGGCGATGGGTCAAGGCACGCTCTTCCAGCAGCCTCTGGGTCGCTGAAAGTCACCTGAAACGGAGAGAAGCGGGTTGTACTACTGTTATTTACTGAAACGAGTCCTGCTAGTGCTCCTAAGGTAGAACAGCAACTGCCGTATCGTGCCAAGTAAGCAAAACCTGCTAAAGAGCCGCTTACAAATCCGTAGCCCTTAGAGCGGCCGGTCATGCGGTCCGTAATAACGACCGCTTCGAGAATCTCGCCGAACTGCTCGAAATATTTCCGCATGGTTTCCGTCTGAGTCTCCCACGCCAGGCCTCCCACGAAGACCTTGGTGAGGGTGGTGTCGCCGAACTGGCTAGAGTGGCCGCCATAGCGGGGGTTCCCGGTGCCATGGTGCGCCATAAGGTGGCCGGCAGCGGCGCTACGGCCTGGGATGGCCCACACGGCGGTAGCCGTGGTGACCAACCACTATGCTACTCTGTGCCGTCAGACCCGGAACCCCATGCAACTACGGACAAAAACTGGAGTATTAGTCACCTCCTGCACAGTACTAACAAGGCGGATGCCTTGACTGCAACTGGCAGGCTTCTTTATTTGGCCAAAAGAGGTGAAAGTGTCAGAGAAGCACCTTTATGCACACTAGTTTCCCATGGCTCTATCCAGACAACCCCAAGGGAAGGGAGGAGGCCTAGCCTACCCTACACTCTCCGCCCTCCCTGCGGGGCTCTCCCTCAGGCACGCCTGCCTGCTCGCTTGCCCAGCAGAATTGGAGATTGGAGAATCAGGAGCCTGTCGGACCGCACTGGGAGGAGCGCGGTGCCCAATGCCGTAACGTCAAGGAGCGCGGATGTGGAAGGCAGCCAATCACCACATCGTTCCAGCCAATAGGGGAGCACGCGAGAGATGTGGCGAATCCAGCCTTGGCGTGGATGAAGGGACGATCTTGGCCGTTGATCGCAGATGACGATGTCAGGATGTGAGCAGTCGAGCTTCGCTAATGAAATACCTGGTGGTAATACCATGTAGACGATTTGCAGCTAACAACAACTCGACTTTATTTTGAATAGCATGAACACCTAGATAGGAAGCGACATCAGATCAGACCCCTCAGGCACGCCTTGCATCATGATGTTGTCATTGAGTTTCAATCTATTTTAAAAATATAATAGATACGCTCAACAAGCCTCAAGGTTTCCATTTTCTTTCATATACATGTTCTTTCTGCCTTTCCTTGAGCATATAAGGACTGCGCGTACTATTGTTTTTGCATGTACACTATACCCTCCGACAGGGCGAGTTCGGCTGCTGTTTTGCAGTGTCACCGGCTGTAGTCACAACTCTTTAACGCTATTTTTTTATCTCGCATCGCCCCCTCGTTTGATGGCGTCGCTTTTCCCGCAACCCATCTGCACACAACAGCTTCGGGTCAGCTCAAGTGAACCAGAATCGGGCAGGGTGCGTTCTCGATAAGATCGAGTGAATTTCTAGGTTTTGCTTTCAAAAACAAAGCAGCTCTACTCCAACAACATGCTCCCAGAAACTGTACTGCTACTGTACCCTGGATTTCAAAATTCGGCCACATTTCTCCTGCTCCGTGCGAGGATGCACTTCGACATCGCCCCTTCATTTCACTACTAGTCGCAGGTCGTCCGAATCTCCCTCAAATCGAGGGTACCCAGAAACTGAAAACAATAGCCCTTGGCATACGAGCCGCCAGTGCGATACGTTTGTGTTGTGACCAACAGATTTCGGCCCACAAATCAATGGCGCGCAATTTACAGGACATGCGTTGGGTGTGGGTGGGAGACTTGCTTGCCCTTGGCGGGGCCAACCATCCCCCACACCATGGCGGCCATTTCTCACACCTACCCAATCTTCTGCTTGTTGAGTCAACGTGACGTGGTTGCTTCCTTTCGTCAAGCTATACATTCTAGATGCTGGTTTTTTTTTCTCTCCCGATACCCTCTCTGCCTGCCTGCTATCGCCCGTCGTTAAATCGCATGTAGTTGAATCGCACGCAGCGCCTGCAGAAGCGTACAGCAGGCACGACCAGCGCAGAGCAGAACGGCCGAGTGATGCTACCAGAGGGAGGGCACATAAGTAAAAAAGTGCTGCTTACTCAGATACTACTCCTAGGGGGCGCTTCGGTCAGTTTTTATTCACACGACCTCCAGGCAGGACGTCGGGTGCGTAGGTTCGATCATCGTCGCTGATTTCTGTGACAGTTATAATAGAATTCTCAAAAACCTATCGCAGGACGCGGGGCGCGTAGGTTCAATAATATTCACAGAAAAAAAAAAAAAAAAAATCCCATCCGTGGTAGCGAGTTTTTGTGATTGTGAGATTTTCTGGACGAGGTTTTCTGGCAACTTCGATGACCGGGATGCGAACATGCAGCAGGCAATGACTCACTGGATCCCACAACACGCGCGAGGAGTCTATTTTTGAGGCGCCTCAAAAACATGCAGCAGGCAACGACTCACTGCATCCCGCAGCACGCGCGATTGGATTGCCGCAGAACTCGACGCTCGATTCGCGTTCGGCCATTCATGTCGCTCCGGACCAACTCCTTCCTCCCCCTGCTAGCAGCGGCGCTGCTGCTGCTGGTTTCGCCCTCGTCATCGGGTGCGGAGCGAGTGAACCGGTTCAAATCCTTCACGCGCCTCGTACTCCTGCCCCATAGCGGCGCGAAGTGCCTCGACGGCAGGTGCGCTTTCTCCCAGGGCTCACCGGGTCAACGGTGGTTACCATAGTGGGTCGGTGCCTGCCATCCAGGTGTACATCTACCTTTTGAGTCGCCTCAAAACGGTAGTGCCATCCAGGGGTGCCAGGGGTGCCAGGGGTGGCGGAACCACTCCAACAGCACCTACTGTTTATGGGGGAGGTGCGTGATAGCGCCGCGCACCTTTTTCCTTCGCCCAAACGTGTAATCCACGTCGTCTCGATTTTTGAGTCGACTCGAAAACTCCTCCCTCCTTTTCAAGCCCTCGCCCCCTTCCCTCCCTTCCCCCTTCTCCCGCCCCCCGTCCCCCCACCTCCCCCCAGTCCCCCCGCGTACTACTTCCGCCCGGGGACGGGCGCGGGGAGGCGCAAGTGGCACGTGCATCTCCCCACGGGCGGGTGGTGCTTCTCCCCCGGCGAGTGCATCGCCCGCGCCAATTCCTCCCTCGGCTCCTCGCGCTTCTGGGCTAGACGGTTGCCCGCCGCCGTAGAAAACGGCGAGAGGGTGATCAATGTGAGTGGCATATTTTTTTAGTCGACTCAATAATCGACTCATTACACTGTGAGTGGCATCTGTCGTTCTGGACAACAGCTGCGCTTCCCCCTTCCCCTCCCCCCCCCCCCCCCCCTCCTCTCCTTCCCACTGCACCATCCTACCCTCGCCCCCCTCCCCTTAACCAGCCAGCACAGATATACCCGGAACTAGGGGGTCTCTTATCCCACGAGAGCGCCGCCAACCCCGCGTTTTACTCGTGGAACCTCCCAACTCCACTCCCCTCCCCATTCCTCCCCTTACTCCTCCTCCCCCCCTCCCTCTTAACCAGCCAGCCGAGGCCTATCAAGAGCTGGGCGGGCTCCTATCCCAAGACAGTATCACCAACCCCCTCCCCCCCCCCCCCCCCCCCCCCCTCCTCCTCCCTCCTTCTCCCCTCTTTCTCCCTCTCTCCCCCCCCCCTCCTCCTCTTTCCCCACCTCCCCCTTCCTCTCACCCTATCCAGAGCTAGGCGGGCTCCTATCCCAAGATAGCATCGCCAACCCGCGTTCTACTCGTGGAACCTGGTGAGGCTCGTGTATTGCGACGGCGGCGCCTACAGCAGTGCTCTCAACGCGCCTCATCCCCGCGCCTCATCCCCTCTCCTCCCCCACCTTCCCACTGCCCCTCCTCCTCTCCTCGCCCTTTATGCCTCTTCCCCCTTCTCCCGCAAACCAGCCAGCCGAGGCCTATCCAGAGCTAGGAGGGCTGCTATCCCAAGATAGTATCACCAACCCCGCGTTCCACTCGTGGAACCTGGTGTGGCTCGTGTACTGCGACGGCGGCGCCTACAGCAGCATGCGGGGGAGGGCGGACCTGGGAAATGGCGCCACTGTGTACATGCAGGGGCGGCAGATTCTGGAAGATATTATATATGGTGCGTGAGGAGTCTATTTTTGGAAGATATTATCTATTTTGAGGCGTGAGGCGCCTCAAAAATAGATTCTGGAAGATATTATCGATAGTGCGTTGACCAGGGGGGTGGGGAAGGTGCAAGTGACTATAAGGCGCCAAATTCTGGAGGACATTAAGAATGATGGGCTACTTTGGGGGAGGGGGAGGAGGGGAGGAAGGATGGGTCGACTGGGAAGGGCGTAGGGGGCGGATGGGGAAGGGGATAGGTGGGGGAGTGGATAGGTGGGGGAGGGGATAGGTGGGGGAGGGGATAGGTGGGGAGGGGATAGGTGGGGGAGGGGATAGGTGGGGGAGGGGGATAGGTGGGGGAGGGGATAGGTGGGGGAGGGGATAGGTGGGGGAGTGGGATAGGTGGGGGAGGGGATAGGTGGGGGAGGGGATAGGTGGGGGAGGGGATAGGTGGTCATTCGGATAATTCTACCCAAACGATGACCCCCTTGGCCCCCCCTTCCCCCTCCAGTTTTGAGGCGCCTCAAAACTTGTCCCCCCCCTCCCCCTCCAGACCTCCGCACCAACAGGGGCATGGGCGCGGCCTCGCACGTGCTCTTCTCTGGCAGCTCTGCGGGCGCCCATGCAGTGCTGCTCAACTGTGACAAGCTCCCCTCCCATCGCCATCCCTCCCATAGCCATCCCTCCGTGCCATTGCCCATCTTCTCCCCCCCCCCCGTCCGCCCTCCAGATCTGCGCACCAACAGGGGCATGGGGGCGGCCTCCCACGTGCTCTTCTCGGGCAGCTCGGCGGGCGCGCATGCAGTGCTGCTCAACTGCGACCGCCTCGCGGCCTCCTTCCCCCGCGCCAGCACCAAGTGCCTGGCTGACTCAGGCTTCTTCGTGGGTAAGCGGCCTCTTGCAATACCTGCTGCCTTGCTGCACAGCAGTAGCACCCTTGAGACTGGCACGCAGGCACCAAGTGCCTGGCTGACTCGGGCTTCTTCGTGGGTAAGGCCGATCAATCTAAGCTATCGAGACGGTAGGGAGAAAACGCACGGTGAGAGTCTCGCTGCTGCCTTCCAAGTTGCCACCACCTAGTGCCTCGCTGACTCGGGCTTAATCCTGGGTAAGCAGCCTCGAGCTAATGGGATGAGCAGCCTTCAACGTCCTTGGGATCTCACGTCCTTGGGACCTCACGTCCTCACTTCGTGCTGACTCGGGCTTCTTTGTTGCTAAGCGGCCTCTGCAATACTAGCTGCCTTGCTGCACAGGAGTAGCATCCTAGTGATTGGCACGCATGCACCAAGTGCCTGGCTGACTCGGGCACATTTCTGCCTAGTTCCCAGCCCCGAATGCTGTCTCGTTGCATAGGAGGAGCACCCTAGTTATTGGCACCAGGGCACGCAGGGCGTAGCACGCCCGGGCTTCTTCGTTGCCAAGCCTCTGAGGCAATATCTGCTGGGCGACGTGTGCCCGCCATTCACTCTCCCTCCACCCTTCGCCAGTCACCCCACTTGCTTCACTGCCTCCCCTCCCCGTCCCCCCACCCCCCCCGTCCGCTCCCCGCTCTCCCCAGACGCCAAGGACCGCTTTGGGCAGTTCTCATGGCGGGAGAACGTTCGGATTGTCACCGCTCTGCACCGCATCAACGTCCCCAAATGCCCTTCAGGTAAACGCAACATGAACAAGTTGCACGACCGTGAAAAAACACTTACCAGGGGAAGGCACGAAAAGAACCATGAAAAACCTCTTACCAGGGGACAACAACAAAAGGACCATGAGAAGCAAGAAAAGGACCATGAAAGGCCACTCTCCAGGTGGAAACATCATGAGAGAGCCACGCTGAACGTGAAAGCAACATAGTCAGGTGGCCTTTCAAGGGTGGTGGCTGGGTGATCATTCGAGTTGTCTTCCCGCGCAGCAGGCAACCACTTTGGACGCCTCTGAAGTTTGAGACGCCTCTGAAGCTCAGATCACACCTTCCCAGATCACACCCTTCCAGATCACACCTTTGCAGATCACACCTTCCCAAATCACACCTTCCCAGATCACTCCTTCCCAGGTCACACCCTCCCAGGTCACACCCTCCCTCCAGCCTCTGCTCCCTTCATCCTCACTCTCCTTTCCCGTTCTACATACCCGTACCCCCCTGCTCAGGAGTGCTAGTGAGGGACAACTGCGTGCGTTTCTTCCCAGCACTCCCTGTCTCCTCCCTGTCTTCCCATCATCCTCTGTATAATCTCCCTCCATTCCCCCTGCCCATACCCCTACCCCCCTTCTCAGGAGTGCTAGTGAGGGACAACTGGGTGCGTTTCTTCCCAGCACATACCCTGCCACCCTCCCTCTGTTCTCTTCATCCCCATTCTACGATCCCTCCCTCCTCCCCTCCCATACCCACCTCCCCCCTCAGGAGCGCTAGTGAGGGACAACTGGGTCTGCTTCTTCCCCGAGCACACCCTCCCTCAGGTCTCCACGCCACTCTTCCTCTTCCACTCGCTCTTCGACTGGCGCTTCCTGCTCTACGAGCAGCAGCTGCCAGACTCCGATCTAGACCACTCCTCTAAGTGCCTCAACGACCAGATTCTAGCTACAGACGCAAGCGTCGTCGCTCGGAAGCGCATGTGGGATAAGGTGCGGTGGAGGCAGAACCTGTGCTCGCGACGAGAGGTCGATGCGGTCTTCTCTGTGGCTTCTGCTTTGTTCAGTCGTCTTGCGGATGCGGCACGGAGCAAGAGGAACCTGGGAGTGTTTCTGGCGCCAAGGTCGGTGCACACTACGCTGTTTAATGTGGCCTGGTTTCTAAGGGTTACACAGGGGGTGAAGCTGAGTAGTGCATTCAGTCGATGGTACAGTAATAGTAGTAGAGTGAATGGGTTTTTTGTGCATGATTGAGCTATCGGAGCTTTGACCAAGCCCCAAGTGTATTGTATGTCAAGGCCTTTGATAATCTGCATGATATGAATTCACATGATATGTTACAAAGTGATTGCATCAACTCATTAGCTCTTGAAATGAAATGTCTTCAATACTAATAATAGCTCTAGGTATATTCCTACGATTCTGATGAGGCTTCTTCACCCTTCGCTTGAAGGGTTTCTGCACTGCACACGCCAGAATTGCACACAGGCGGCCCTGATCGGATAAGTCACACATACGCCCCGCATGTCCGCCGCGCGTGGCGTGAGAAAGTCGCAACTTTCCCCTGTGCAAGCGGCGAGAGGCATTTCCAATATGCAGACTGCAAAACGTACTCGAGAAAAACTCGGCATCAGAATCATTTCAGCAGTTTCAGATTCTGATGCAACTTAGCAGGAATACGCCCTCAATCAGCATAGGCTGTAGCGAGTCATGTAATACGACACCCTTTCTATGCGTGTAGCAATTAGATGTTGTGCACAGGGATTTCTTTCCCACTAAAAACATTGACCTTTTGAAGCATTTCAATCACTTGGGGCATGGAGGGGCGGGCAGCAGGGACACCCTCCCAGCAGCAGCGCATGACATGGGCCAAGTCAGGCGGGCACTTGGGGGGGAGGATGGGGCGCACGCCCTGTAAGGGGGAGATGGGGGAAGGGAAGGGGGGCAATTGAGCCACTTGGGGGGGGGGGGGGGGAGAATGGGGCGCATGCCGTGGAGTGGGAATGGGTGAGTGGGGGGATGGGGGGGAAGGGGGGGGGGGGGAAGAAGGGGGGAGGTTGAAATGAGGGAGAAAGGGGCAGTTGGAGAGGAGAACAGAAAGCACACCCAGGACGATGGGGGGAACAGGGGGGAGTTGAGAGGGGGGAGTTTTTGAGTCACTTGGGGGTGAGATGCACGTCCAAAAGGCAAGGGAGTTAGGAAGGGAACTTTGAAGTGTGTACATGACATGTGAAATATGACATGTGCCATGTGACATGTGCCATGTGACATGTGCCATGTGACATGTGCCATGTGACATGTGACATGTGACATGTGGCATGTGGCATGTGCCATGTGACATGTGACGTGACACGTGTCATGTGACATGTGACATGTGCCATGTGACATGTGCCATGTGGCATGTGCCATGTGACATGTGACATGTGGCATGTGCCATGTGACATGTGACATGTGGCATTTGGCATGTGCCATCTGACATGTGGCATCTGCCATGTGACTTGTGGCATGTGACATGTGACATGTGACATGTGGCATGTGTCATGCCATGTCTCACTGACTGCACCACACGTACCTCACTGATTGCAGAGGCCATTTCGCTGAAGTCAAACGAGTCAAACGGCGTCTCGCAGGTCAGCAGCTCCCACAGGCAGATGCCAAAGCTGTAGGCGTCTGCGCGCCGGTCGTACGGCTCACTGGCTAGCACCTGTGGGAACAAGGGGTTGAGCACGTGATTGACAGAGGGAGGGGGCAGCAGAGAGCAAAGGGCAGCAGCTCATAAGACGGATTCCAAAGCTGTAGGCATCTGCGCGCCGGCCATAGGGCTGACTGGCCAGCACGTGCAAGTAGGTAGAAGGCAACGGAAGCATGCAGGGATTGCATAAGAGCCCAGGGCATTGAGGTGGGAAGAGGGCAGGCATAGCTCAAACGGCAGCAGCACATAAGGCGGATTCCAGCGCTGTAGGCGACTGAATGCCAGTCATAGGGCTGACCGGCTGGCTGGCACCTGAGAGAAGGAAACAGAGCGTTAAGAGGGGCGAATGGAAGAGGAGATTGGGGAAGAGAGGGGGGTGGAGGGGGTTGGGGAACTGAGAGGGAGGCAGGGCAAGGAAGAGGGAGAAGGGGGGCGGTGAGGAGGGAAGAGAAGCGAGGAGATGGGGCAAGGCATCCCACCAACCCACCCACCTCAGGCGCCATGTATCCAGCCGAGCCAGTCTCCCCAGTGGCATCATGAGGCAACCATCCACACCCCTGCTGCGACCCTGCTGCCTCTCCTCCTGCCCCCCCCTCCTCACCAGTCTCCTTTGCCTCCCCTGCCCCTCCTGCCCCTCCTGCCCCTCCTGCCCCTCCTGCCCCTCCTGCCCCTCCTGCCCCTCCTGTCTCTCCTTCCCCTCCTGCCCCTCCTGTCCCTCCTGCCCCTCCTGCCTCTCGTGCCTCTCGTGTTGCTCCTCCCTCCATGTCAACTCTCCGCCCCCCCCCACGCCTCTCCTCTCTTTCCCCACCCTCAGCCGCACCGACTGGCTCACTACACGCCCCCCCTGCCCCCACCTTCATGCACGGCTGCTCACCTGCCCCCTCACTCTCCCCTCCTCCCGCCCCTGCCTCAGCTCCCTCACTCCCTCTCCCAGCCTCTACCCTTCCCTCTTTCCCTCGCTCTGCCACTGCTATCCCTGACCCAGCCCCCGCCCCAAACCCCGCCCCAGCCCCCGCCACAACCACAACCCCAGCGCCTCCCGACTCTCTTTCACCACCAGCGCCTCCCGAATCTCTTTGACCCCCAGCGCTCGAGTCCAGCCTGTCAGAGCGCCCACGAGCCTTGGAGTCGGCTTCGAAGCGCGCGACGCCAAAGCCGGCGATCTTGAGGCGCCTGCGGTCGGTGAGAAGGAGGTTGTCGGGGCACACGTCGCCGTGCACCACACCGCTGCTGTGGATGTAGGCGAGACTGGGAGGGGAGGGGAGGGGAGGGGAGGGGAGGGGAGGGGAGGGGAGGGGAGGGGAGGGGAGGGGAGGGGAGGGGAGGGGAGGGGAGGGGAGGGGAGGGAGGGGAGGGGAGGGAGGGGAGGGGAGGGGAGGGGAGGGGAGGGGAGGGAGAGGGATGGGGGAGAGGAGCAGGGGGGTGCTGTCAATGTCAGATACGAGGGAAAAGGAAGTGCTTGGAAATAAATACATGTAATTCATATTCAAAAGTTTTGTAAAAGAACGAAAAGGGCATTGCCCCTTGGCGAGCTGCAGTGCAAGGCCCAGGACCGCGTGCAAGGGCAGCGGCAGGAGACAGCCTATTCTTAGGTATCTTCAAAGGGGTTTGGGGGGGGGGGAAGGTGTGGGGGAGGCTTTGGTAAACAGCAGGCGTGGCGTGGAGCCTCACCCCTTGGCGAGCTGCATTGCGAGGTCCACCAGATACTCCTTGAGGGTAGTGTGTAGCCCACATGCTCCATCACCACACCCCCCGCCACGCCCCGCAGCCCCTCACTCACCCCTTGGCGAGCTGCATTGCGAGGTCAACGAGCGTGTGCATGGGCAGCTTGCGCCGCTCCCTGTTGGCCCGCGCCAGGTACTCCTTGAGGTTGAGGTGGCCCACGTACTCCATCACCAGGCACCCCGCCACGCCCCTCAGCCGCGCGTCCACGCCCCGGGGCGTGGTGCAGCGAGTGGAGTCCGTTGAGATGCTCGCTCCAATGAGCTGCATGCATGGGGATGCAGAGGAGGGCAGCGGGCGAAAAGACTCTTGAGGGTGAGGTGGCCCACGTACTCCACGCTCCTATGAGCTGCAGACACGGCAGTGGAGGGGTACGGAGGGGGGGATGGAGGGAGGGGGGATGACTCGTGGGGCTCATGTCGCCCACATCACTCCATCACCACGCTCCCCGGGGCATGGAGCAGCGCCCCCAATTTCGCCCGTCTCACCTGAGTCACACATGGGTTCCTCAGCGGCCGCCACACGCGTGTTTAGACGTCTCTCACAGCACGGTCACTATTCGCTCCTGTCTCACATGGGTCACGTAGGGGTTCCTCACCGCCGCCACAGTCGCCCCCGTCTCACCTGAGTCACATATGGGTGTCTCAGTGGCCCCCACAGTCGCTCCTGTCTCACCTGGGTCACGTAGGGGTTCCTCAGCGGCCGCCACACGTGCACCTGCCGCAGCAGCGCGGCTCTCTGCTTGGCGCGCAGCAGAGGCGAGAACGACCCCGCTTCGCCCCAGTCTATGGCCTTCACTGCACGCACTCGACTCGCAGGGAGGGGCGTGGAGAGGGAAAGAAGGGGGGGAAAGGGTGAGGGACGGCGGTGGAGGGTGAGGGACGGTGGTAGGGGGTGAGGAAAAGGGGTAGATTGTTTAGGGCTTTCGACTCAAAAATCCCCTAAGGAAAAGGGGTAGAGGACCCGGCTTCGCCCCAGGCTAAGGCCTTCACTGCACGCGTATAGTGCTCCGCGTGCAGTGAGGGGAGGGCTTAGCCTGGCGCGACTCGCAGGGAGGGCGGGAGAGGGTGAGGGAGGGCGGGAGAGGGTGAGGGAGGGCGGGAGAGGGTGAGGGAGGGTTGTGGAGAGAGGGGGCGGTGATGGAGGGTGAGCGAGGGCAGTAGAGCAGCAGGAGAATCGGCGAATGCTCAATTGCAGCAAAGAGGGGCAGAGAGGTCGCGGAGGCAAAGGCTGACTGCGGAACGATGGCGCGAGAAGGGAAGGGAGCGTGACAAGATGGCGTGGCACAGAGGAGTGGGTTGGGTCGCGAGAGGAGAAGTCGGGCGAACGGGACTTATGAGTCGACTCAGAGGAGTGGGAGGCGAAAGGAGACGTCGGGCGAACGGGGCTCACCTGCAACGTCCATGTCCCGGTATGTGCTTTTATACACCGTGCTGTACGCCCCCTTGAAAATCTCCTTCTTTATAGTCACTCGCCTCAAGTCGATCTGCCACGAAGCCTCTTCTGCTACTGTCACAGCACCTCCGTCCCCCCTCCCGTCCTTATCTACTTCTCCCTCCCCATGCGCGCCCCGCTTAACGCATTTCTGCAGAGGCGGGGCAGTGTCACTAAGAGCAACACCCACCGCATCGCCATCAGCGGTGGCGGCGGCAACAGCGGCGGCGGCCGCAGCGGCAGCAAGAGCGGACGACTCGTCTCCTTCCCCGTAAGACCGCGCCCGCTCCCGCACATGCCTCCCGCCCTTCTCCGCTTCGCCTCGTTGCCTGTCGTCCGCCCTCTCGCCCCGCCACGGCATAGACATGACTCGGTCTAGCGCCTTATCCAGCGCAGATATGTCCACGAACCCTACCTCCTCCGACCGCCTCCTTCCACCTGCCCCCCTGGCTGTTGCTGCCTGGCCGCTGCGTTCCACCTGCACCGAATACGACCTGCCCAGCCACGACCCCCCCGCTCCGAGCTCGCCCGCGTCGTCCTGTACTGTATTGACCGGGTCCGTACACACGCGCAGCATAATGCGGTCAGAGTCTGCGGCTCCTGTAACCGTGTTTGAAAATCCTTCTGAGTTGACACCTGGGTCTGTTTGTGACGATCGAAAAGTGTGGTCAGAATTGAACGGCGCGCCGCCGTGCAGCTCCGCCATAGCTCGCGCGCGTCTGCCCGCGGCGTGCGCAGCTATCGCAGTGCCGCGGACGAGCGGAAAAGAGAACTCAACTGTCGCCGAGCAATAAGTTCGTGGATATATTGACCTGGCTGGTCGAAACGTGGGACGCTCGTTGAGCAGCCGCTGCCAACCAAGGGCGCAGCACTCCCCGATGAGTTGGTTTTTAAGAATTCTCAAAAACCAACTTACCCCAAGGCGCAGCACTCCCAGTGATTGATTCCCCCGGAGCTACGCTGGGTGATTGATTTCCCGGGAGATACGCTCGGTAGGTCATATCTGAGGCTACCAATCACTCCGGTGATTGGTTCCACAGGGAGCTACGCTGCGAGGCCCTACCTAAGGAAGGCCGTATCCGAGGCTGGCTCTCTGTATGGAGGCCTTTCATGTCGGTTACTGTGAACTACTTGGTCTATTAGTTGCGACTAGCGAACGTCCGAAATTACCTCCTGGGATTACGAATTTGGGAATAAGCATTTGTTTCACAGCAGATAAATCTTTAATTTCCAGTAACGAGGCGCGAGAACATTGTCGTGTCGGGGACTTTTGTTCGAGATTTTCAGTAATCTTAGTGAACAGCCTAGTCAACACTAGAGAGCTGAAATGAGCAAGCATGGACCAGCCTTGAAGAACAGGCAACTGCAGTTCTTGCAAATTCCTGAACACTGCTCGCTCGGATGGGAAGAGCTCTTCACAGAACTGCCAGAGACGAGTCACACAGTCGCGGTCCACGGGTTGCTAGCTCGATTTTGCATGCAAGGTTTGTCAGGAACCTTGGAAATGTTTTTGAGAGGCTGAGGATGTATTTTTTCGCACGTGTTCGATCTTTATGGCTGACACCTGGAAGAAACTCCAGGCAACACTTGACACAAATTATCAACATTGTACAGTAGCAGTTTGCAGTTTTTGCCAGGAGTTTCTGACATTAGTTATAAGAGCACGAAGTGTCCTGGGAGCCAATTAACGACCAGCGTGAAACCAACACCCACGGAAAGAAGCTCCCATCCCCAGGAGGGAAAGGTTTATGAAAGGGGAGGAATTCCCATTGAAAAGCCTCTACAACCTGAGAAGACTCACGGGAATACAAGGCCGAATCTTTTTCCAGGGGAGGAATTTTCAAGGGATGGAAGAATCGTCAAATGTGGCACTTTTCAACGACAGCTTTTCCGTCCAGCGAGGCGAGGGAAAAATGCGGCCCCCCTGGCTGCGGACAGATCGGCTGCGCAGATCCCGAGCTCTAGGCAGCCCCGTTCGCGCTACAGCATGATTTGCAAATTTTATGAAAGTGCATACGCGTTCCCTCGCAGACTGAACAAATTCGTTGAATCTAGGGGTTCATAAGTTTGTGCAAGGTTTCGTTGCACTATAAATAGGAAGCACACATAGTGGGCGCTCCAAGCACACCCTATTGGGCGTTTCGAAATTTGAGGTGTGCCACAGATATACAAGGAGATAACCATTCACGCTCTAAGGCCTACTTTATTTTCCTGCAAACACATTGACCTTCTGGAGCATGGAAATGGCTTGGGGCATGGAGGGGCGGGAGGCAGGGACACCGTCCCAGCAGCAGCGCATGACACCATCCAAGTCAGGGGGGCACTTGGGAGAAATAATGGGGCGCACGCCCTGGTGGAATCAGGGGAGGGGAGGGGGGGGGCGAGGTGGGGGGGGGTGTGGAAGGGTGAGAGTGGGGATGGGGCTCGCTAGCATGCTTTGCCCTAGTGGCTCCACAAGTTATAGGGGAAAAGGGATGCATGGCAGAGTACTATGGGATGGGGATGATGGCGAAATGCATGGCTGCAAGGTTGGGTGGGGATGACTGGACTGGAGTATGCTGAGTAGAATCACGAACGTACCAAAGTTTCCAAGAGGACTAAACCCAAGGTGTACCTTCCTCCTTCGCATCCCGCCCGCCTCTTGCCTCCTTGACAGCATTGGCCACTTGCCCAAATTCTAGGTTTGGGAATGGAGCCTCCCGAGCATACAGCGCCCACAGGCGCAGGCCAATCAGCCTCATCCCCATCCCCTACCCCTTTCCCTTACCCACCTGTCCCCACCCACCTGTCCCCACCCACCTGTCCCCACCCACCTGTCCCCACCCACCTGTCCCCACCCACCTGTCCCCACCCACCTGTCCCCACCCACCTGTCCCCACCCACCTGTCCCCACCCACCTGTCCCCACCCACCTGTCCCCACCCACCTGTCCCCACCCACCTGTCCCCACCCACCTGTCCCCACCCATTGGCCCCCCTCAACCCACTCACCTCTTTGACAGCATCGGCCACTTCCCCAAAGTCCAGGTTCGGGAACGGAGCCTCCCGAGCGTACAGCTCCCACAGGCAGATGCCGAAGCTGTACACGTCAGCTGAGCGGTCGTACGGCTGGGAGAAGAGCACCTGAGGGGGCGCGAGTTAGGCGCAGGGCAACAGCACGAGGTAGGCGCAGGGCAACAGCACGAGGTAGGCGCAGGGCAACAGCACAAGGTAGGCGGAGGGCAACAGCACGAGGTAGGCCCAGGGCAACAGCACGCGGTAGGCGCAGGGCAACAGCACGAGGTAGGCCCAGGGCAACAGCACGAGGTAGGCGCAGGGAAACAACACGAGGTAGGCGCAGGGCAACAGCACGAGGTAGGCCCAGGGCAACAGCACGAGGTAGGCCCAGGGCAACAGCAAGAGGTAGGCACAAGGCAACAGCACGAGGTAGGCCCAGGGCAACAGCAAGAGGTAGGCACAAGGTAGGCGCAGGGCAACAGCACGAGGTAGGCCCAGGGCAACAGCACGAGGTAGGCCCAGGGCAACAGCAAGAGGTAGGCACAGGGCAACAGCACGAGGTAGGCGCAGGGCAACAGCACGAGGTAGGCCCAGGGCAACAGCACGAGGTAGGCACAGGGCAACAGCACGAGGTAGGCCCAGGGCAACAGCACGAGGTAGGCACAGGGCAACAGCACGAGGTAGGCCCAGGGCAACAGCAAGAGGTAGGCACAGGGCAACAGCACGAGGTAGGCCCAGGGCAACAGCAAGAGGTAGGCCCAGGGCAACAGCACGAGGTAGGCCCAGGGCAACAGCAAGAGGTAGGCACAGGGCAACAGCACGAGGTAGGCACAGGGCAACAGCAAGGGCAGGAGACAGAGGGAGTGAGACCCCAGCCATAGGAGAATGGCTGGGAAAATGCTGGGAGTATGCTGGGAGAACGCTGGGAGAATGCTGGGAGAATGCTGGGAGAATGCTGGGAGAATGCTGGGTTCTCACTCGCCCAATGGGCGTGAGCAGCTGTAGGGTGCGATGCAGGGGAGTGAAGCGAGAGCATGAGAGAGGTAGGAAGTTTCAAGAGAACCGTTCCCACAGGAGGCGAGGAGGGGGGGAGGGGGAGAGGAGAAGAGGTGGGGGGGGAGGGGGAAGGGGGGGGAGAGGAGAGGAGGTGGGGGGGAGGAGGGGGGGGGGAACGGGTCACCTCAGGAGCACTGTAGCCGAGGGTGCGTCTGCAGCTGCCAGTGGCCGTGCTGACAGGGTGGGAGCTCTCAAGTCGTGCCGCCCCGAATCGTGCGATCTTGAGGCGGCGCTTGCCGTCCAGCAGAAGATTCTCGGGACAAATGTCGCCGTGCACCACACCCACAGAGTGCAGGTATGCCAGGCTGGCAGGGAGGAAGTGTGGGGCGGGGGGGAGAGAGGGTGGGGGGAGGAGAAGTTGAACGGGCGATCTTGAGATGCAATCTCTGTCGAGGAGGGCGCACAGCAGGAGAGGGTGGGGAAGAGAGGGGGAGGAAGGGGGGGGTGGGGAGGGGGAGGAGGGGACGGTCAGAGAGATCAGAGTGGGGAATCGTTTTCTTGAGCAGACTCACCCATTGGCTTAATTTTTTAGAATTCTAAGAAAGGGAACCGTTGCCTTGAGCAGACTCACCCCTTGGCTAGGTCCATTGCCACTTGCACAATGAAGGGCATGGGCAGCTGTTGAGTGAATTCAGACTGGAGGAATCTCTACTCTCAGCCCCCCTCTTCCATTAGCGCTCACCCCTTGGCCAGATCAATGGCCACTTGCACGACAAATGGCATGGGCAGCTCCCTCCTCTCGCGGGCTTTTGAGGCACTTAAAAAACCTGAGCACACTCACCCCTTGGCCAGATCCATGGCTACTTGCACGATGAACGGCATGGGCAGCTTCCTTCTCTCCCGGGCTGCCCGGGAAAGATACTCCTTGAGGTTGCAGTGGTCCACGTGCTCCATCAACACGCAGAACGCATGGCCCTTAAAGCGCCTGTCCGCCCCCCTCTCGCTCTCCGCCCCTCTCTCCTTGCCCCTGCTGCTGCTACTGCTGCTGCTGTTGCTGCTGCTGGTGGCGGTAGTGTTGCTGTTGTTGTCTCTGCTGGTGGTCGTGGTTGTGGTGGCATTAGAGTCGTCTCTGCCGCCGCTGCTGCTGCTGGCTGTGCTGTTGTTGGGCGTGGACGCCAGCTGAGGCTGGTCGGGAATGGATGCTCCGACGAACTGGAATCAGAAAGCGGGAGGGAGAAAGGAGAGAAGAAAGGCATTCCTCGAGGCATCAATTCCATCGGGAATGGATGCTCCGATTTTGCAGGGTGTTTTTGAGAAGTCTAAAAAATTCCATCGGGAATGGATGCTCCGATGAACTGAAATGAAGAAACGAGGGGAAGGACACACGACAAGGGCCAAGGTGGGAAACGGAGTCTTTTGAGAGGCGCCTCACAACCGACAAGGAGTCTATTTTTGAGGCGCCTCAAAACCGACAAGGAGTCTATTTTTGAGGCGCCTCAAAAATAGACGCCTCAAAAAAGTTTTGAGGCGCCTCAAAACCGACAAGGAGTCCATTTTTGAGGCGCCTCAAAAATAGACGCCTCAAAAAAGTTTTGAGGCGCCTCACAACCGACAAGGAGTCTATTTTTGAGGCGCCTAAAAAATAGACGCCTCAAAAAAGTTTTGAGGCGCCTCACAACCGACAAGGGCCAAGGTGGGAAACGGAGAGACGCGAGAAAGTGAGTGGAGAAAGCATGTGGGATGAGAGGTGCGTATTGGGGTGTTTGAGAACCTCACCCTGACTGTATTGGGGTGTTTGAGAACCTCACCCTGACTGTATTGGGGTGTTTGAGAATCTCACCCTGACTGTATTGGGGTGTTTGAGAATCTCACCCTGACTGTATTGGGGTGTTTGAGAATCTCACCTTGACTGTATTGGGGGTGTTTGAGAATCTCACCTTGACTATATTGGGGTGTTTGAGTCTCCTCCATATAGTCACTTCCCTCAGAAACTTGGCCCGTCTCTGCTCCCATTGCTCCCCCTCAGCCAAATCGCCTTCCACCTCGCTCCACTGCACCACTCTCACTGGTGGCGCATACCGGCGGGTGTGCATGGGAGGGGGCGAAAGCGGGAGATAAGCCTCGCTTGGATGCTGTTTTGCACAGGCCTTCGCTTTGGCACTCCTTTCTATTTGTTCAGGCTTGGACGAATTGTGTGGATAAGCGTGTGCAAGCGTGTGTGCATGCATGCGCTTGTGTGTGTGCATGCATGCGTTTGTGTGTGTGCATGCACGCGTTTGTGTGTGCATGCATGCATGCGCTTGTGTGTGTGCATGGCATGCATGCATGCGCGTGTGTGTGCATGCATGCATGTGCTTGTGTGTGTGCATGCACGCGTTTGTGTGTGTGCATGCATGTGTGTGTGTGTGCATGCATGCGAGACCGAGAGAGACAGAGCGGGTGGGTGAGAGGGAGGGAGAGACCATACCTGCAACGGGGCAGTCCTTGTACTTCCCATTGTACACAGACCCCTTATGTTCCTTACCCCCTCACCTTCATTTGCAAATTGCGCCTTTTTATGAAGGGGAGAAGAGCGAGGGGAGGAGCCACACCTGCAACGGGGCAGTCCTTGTACTTCCCCTTGTACACAGTCCCAGACGACCCCTTTGCAATCTCTCTCTTTAGAATCACATTCTTCAGCTTGATCTCCCACACTGGCCGCTCCCCAACCCACGCCTTCCCCGCCTCCCCACTCCACACTGGCGACACCAGGTCCCCTTCCCACCCCATGCTGGTCATGCTCCCAGCAGGGCTTGCATTGCCTGCTACAACACCCCCTTCCGACCTCACGCGTGGGTAAGAGTGCAGGGAGGAGGGGGAAGTGTATGGGTGAGAGGAGGGGGATGGGGAGGAAGGGGGAAGGGACGAGGGAGAAGGGGATGGGTGAGAGGAGGGAGGAGGAGAGGAAGGGGGAAGGGACGAGGGAGAAGGGGATGGGTGAGAGGAGGGGGGAGGAGAGGAAGGGGGTAGGGAGGAGTGTAAGGGAGATGCGGCAGGGGAAGGTGGGGAGGAGGAAGTAGTGGCGTGGGAGGGGAGTGGAGGAGGGGTCCGGGAGGTGTGTGCAGGGGAGGGCAGGTCGCTTGGAAGAGGGGAGGTCGGAATGCGGAGAGGAGCTGGAGCGATGGGGGGAGGAGAGTGAGTTGGTGGGGAGGAGGAGGGGAGGGGGTGAGAGAAGTCAAGTTGCCGCCTTGTGCCTTGAGTATCTTCTGAAGGCCCCCCTGTGACCAAATTAGCGTCTATTGCGTCTATGGCGTCCCTAGAGGTGCTAGAGGCACTAGAGATGCGTCCCTCTCCTGCCTGCATTTGCCCGGCGTGAGATGGGGGGCAAGAATGTGCTGTACCCTCTAGAGAGCGACCCACTACATCTTTAGTACCAGAGGGGCTATTCGAACCATTATCTGGCGCAGCAGTTGCAGTTGCAACAGACCCACTCCCCGCTTCTCTTAAAGCCTCTTCGTCCCCCACCACGGCTGCTCCTGCTGCTGTTGGTGCCCCTGCGGACGATGCTTGTAACACTGATACGGATGCGGATGCTGATGTTGATGCTGATGCTGATGTTGGCAATGGTGATGACGATGATGACGGTGGGAGGTTGGACCGGCCTGATCTGAGGGAGAAGCTGAGGCGGCCCAGGGAAGAACTGAAGGAGGAGAGGAGGGATGCCTTGCCGCCTCCCTGCAGCCGGTTGTCACTCATGCTGCCACCCACCGCAGTGCCGCCACTCGCACCACTAGTGACATTCCCGTTCTCCCACAGATCACCAATCTTCTTCTTGATGCTGCTGCTTCTCATGCTGCTGCTGCCGCCACCGCCGCTGGGTAGACTGCCATCTCTTGCTGCAGCCTCCTCCGCTTTCGCGAAGATGTTGACTTCGTGAAGCATGTCCACGACGTGCGACATGGAGGGGCGCGCCGCAGGGACACCCTCCCAGCAGCAGTGCATGAGACGGGCCAAGTCAGGGGGGCACGTGGGAGAAACAATGGGGCGCACGCCCTGTGGGGATGGGGGAAGGAGCCGGGGGGGGGGGGGGGGGGAGTTGAAAGGGGGAGTTTTGAGTCACTTGGGGGGGGGACGATAAGACACACGCCCTGCAGTGAGAATGGGGCAAAGCGGTGGTGAGGAAGAAGGAAGGGGGGGGGGGAGGGGGGGAGAGTGTTGGAACCAGGGGACTATTGAGTGGCCTGGGGAGGGTGGTGTTGAAGGGGGATACGGAACGGGACGGATGAAGGCGATTAACATAAGGTCAAAGAAGCCCAAACGTTCAAACTAAAGCCAATCGAGAGCTACATACATGCCATGCCACTTCCCATGCCTGCTGCAGCAGGTGATTTTTTAGAATCCTCAAAATCACATACACGCCACTTCCCATACCTGCTGCAGCAGCTCGGCAATCTCGTTATAGTCACACTTGGGGAATGGCGGCTCACAGGAGAGCATCTCCCAGAGGCACACGCCAAAGCTGAACACGTCAGCCTGGCAGTCGTAGGGGAGGGACTCCAGCACCTGATGATTATTGGGGGAGGAGCGGAGGAGAACGACGGAGGAAGAAAGAGAGGGGGTTGGATTGTAATGGGGGGAGCATTTCAGGAGAGCATTTCACAAGGGCTCGCATTAGAGCATCTCCCACAGGCACACGCCGAAGCTGAACACGTCAGCCTGGCGGTCGTAGGGGAGGGACTCCAGCACCTAATTATGGGGGGAGGAGGAGGAGGGAGGGAGAAAGAGTAGGGGTTGGAACAGGGCAGCTCGCAGGAGAGCATCTCCCACAGGCACACGCCAAGCTGAACTCGTCAGCCCGGCGGTCGTACGAATGTGTGTGACTATAACGAGTTCCACAACCGCTCTTTCAGACTCACCTCAGGAGCCATGTAGCTCGGGTTCCCCCTGGCACCCCCCCTGTAAGTGAGGTCGCCCTCGATAGAGGCACAGGAGAAGCCTGCAAGGTGCAGGCGTAGCTTGGCGTCTAGCAGCACGTGGTAGGGGCACATGTCTCCGTGCACCACTTGGAGAGAGTGCAGGAAGGCAAGGCTGGGGGAGGTGGAGAGGGGTGGAGAGGGGTGGAGCCGTGGAAGAGACGAGTAGGCAGGTGAGGTGCAGGCGTCTAGCAGCACGTGGTCGGGGCACACGCCCGCGTGGAGGGAATGCAAGAAGGCAAGGTTGCGGTGTGGAGGGGGGAGGGTGCAGGGGGGGATCGGCGGGAGGAGGGGGAGGGGCTGTTGGCAGGTAAGGGGCGGCCAGGAGGCGCCTAGCATTGCGTGGTCTGGACGGACGTCGCCGTGCAGCACCAGGAGAGAGTGCAGGAAGGCAAGGCTGGCAGGGGGGGAGGGGGGTGTTTTGTTTGCTGTTTTATTCCTGCCATGCTTGTACCATACCACCTACTTAATACAAGGACATATTGGGGGGAGGAGGGCGGAAGATGGAAGAAATGAGACAAGAGTCGGCATGTGAGGCGCAGGGAGGCGTCTAACAGCATGTGGTCGGGGCACACATCTCCGTGCACGACTTGGAGAGAGTGCAGGAAGGCAAGGCTGGCAGGGGGGGGGGAATGGAGAGAGGCGGGGGGAGAAGAGACAGTGAGTGGGACCATTGACAGTCAGGAATCATTCTTAGGGTGGGAGAGAAGGGGGAGAAGGGGGAGAAGTGGGCGCTCACCTTGGCGAGCTGGATCGCCAGGTCAACAAGCACATGCAGAGGCACGAGGCGAGATGGGACACTGGACTGCATGAGTGCATGGGTGCATGGGTGCATGGGTGCATGGGAGCATGGGTGCATGAGTGCATGGGTGCATGGGTGCATGGGTGCATGGGTGCATGGGTGCATGAGTGCATGAGTGCATGAGTGCATGGGTGCATGAGTGCATGAGTGCATGAGTGCATGGGTGCATGAGTGCATGAGTGCATGAGTGCATGAGTGCATGAGTGCATGAGTGCATGAGTGCATGAGTGCATGCGTGCATGGGTGCATGAGTGCATGAGTGCATGAGTGCATGAGTGCATGAGTGCATGGGTGCATGGGTGCATGGGTGCATGGGTGCATGGGTGCATGAGTGCATGGGTGCATGGGTGCATGAGTGCATGAGTGCATGGGTGCATGAGTGCATGAGTGCATGAGTGCATGAGTGCATGAGTGCATGAGTGCATGAGTGCATGAGTGCATGAGTGCATGAGTGCATGAGTGCATGGGTGCATGAGTGCATGGGTGCATGGGTGCATGAGTGCATGGGTGCATGAGTGCATGGGTGCATGGGTGCATGAGTGCATGAGTGCATGAGTGCATGAGTGCATGAGAGCATGAGTGCATGAGTGCATGAGTGCATGGGTGCATGGGTGCATGGGTGCATGAGTGCATGAGTGCATGAGTGCATGGGTGCATGGGTGCATGAGTGCATGAGTGCATGAGTGCATGGGTGCATGAGTGCATGAGTGCATGAGTGCATGAGTGCATGGGTGCATGAGTGCATGAGTGCATGAGTGCATGAGTGCATGGGTGCATGAGTGCATGGGTGCATGGGTGCATGAGTGCATGGGCGCATGCATGAAACAAGGAGAGCTCCCCTCGCTCACCTCTTGGCGAGCTGCATGGCCAGGTCCACCAGCACATGCAGAGGCAGCTTGCGCCTCTCCCGGTTCGCCCGCGCCAAATACTCCTTGAGGGTCATGCTGCTGCTGCTGCTGCTGCCGCTGCTGATGTGCGCACTCACGATGCACGCCACCTCGCCCTTGAGACGGGGATCCACTCCTCTTTGGGTGGACGGCTTGGGAGACGGGGATGGGTGGGCCTCGGGGGACAGCATGGGGATGTGCGCGCCTATGAGCTGGGGGGGAGAGGGGGAGGGGGAAGAGCGGAGAGGGGGGGAGGGGGGTGATGGGGGGGGGTAGGAGGGGGGGATAAATGGAGGGCATTGAAGGGTGGTGCCGCTGCTGGTGTGCGCACTTGCGATGCATGCCATCTCGCCCCTTAGACGTGCGTCCACTCCCCTTAGGGGGGCCTTGGGGGAGAGCAGAAGGATGTGCGCACCTATGAGCTGGGGGAGGGGAGGAAGGTGGGGGGGAAATATGGAAGGGCATTGGCGGGGGTGGTACCTCAAAAACAGCGTATGGAGCAGCGTTGGCATTGGCCGATGCGTGTCAGCCAGCCGGCTGAGGTGACGTTTGCGTAAACGGAAACGCCGGCGGGCTGCGGTGATGTTTGAGTCAGCTCGATATAGGCCCGGTGGTGAGCACGTGTAGGAGTGTGTGGAGGAGTGTGTGGAGGAGTGCGTGGAGGAGTGTGTGGAGGAGTGCGTGTAGGAGTGTGTGGAGGAGTGTGTGGAGGAGTGTGTGGAGGAGTGCGTGGAGGAGTGTGTGGAGGAGTGCATGGAGGAGTGTGTGGAGGAGGCCCCAAGGCTACAGGCTCGGCCCGGCCCGACCCTTGCACTCACCGGCACAATATGGGGATGCGTCAGCCGACTCCATATAGTCACCTCCCTTATAAGCGCCGCTCTACTCTCCTGCACCTCCTGCAGCGTCGAGTCATCACCCCCTAGATCCACCACCTTCACTGCAGGGGGAGAGAGAGAGAGAGAGAGAGAGAGAGAGAGAGAGAGAGAGAGAGAGAGAGAGAGAGAGAGAGAGAGAGAGAGAGAGAGAGATAGAGAGAGAGAGAGAGAGAGAGAGAGAGAGAGAGAGAGAGAGAGAGAGAGAGAGGGACCAGGGAGGGGAAGGGAGAGTCAGGTTATTGGCCCCCAAAACAACCACCTTCACTGCAAGAAAAAAGGGTTGCGAAGGGAGGGGAGGGTGGGGGGAGGAGGGTTTGGGAAAGCAAGGTGCCTTCCTCTCTGTGGATCGTCCGAACTATGTCTGGCGCCCTCTCTGTGGGATGGGGAAAGGGTGATCTACTGACCAGCTTACCGCAGACACCTGAGCCCCCATCTTCGTGTGCACCCCTTCTCTAGCAACTCACCACACCCCTACCCTCTCACCCCTACCCTCTCACCCCTACCCTCTCACCCCTACCCTCTCTCACCCCTACCCTCTCACCCCTACCCTCTCACCCCTACCCTCTCACCCCTACCCTCTCACCCCTACCCTCTCACCCCTACCCTCTCACCCCTACCCTCTCACCCCTACCCTCTCACCCCTACCCTCTCACCCCTACCCTCTCACCCCTACCCTCTCACCCCTACCCTCTCACCCCTACCCTCTCACCCCTACCCTCTCACACCCCTACCCTCTCACCCCTACTCTCTCCCATTCCTCCCATCCCTCCCATCACCCACCGACCACGCTCTGGTTGCCGTACACGCCTCTATACACCACGCTCGACGTCCCCCTCGCGATCTCATTCTTCAGAGCGATCCGCCTCAAATCCACCTCCTCCCACTCCGCCGTTTCCCCCCATTCCAGCGCTTTTCCCGGACTCGGCGCATTCCCCCACTCTTCCGCTCCCCCCCACTCCCGCACTTCCCCCAAACCCGGCAGTTTCCCCCGCAACCCGTCCGCTTCCCCCCCCGCTGGCGCGATTTCGAGCTGCGCCGGCGGTCCCTCGAGTCCCCCTCGGCTGCACGGCGCAACGGGCCAGTAGATAGTGGACGGCGGAGAGGGGGAGAAGGGGGAGGGAGCGGAGGTATGGAATCCCTGTGGTTTCGACTCAAGGCTCTCCTGCGAGTCTGAGTCGTGATTCGGAACAATCCTGCATCCAACGGTTGCAAGCTGATCTGTGTGTTCCAGCTCGCTGCTTCTCGCGTCCTCTACCGTCCGATCAGCAACGTCCTGGACCGTCGATAGCTCGCTCAGTTCATCTACCGCGTCCATTTCACGACCTTGGTTTGCGGAGCGGCACAAATTACCCTCTGAAGAATATACCGAGGTATACTTTGTAGAATACAACGAGGTGGAATGCGATAACGAGGTGTGGTGGAACGATAATGTCGAGGAATCCTGTATCGGTTGAGAAGGTAGTGAGGCGCATTGACCTCGATGGGAAGGTTGTATCTGCATGCACATGCAGGTTACGTGCAGATGCTACCTACATCAAGCACACATCGAAACCCTCATTTCTCGCTGCATCAGCCATTGATCTGCCTCTGTCTGATAACTATACGCACTGAAGCTGGCTAGCTGTCGCGAGCACGCGCCTAACTGATTTCTAGCACGTGGCTGCATTTCTAGCCTCGAAGATAGGGCGCCATTCTGACCTCAAGAGACGCTTCGTAGCCTCGGTAACTATGCGCTGAAGTAATTTTACATTTGGTGAACGTCCAGTCGCATTACCTGTGGCAGTACTTAGTCTAGACTGAAAGTTAGGTGGAGGAAAATAGCGGTGATAGGTTCTCCTCGAAAGTGCCTACCCCGAAAATACCTACCTCAAATACCTACGGTACCTCGACAACAGCGTATCAGTAGGGGAAAATAACACCAGGAAAGTATACATCGGCGCTCAGAATTGGGGCCTCGATAACATGCAGGGTCAGTGGCGCAATATAAAAAATCAGAATTAGTCGGGTTTCACCGTTAGTCAGAAACTGCAGTAAAAAAGTTCCACAATTGGCCAGTAGAAGTAACCCCCGCCCGTCTCGGAAAATTTTCCCGCCCGCGCGAGCCTTACTTCGTCATCATTGTGGATGGCGCGATATTTTTCCCCAGCTCCAGGTGCTGTTCGAGCGAAAAAAACAAACAATGCCCAAATTGAAATTCATTGGACATTTGCTAGTCGGAAAACACGAAAACACTATTTTGTTTCGAAGCACATACTTTCGTCACAGAGGGTAGTGCATCCCGTGATTAGTAAAAATGGCGGCTTTGTCTCTACCGCATTTACAGCCCCCAAAAAAAAGTTACGCCATAAACTTGTTATCATTCCCGAGTCACCCGAGAACAATAATATATATAGATAACTACAAAGGTATATTTTTAGGAAATGAATATATTTAAAAGCGTGTCAAGGTACTCTTAGAACCGCATTGCATTTTGTATTAATTTCAATGCAATAAATATATTAGAGTTCTACCAGTTGTCTTTTGATTTTTTAAACAAATATATTTATCGGAAACGTTTTCCGCCGAAATACGACTCTACAGGTCTTATCTAACAGAATTGAATAATAACTAGCATGAGACAGCACAAGGGAATATATGCAAATGTGTTGTACCCTCTAAGGCACAAACCTGTATTGTCTATACTAACATACTAAGATATGCTTGACACACCCGCTAGACTATAAAGGGGCAGTGCCTAACAGGAAAACAAGCAGCTCAGGGTAGCACTACTAGTCCAGCCTTTGAGGCAAGGGTCTAAAGACCAGTGAAAAGGAGTACAGACAAGACAAGAGCAAGTCCAGGACGGCACTACTAGTTCAGCCACTGGAAGAGGCCGCAATGCCAGTCATGATAAAATATATAAAGGTCTGTACATAATCAAGGTCCTACTAGGTGAGAGGCAACAGGAACAAGACCTAGCTGTACACAGTGCCGCTGATGATCTTTAGGCGCAAGCGCCTTCGTAAAGATATCAGCTGTGTTGGCACCTGAGGCCAAGTGTATTACGCAAGCCTGGCGACGCTGTTGTAGCTTGCGCAGGAGGAAGTACCGCAGCTAGATGTGCTTCGCTCTGCCATCAAGTCGAGGCTCCTGACACAGGAGGATTATGGCCCTAATGTCAGCGTACAGGACTGGGGCAGAGCTAGGCCGCTCACCTAAGTCGGTGAGCAAGAAAGTCAGCAAACGGAGCTCCTGTGCCACCATGGCACCGGCGTAGATCTCGGCCTCACAGCTGGACTGGGCAAAAAACGAGGAGCGAGAAGCTCTCTACGAGACAGCACCTGAACCAAGGCTAAAGCTGTATCCCTGCAAGGACCTCAGGGTCTCGGCGTCGTCTGCCCAAGAAGCGTCTGTGAGCTCAGTAAGGACCACTGGCCTGCGTCCTCCCAGCACTAACCCCATGCTTGATGTACTCCTAAGATAACACAAAACCCTTTTAGCTGCAGACCAGTGCTGAAGTCGGTGTCTGCCTGTGGCCACAAAGCGAGCCAGGATGCTGAGAGGGTATGCGAGATCTGGACGAGTGCAAGTCATCAGGTACATGAGCCAACCCACCAGCTCTACCTAAGGACCACGGGGCTCTGCTGACTCCTCACAAACTGGAGCAGAGAGCATGTGATCTATTCGAAGACGTGTGGGCTGTGCAGAGGAGAACTGAAGACCGAACCTCTGAAGGACCTGGCGCACCAAGTGTGACTGTGTGAGAGTGATGGTGCGCGCTGCTCTATCCCTGGAGATCTGCAAGCCCAGGTAGTAGTGCAGCTCTCCTAGATCAGTGCAGGTGTGTCTCTTCAGCAGCTCAGCCTTCACGAAGGCCAGCGCGGCGGTGTCTGCAGTGGTAAAGACCAGATCGTCTATGTAAACAATGATGTAGAACAAAGTCTGTCCAAAACGAATGACGAGCGAGGGGTCTGCAGAGGATGGAAAGAACAGCAGGTCTGCAAGGGTAGCACGCAGTGTGTCGTGCCACTCGCGGGGCGCCTGCCGCAAGCCGTAGACTGGGCGCCGCAGGAGCCACTGGGTCCTAGGAGCGAAGGTACCAGTAAAGCCCTGAAGGCGGAGCAAGTAGACCTGCTCGTGTAGACTACCCTGAAGAAACGCAGTGGAGAAGTCCAGGGAGTGTAACTCGTAGTTACGCTGTGCTGCTATGTGTAGCAGTGCCCGAAGAGTGGTCATCTTCGGGGTCGGGGCGAAAGTTTGAAAGAAGTCCACCCCCTCACGCTGACTAAAGCAACTAGCCACGCAGCGCACCTTGAACACAGGCGGCTCTCCAAGAGGGCGCTTCATCTTGAAGAGCCACCGGCCATCGAATACGTTCACCCCAGGTGGGGGAACTGCGTCGACGTAGGTGCCGGTGGATCTCCAAGATGCCATCTCCTGCTCCGTGGCAGCTATCCACTGAGAGGCCCAAGGTCCCGAGGTCGCCTCAGCGTAAGTGCGAGGGTTCGGGATGTCGAAAGCGTCTGGGTCACCCTTAGGGACTAGCAGCATGGAACAGATATGGGGAGCAGCCTTGGATAGGAAAGCAAGCTCGTACTGCCGGTCCTCCAGGGCGTCACTGCCGAGGGCAAGAGAACCCTCGACAGACGGAGGACAGGCAAGGTCACAGACCAGAGTGGTGGCGTAGTCAAGGTGGCGGGTAGAGGCAAAGTCAGTGACCCCAGCGACAAGAGCGCCAAGACACGAGACCGGAACAGACGGGTCGGTAACGAGAGAGGCAAGGACCCGAGGAACAAGAGGACGAGTGGCGCGAAGGTAGTCAGACAGAGGGGGAGGCGCAACAACAAGAGAGGACGGAGGAGGCGACTGGAGGAGGGGAGGACGAGACGCGTGGGAACGAAGCAACATAGGGTGAGCACTTAGGACAGGGGAGACGGGGCGAGCACGGGAGGGACGGCGAGACCAGACGTGAGACGGAGGAGTCGGGTCAGGAGACAGAGGAGGTGACACAAGAGGGGAATGAGGGGGAAGACGAGCTGGAGTCGAGTCCAGGGGAGGGAATACAGGGCCGTAGACAGGAAGAGGTGGAGACGGCAGGAGCGGCACCGACACATGGTCAGGGGACGGAAGGCCGAGCAGACGAAGGGCTGACACTGGCGGGGACTGCTGCTACGGCGGCACGACACCAACACCGGGACCGCTGGCTGCTCCACGGCTACCTCCAAAACACTCCACTCCAGCACCCCCAGAAGGAACACCCCCAGAGCCCGAAACCCCTCGAGCACCGGTACCACCACCAGGCCCGCCGGGACAAGTCACGACAGAAACCCCAGGACTAGTACCCACCCCAACGCCAGCACCCCCAGAGGCAACAAACTGCTGCTGTGACGGCTGCGACGGCGGCTGCGGTGGTGGCGGCTGCAATGTCGGCAGCGACGACGGTGTCGGCGGCTGCAACAGCGGCGGCGACGGCGGCTGCGGAGGTGGCAGAGAAGGAGAAACCTGGGGAGGGGCAGGCGGCGAGGACTGTGCTGCAGGGCCACCAGAGTTAGCAGACTCCTCGACCGGGACAACCGACGTGAGGGGGATGACGTGAGACACACTTGGCGGGGCAGGACGGGGAGGGGGAGAGGGAGGGGCAGGGGCGACCGGGGAAGGGGGGACCAGAAATAGGAGGGGAGTAACCGGAGGACCACGGTGGGGGAAGCGGCGGTAGAAGGAGACGGACTCGTCAAAGGTGACGTCGCGGGAGTGAAAGAACCTGTGAGACGGCGGGTGGTAGAAGTGCCAGTCAGACGAGTCAAGGGGGAAACCAAGGAAGACACAGGGGAGTGTGCGGGCACTGAGCTTGTCCATGCCTGAGGCACGGACGTGAGCAAGGCAGCCCCAGACGTAGAACGCAGACGCGTCACCAGGAGACCCGGACCAAAGGAGGGTTGGCGAAACCTGCGGCTGCTGGGGGTGCGGCCACAGGTTAAGCTGGTGAGCGGCGTAGCGAACGGCGAACGGCCACAGAAAATGGGGTGCACCGACATGGAGCATGGAGGTAGGAGCCACCTCCATGACCAAATCGATGCGTCGCTCAGCAACCCCATTCTGCTCCGGGGAGTCTGGCAAGTTGAACGTCTGGGTGATGCCCTCCGCACGACAGAAACGACCAAGGACACCAGAGGCAAACTCGCCACCACGGTCGGAGTGGAGACGAAAGACAGGGAGACCGCGGTGGACACGCGCAGAGACAAGCCACGGGATGAGAACATCAGGCACGTCTGCCTTCCGCTCCAAGGGAAACACGGTGGTGCAGCGAGTGTAGTCATCGACAAACAAGGAAGTAGCGCTCTCAACGCGGCCCATGGACGAGGGCGGGGCCCCAGACGTCCATGTGCAGGGTTTGTAGCGGTGCGGCGGTGGGGGGGAACGAGGAGGAGTGAGGGGCACGGCAGAGCCGGCCCTCGACACAGGGTGTGCATGGTGGTGCTGGGGAGGAGGGCAACTCAGGGAACGGCTCTGGGAGACCGAGGACAAGACCGTGCTGGGACATGTAACACAGACGCGGGAGTGCAGGGTGACCTAGACGGTGGTGCCATAGGAGTGTCGGGTGTGTGAGCGACCGACAGGAGCAGGCCGCAGCAACTTGGGTAGACGCAGCCACCTGAGGAAGCGTCCCAATCGGGGGGGGGTAGCGGTGTCCAGTGTGAACAGGCCGGACACCGGGTCCCGGGGGAACGTGGTGAGGGGGACAACAGTGGCGGCCTCGGTACAGACAGCGTACCGCTCGTGACCAGGGAACGTAGTGGTGACGCCAAGGTCCTGTAGGCAGCCAACACCAACTAGGTTCCTGGAGAACGAGGGGATGTGC